CTGGCAAGCAAAGCTAATGAAGATGGTCCCACTTTTATTTTTGACAACACCTGACATAATTTACAGGAAAGATCAATTATTCTACAATGGGATAGAAGTGTATATACAGATGATCTGACTTTTATCTTTAAGGATACCATTAAAGAGCTCATAACATGAATTCTTTTGCAACTAATACCTTCTGTGATAATTCACTGTCGTCAACATCATCTGCCAAAACTTCACTTGTTAGATATGAAAGGATGCTATCCTCTATGATTTCCCTTGCAAGCATCTGCAAGATTACAGCCACAAGAACGTATCAGATGTATTTTATCGGGAATAAAAACAAATTGAGTACAAAGCCAAATGCCCTCAAAAGTAAAGTCATCAAGAAGACACTCAATCAACTTCAGGTCATACAAACATCTTGAAATAGTGGATTTTTTTTTTTTTTTTTTAAATCCGATTTACCTTTGGATTTCCTCCCAGAATAATGTCAGTACCCCTCCCAGCCATATTTGTAGAAATGGTGATGGCATATTTTCTTCCTGCTTGGGCTATAAAATCAGCCTCCCTAGCAGCATACTGAATGAAGTAAAACACAATATTAGAACTAGCTGATATCATATGAATGCTATGTTGGTTTTGCTATGCAGAGAGATAAATTCGAGATCTACCTTGGGTCGTGCATTCAGGACATTGTGAGGAATACCCCATTCTTTCAGCAGTGCTGATAGATATTCAGAATTCTCTACACTGCAAATTGACGCTAACTTTTAAATAGCTGAAAAGCATACTGTGTGTTTTAAAAAGAAATAAAGTGTTCCTATCATCCTATGTAGTCCTCCTTGGTTCATTATTAATTCTGCCAACATAAACTACAAACTTGAAAATGAAATTCTACATGTATCTATGTCAATACCACAAGAAAAGCGAGCCTGAATCTTTCTTCTGTATACTTTCAATTGACATCAGTAAATGCAATATATTTTGAAATCCTGAATAATTGCCTCAGATGTGTCAAATGATGCTGAAGTGGTTTAATCACATGGACGTACCTTGTTGTTCCTACTAAAACAGGTCGACCTTGTCCGAACATATCTTCAACTTCTCGACGAACATATTCCCATTTACCTCGAGCAGTCTAAAATACATCATACCAAAGGGATGTAAGAGAAGGAAATATTTGTTTACATTTTATGAATTATATGAAAGAAGCAAACATAAATGTGAGTTTTAAGGTCGCTAACCGCAAAAGCTTGTATAGGTAGATCGATTCGAATATTTGACAAATTGGTTGGAACTTCAATAACAGGTATCTGGAACATTTTCAAAAATTCTTTTTCCTGCAAGAAGTTGAAGAAACAAGTGTGCCAAACTGCCTTGTCTAATCAAGAAAATCATATCTTTGAAACAGATTAAGGAGGTGGATCAAAGTAGATCCCCATGTACATACTTCTGTTTTTGCTGTCCCAGTCATCCCGGAGAGCTTTGGATAGAGTTTAAAGAGCGACTGATAGGTGATTTGGGCCACAACAATTGAATCAGCCTAAATCAAAGAGTTTAGTTTCGTGAGCATAAAATTTTGGAGGCATTGCTTTAACCACGACTTATGAGTCTGTGTGACAGACCTGAATTTCGAGACCTTCTTTAGCCTCCACAGCCTGGTGGACTCCTTCAGACCATCTCCTTTTCTCTTCAACTCTTCCAGTCAACTGAAAATATTTGAAATCCTTAATGAACTTTCATATTGTGTTAAATCATATAAGATATAAATGAAAGTCCAATGACTAGCTATCCCACGTCAATTTTATGAAATGAAACAATGAGTACAATTGAAGTCAGAACTACTTATACCTCATTAATTATAAGTGCTTTCCCATTTCTCACAATATATTGGACATCACGCTTGTAAAATTCTTTAGCTTTTAAAGCATTCATAACAAACCTGCATTAATAAGAAATTCCAATAACCAGGGGTAACAAAGAACTGCACGGAAACTTTGAACTAAATGTGAGAAAAAAACTAGTTCGAAACAGGGAAAAAAAAGAACTACATAGATAACTCCATGATTGGATTGCGAATATGAAATAAGATCAGGTAAATCAGTTTCTTACTAAGAGAATCTATTTACTCATATTTATATATGTACGAATATCCCTTTGCTAATCCCACTATTCTTTGTTCAACCATATGCCATTATTCTACCTTTTGCAACCATGAATATCCCTTTGCTAATCCCACTACCTTTTGTTCAAATCTGGAAATCCCCATTCAAAGTTTTTACTACTAATTGCCAACCGCCAAAGTCTTACGTCACCATTTGGAACACAAAGAATATCAATGATAGTAGGAAGTAGATACCTTGCCCATGGATCATTTTCGTCCCATAAATCACCCGTATCAAGAGCCATTTCAGCAAGAGATATACCTTCCTCCGTGAGTTCCACTGAGTTCTCTTTCAATTCAACTTTGTAATGCTATCAACAAGATTTTCAAAAATAATTTAGAAAATCATTTCCCGAAACAAAAGAAAAAAAATTGGTCGAGATAGAATAACAGAAAAAGGAAAAGGTAAAACTCACAATATCTTTTACGAGAAGTTCAGCCACTTTAGCAGCAACTGGATATCGTGCGGCATTTTCATTAGCCTGTGATACAAGCACAACAGAAAGGACTCCGTCAATCTTTGAAATTATGTCCCAATGATATTGCTTTTCTTTCTCAGTTGCATGGGCTATTCTTAACCAGATTCAGGTCTAAATATCCAAAGAATAAAACTTTTAAGCTTATCAAAATGAACTGTATTACCTCACCACTTATTAGCAAAGGATTTCTGCCTTCATCAATGAGCACTGAGTCCACTTCGTCAACTATTGCAAAGTGAAATGGTTTTGGCCTGAAATTCATAAGCTGTCACTATTGAAAAAAACTGAGGAGTGAATAGATTAATGGGATCTACCATCTCATCACAAGTTGTTCACTGTTTGAAGTAAGGTTATCTCGCAGATAATCAAATCCAAGCTCCTGAGACATGCACAAGTGTTAGTAGGAGGAGATGTGAGATACAAAAAAAATAGTATAACCCAAGGAGAACAATTGATATGAATGAAATACTTGCCGAGTTATTGGTGTATGTTATATCACAGCTGTAGTTGAATTTTCTCTCTTCAGCTTTCATTCCTCTCTAATTGTTGACGAAAATGCCATAAGTTTTCAGCGCTGTAATTCAGACGTTAGAATGCAAATAGCACCTGTGAAACCTACCTGAATGAGACCAACTGAAAGGCCTAAGAAGCGGTGAACACGACCCATCCATTCTGCATCACGCTGGGCCAGGTAATCATTCACAGTAACCACTGCCACCAGAAAATCATACCAACAGCTTTAGCTAGATTTTAAATGACACGCTTTTCATTGGTATATCATTTTCGATCAATAGTGCGCGAAAATTGCGGCAACTAGGCAATACATCTCATGGGCTTTTCTCAAAGTATCAGCAATTATCTAGTCGTAAAGTTGTTAAGAGAGAGCAGACAACATACCATGAACACCCTCGCCAGTTAATGCATTAAGATACGCAGCTAATGTAGAGACTAGTGTTTTCCCTTCACCTGTCTTCATCTCCGCAATGGATCCATCATGAAGCACTCCTCCACCAATTATCTGATGCAACAAAAACCATAAGCATAACTAACAATATCTGTTCAAAAATGATAGAAATGCACCCCAAGTAATAGTATGGATTACAGTTTGAGAGTATAGATATAGACAGACCTGCACGTCAAAATGACGCATTCCAATTGTTCTCTTTGCAGCTTCACGAACAACAGCAAACGCCTCTGGAACAGGGAGAAACATACACAAACAAAAATAAAAAAATGAGAAAAAAAAAGCATTTGCAAAGATTTATCAAAGCAAAGTAACATTCTTAAGATTAAATAAAGTAAAATCCACGTAAGGTTTTGATCAAACCAGCTTGCATATCTGCTAGGGACTCCCCTCGCGCTAACCTTTCCCGAAATTCTGCAGTTTTTGCTTTCAGCTAAGGAAGTAAACAAACAAAAACCCAAATTCATCAAAAAAAAAAATATATACATATATATATATATATATCATATCAATTGAAAAAAAAAAAAAGTCTCAAGCAGTGAACATGAAGTTGAAACCTGTTCATCGGAAAGGCTTTGAATATGTGGTTCGAGGGAATTGACAGATTCCACAAGACGATAATAGTCCCGCACAACCCAATAATTCATGCTCGTAACATCTTGTAAATTCCTCTTTAAGCGACCCAAATTCCCCTAAAATATGGATGATATTAAATATAAATATATAAAAATCACTGAGAAGCTTGAGAAAATAAATCCCATCCTAATCTCATAAAGTAAAGCATCGCACGAAAAAAAAAAAACCTATGAATCAAACACTCGCTAGAAATCTTATTAAGAAGAAAGAGACAATAGAAAAATACTAATGAGGCAAATGATCGAACAGTTGGTGTGCAACAAGTGGTATCAGTTATAACACACCATTAGGGAAGCAGAGACACAGCTTCTCCGAACAAAGTGACACCTCTGAATCGGCGCGACAGGTCGAGGGAAAAAGACACCAGAGTAGGGTTTTCTCCATGGATAATTATTACTTCGAGACAGGAGACAAGGAGCTGGGTGGCATGTCTTAAGGTTCGCAAGATTCAGAACAGTGCCCATATTCACCCTAGTATTGCTTTGTTACAGTAACTTTCTTGCTTTCGTGGTCAAGCATCCATGGATAAAGGAGGCTCTTCGTGTCTCACGAAAACGTATGAAAACACTACCGGGAAACGTTTCGCCACCGTTTCACCGATGGGTGGCGCTAAATTGCTGGTTTTAAATGGTCTCACTTAACAATTGATATTTTCACTTTTAAGTCCCTGAAAGTTTTAGTCTTTCGCATTACGTCACTCAACTTTAGAAATTATCATCTTCTTTGTGTGTTGATCTGATCTCAACGTATTAGCAAATTCTATAAGAAATAAGAAAACTGCGAATCACATATATTTTTGTATACTGTATCAACAAAAGCATTTCATATATACACGTGATTTGTTTCTAGATATACACTTCTTCCTTTGACGAGAGTAGAAAATCTTCAGGAACAAGATGAGAAACTGTAGTTTTTGTTAGCATCCACTGTAGTATACCTGGAAAATGGAGACAAAACTCTCGCCTTGTCACAGACCATTCTCAACAACAGAGGTATTCACGAACGCTAAAAGAAAGATAATTGCAACTATCACCTTGATGGTTTTATCCGCAAACCCTGCAAAGAGCTTGCCTTCCCAGTATAACAAAGATGTGATAACCGAAGAACCCGGGATCGATCCAACGTGAGTACAGTCTAGAGATATCTCATCTCCTGAAAATTCCTACAAACGGATGTTTGGAAACAGTTAAAAATGGCATAGCTTTTTACCCTTATGATAAGACATGTGGACAATTCATCATTACATCGGGTATAGAAGCTAACGAATTACCTCTACACTGACAGTTTTGTCCCAACCTCCAGTAAATAGCCATTTACCGTTCACGGCAATGCTGAGAATCGCACCACTCTGTATTTTCATTGACTTCATCAATGTATCATCCCTCCATATCTGTAAACAAGAATCAGAAGAGTCCAGGTTTAGAGACTGAGAATAAGATTGAAATGAAGCAAGCTGAGCAAACTGTTTGGAAGGATAGATATAAACCTGTATATCTCCGTTTTGATAAGCTGCCACCAAGGTTTGGCCGTCTACAGCTAGAGACAGAATAGATCTTACAATACCTTGAGTCTCTTCTCCCAACACCGTCAAAAAACTGTGGTCGCTTAGACTCCACAATCGTACGGTTCCATCCCAACTTCCGCTGTATAGTACTCCATTCAGCACAACAAGCGTTGAGACTACAGATTTATGACCAGTCATAGTGCAAACCAGGCTTCCATCCTGCGAAAAACAATCGATCACTTCAATCATAAGATGATAGATGTTAACAGGACAAGCTTAACGGTGTACAAGAAAACCAACGTACTTGTAATGACCAAGCTTTGATGGTGTTATCTCCACTGCCACTATACACATATCCATCTTCTGAATATGCCAACGCATGAATGCCAGTATATCGCCAGTCTTTTGGCTCGTACCACTTTCTTAGTGGCTGTTCTTCCAGAGGGAAGCTAGTGCTCCATACAAATATACCTCCTCCACTGTCGCCACTGACACATACTGATTCTGCTCCCTCGATGTATATCAAAGCCATTACTCTCTCCTGATGACCTTTAAATGTATGCACATGGGAGAACTCCTGCATATATAAGTAGGCCTTGTTACTACACTGTACACATGATAGGGAGAAAACTATGCCCTAGAAACCAAGCTTTATAAATCAATCAGAGAGGTATAAAGGATGGTGGCATCTGTACCTTCAGAGACCATATATGGATATTTTTATCAATCGAGGAGCTAAACAGAAACCCACCTACACATAGAAAAGAAGAACAGCATACAATCTGAGCATATAAAGAAGGAATTTAAATAACACTCTTGGAAGGAAGATGTGTACTTTTTTTATCATTCCCCAACAAAATGTAAAACTTTTTTTACAAAAAAAGAAAGAAAGAAAGAATCAAAACATAAGGTGTACCTCCAACCGCTAAACTTGTGACACTGTCTTGGTGTCCCCGCAGGTCTTTAGATTTTATTTTACCTTCTGAGAGTCTTTCAACAAAATCTATGTCAAACTTGCCCTCCTCTGCTCCACCGCTATTTTCCATTCCAGGCACTTCTTCTTCTAGTTCTCTGGATCCCACTACTACAAGGTGGCATAATTCACCTAGAACCACACAAAACTCTTTCCTTTTCTGAGATTTCGTCTTATGCAATCCAATCATATAAATTAACCTACGATTCATGACCAGCTCCCTGTAGCATTTCCACAGATCAGTTAAAACTGGACGTGCCTGAGAATCAAGACAGCAACTTTGGCGGATAATTTCAATTATCGATTTAAACTTCCCACCAAGTTTAGATTCCAGAATAGAACTTAGTTTCTCCGTAAAACCTGTGTACAACACCAAGAGATCCTCAATTTGCTCTTCACATTCTTTTGCATCCACACCATTTACATTTTCAATCAGCTCCTCAGAAAACCGTTTCCCAAGAAGAAGCTTGAGGAGAAGAAAACAAACTGGCCAGACGTCAGAGCTATATGAAACCAAATACTTTGAGCTGGCATTTAATTTCAACATGTTTTGTTCCTTCAACAATTCAAACAACACCTCGGAGCTCATAAAAATACCCTCTTTTACTAATCTATTCAAAATCATTCCCATTTCCAAAGCACCAACTGGTTTGCTGCAAGAACTGCTTTCGTCAGAGATGATTCCATACACGATCCTTCCAATTTCCAGCAATTCAATCAAATCAACATAAGCATTCCCAAACTCGTCAAACTTCACACAAGAAACACTCAAACAGCCTGTGATTACCCCTTCCTTATGCAAATTGAGAAGCGCCTCACATATTTGCATACCGATTACTGCGAAACATGACGTCTCATCTTCATCTAGATAATCGAATTCCTCACACGAATATCCAGTAAGCTTCTCACCAACTAAATACAGAACCCCATTCTTCAAATCACCCCACAAGCCAAAAACTTTAGAGATACCTCTTTGTTTAACAGAGATGATCGTATCAAGCTCATCTCTCTCCTCCTCTCTCATCTCCCATAGACAACTCATCATCCTCTGAACATAACTATACTTGAGAAGAGAATCACAATCATCATTCAGGAACGAAGCAACCCGTAAAAGACTCACCCTCGAATCATCTTTCAACCATCCACATAAACGACGAGATGAACCAAAATCACTACCTTCACTCTCCACGTTCTCCACGGAAACGGCGTCGTGGAGTAGGATCCGATCCTTCCAAGTGGTGTAGAAGTCGTCAGACCATGATCGAGTGACGAATTCAATGGGCTTTTTCAAATTCTTGCCAGGTTCCAGCGTAATCCGCGAAACCGAAGGGAATAATCTGAGAAGATCGATGTTTTTGGGTAGAGCTGATGGTCCTTGAGGTGGAAACTTGACGAGAACGGTGCACGCCGGACATCGGATTGTGTTCGGAAACTTCTTGGGAAGGTTCTTCAGGCACTCCTCACACGCCGTGTGTCCGCAGGAAAGCACGCGAGGAACTGTGCACTCGCCGTCGTAAGACTGTAGACACACCGGACACTCCGGTGGCTCCATCACCAGCAATTCAAACCTCCGATAAACAACTGAATAAATACGACACCGTTTTGTACTTTAGATCAAAGTTCGGAGATGAGGTCAGTTCTGTAATAAACTATAGGGGGTTTAATGTCATTTCTCAGTCTCAAATTCCCACTTCTATGTTTTATTCTCGGATCGTCGTCTTCATTGCGAAATACCGTAGAACTGAGGAAGTTACGAGAGGAGAGAGCATCTGATCTGCAAGGGCTTTCAAGGTAATCTATCACATTCCACGGATCATGCAGAGATTTTCGTTATCGACTGCGAACTCATACCCTTTGCTCTTTTGTTTCTCGCTTTGTTTCCTGACACGACTTTTTAATTTCTCGTTGAGTTTAGAAGAAAGTTAGAATCAATGGCGGGAGCTGGAACATCGATGCTAGGCTCTATTCTTATGTTTACAGTGATCCTCTCGCTTCAAGAAGTTTACCGAGGGAAATTAGCTTCTTCTGAGCTGTTCACGATCTTTGGAGGATTCACTAGCTCCCTTCTCTTTCTGTTCTCTCTGACAGTAAGTTCCGTATCTGCCTCAACAGTTTTCTCTGACTTAGGATTCTTCACGTAGTCTATTTCAAATTTGATCCGTTTTTACAAATTTGAGACCTTTTGGTTCTGATTCTTTTGACATTCAGTTCAAGTCGTGTGTGTATGTGTATGTTTTTTCTTTACCAAATTACTCTCATTGTTGACTAACGATCTGAATGTCAGCAACTTTTTACCTGCAGTTCATCGGGAATCTCCAGGAATCTTCTGGCATGAAGAGTAGTAGCTGGGGTGCAGGTAGGTTTCTCTTTGCCATACGCATTGACATGAAAAGGCAATTATTCTGTATCACACTGTGCCCAACATCATTTGCCTAGTTCATAAGTTCTTGCCCCAATGGTTTCTTTCTGGATAACGGATTCTAAAGCTCACGTTTTTATGTGAATTCTGTCATCAAATGTCCTGGCTGATTCGGCTTTTTTCAATTCATTTTCTCATCTCATTTATGCAATTGACAACTATTGTCTAGAATTTGTTTGTTTCCCTTGTTTCTGCTGTATCAAAGTGCCAGCAACTTCGGCTATCTATTGAAGTCGTTTTTTTTTTGGTTTTCATGGCAGTGATTCTTGCAGAAGTCATAGCTCTTATCGCTGCTAGCACGGTGCATCGAGTTTGTATTACGACCTGGTAACACACTAGTTCCACTTGATACACTGATTACGAATGTTACATCATTTCATTACTTTCAGACTAAAAGCTGTGGTTACTTGGTTGTTTCTGCTTGCAGTTTCTTGTTCTCTGCTGGGCTACTATACGAGATGAATAAGATTTCGGGATACATGCTTTCCAAGACTGAGTCGAAATCTAAAAGGCACTGATTCAGAGAACGGAATTGGTAAGTACATGATGTTGTCGAATTTCGGTTTTGTTTAGCAAAAGGGTTGTGCAAGAACACTGCCAACATTATGAATTAATAACATTTTGCGCATCTTATGCGTGGCTCAAAGTTTCAAGTCAGATTATTATTTATTTTATTTTCTTCCACCTGTTTATCAACCGCAACAAATTAAATAGATATACCCAACTTGGAACCAAAGAATACAACTTAAGAACATAATTCACGAAAGAAAAAGTTTATCTTGCTATTATTCGAAAGGCCTTAATTACCACATCTTTAAATGAATCTCTAACCAACCTTTGGCTGATGGATTGAACAAAGCATATATATAATGAATGTATTGGTACAATTCCTTTCAGATAGGCCAAACATTCTCACTGATACTTTATCTAACATTAATAAATGAAAAAAACAAAACATATTACATTACATGATGTATAAAGAAAAATGTATGCATATGTAACCTATAATTAATAGTTTAATACATATGCCTACAAGTACAAGCCAACTAATAACATCCAAAGTGGGACAGGTTGGACGAATTAAGTCAGATTGCTCTGGAATGTGACACTAAGTCTGTAATATCATTGTATAAGATGGAAAAAAATTACTAACATAATTAAAATGAATTATTTTCTTAATTAGTGTTAGTGGAATCTTTTTCCGATAATTAGGAAAATAGGGAAGGAAGAAAAAAGGAAAGGTGGGAATTTTAAAAGCAAAGCCACCTGTCGGGGACCCCACCATTCATTTGTGGGTTCAATCTATCGTCGGTGCCTTTCAGATTTTAATTTCTCGAGAGAGAGAAAAAAAAAAGAGGAAGACGATTGTTTTTCCAATTCCTTCGATTTCCCCTTTCCTTATTCAGATATTTCCCCATTTTCACGTGAGATCCGGTGATTTTCACGGGATCGATCTGATAAGGATTCTGTTTTTTATCCTTCGGAATTTTTTTGGGGAATCGTTTGGTTTTTTTGCTCTTGATTGAATCTCCGAGATGGATGAGTTTGGTGTTCTTACGGAGCGTTATGGGATTAAGCCCCAAGGTAAATCTGCTCCAATGGCTGCTTCGAAGCGGTCCGTCAACAATCCTAACAATGGTCAAAGCTGGAATTTTGGTCCAGCCTCTGGTTTAAATACGACGAAATCGGCGTCGTATGCATCTCATAGCTCTCGTAATTCGGAATCTGGTAATGGGTCTTTGTACGACGATGAAGACATTTTCTTCACCTCGAGCTCCACTAATAGGAATGGCGCGAAATCTACTGGATTTAACGATTTTGATGTTTTTGGTGGCTTGAACAAGACATCTTCCGGTAATAGCAAGTCGTCTTTAAACGACGATTTAATGTTCTCCAGCTTTGGGAAGTCGGGCATGAAAACCTCTTCTTCAGCGCAGGGTTTTGTTACTGATGACTTGTTCGGTGTTATGCCTGGCTCAAAAAGCTCCGCTAGCGTTAGCAATGATGAAATATTTGGGTCATTCTCTACATCTACGAAGCAATCTGGTGCCGTCGATGATTTGTTGGGTGATATGGGTGGTTTTGGTCCCAAAGCGAAGATTGAAGCTGGTTTTGATGAATTGATACCCGGTTTTGGTGGAAGTACTCAGACGACTACTAGCAGGTTTGTGATCAGCTTATGAAGCATTCTGGTAACGATTGTTGCCACTTTCTATTGATTTTTTGGTTTTTAATTTCCATCACATCATAAACTATATTGTATGAGATTCTTATAGAATGTGTGTATTACTGTCTCGTGAATGGTGTTTGAAATATCAGATAACCATTGTACAGGAAAATGTGTGGTGTTATGGTTTTGAACTGATTCTGGTTGAAATGTTTTGTTTCTGGTTGATTTTTCAGCAAGACTACCACGTCGAACTTTGATGCTGCTGACCCTTTTGTGGTTCTAGAATCAACCACGTCAGGTCTGTTCGTGGATCCACTTGAAGAATTTGCTGCTTCAGTCAGTTCTCAGGGGAAAAAACCATCAAATACTTCACAGACTTCTACAAAACTCAAGCCTCCGCCTAAACCAACACAAAAAGTGGACAGAGGTTAATCTCTTTGTTAACGTGAAAGTATGTTGAATTAGAGCTTTTGTTTACTGTTTTCACTGTGATCTAATTAGTCAAGGATTTATTTGCACAGTTAAGGGTTCAGGAATGTCTTCAATAGACGAACTTGAAGACTTTGCCATGGGTACTATGCGACGTAGTGCCTCGGCTTCTGACACCGCTAGTAAATATAGAGAAGCTGAAGATGCTGGAACAAAGAAAACAGAATTTGGTGTTGATGACCTTGACTCCTTTTTCAGCTCTGGGCCTCGGTCCAGCAGTGTACCAAAGTCACGGACGACAACTGAAGTAAGAACGACTTTTGAATATTACCATGTTCCAATTTACAAACTTTTAAACTAAGAAAATGTGTTCGATATGTAAATCCCTATTCTTCTTTCTGATGCAAAGACAACTCGCAAGCAAGCAGTCAACGTGCCAAAAAAGACGCCTAATGGGGTTTCTAGTGTAAAGAAGCCTCCTGCTCCAGCAAATCTAGTGGATGACTTTTCTGCACTTTTTGGAGGTAGATGTTGTGAAAACATATCGTTTCCAGCAGTTGGTTACTCTAGGCTAACTTTTTTTCGTAATGTTTCTCTCTACAGAGGATCCTATATTTAGAGAATTTGAGGAAATCCCGGGGGAGAGCGAAGAACGAAGAAAGGCCAGATGGGATCGTGAACAGAGAACAAAGAGCCGTGTGGTATGTGTGGTTTTTTGTGTTTTCTTTTGAATCTTCTGGTGCAGCCCTTGACTTTCCAAGTCTTTTTTCCCTCTGCAACTTGTGGCGCGTCAGAATTAGCGATACTCATAACCGACTGGCATACTGCAACAATTTCTAGTTTATGTTTTGCTACCCCATCAATGTTAAGCTTGTACTTGATTGTATATTTTTGTTCAAGGTGTGTTTACAATATTCAGTGCCTTTTGAAATGTAGGCACAAGCTGTAGCTGATATGAATAACCGGGATCATCAATCGCGGATTGAGCAGGAACAGAGAACTGTAAGTTGTGCTTTTCTTGACATTTATGTTTTAATCTTCTTTATCATATAATGCTTATTCATGGACAACGACCTTGTTTGGATTTGTTAGTCTTTCATTATGATAATGCTGTTTTTGACATTTGACTTTTCTTTTCGTGTTCTAAGTCTACATAGAGTCTCCATGTTGATGTGTTGTAATACCGACGATGGTTGCCTTGTTAATCTTGTTTTTCAGAGGATTTCTGAGACTGTTGATGCTGAAATAAAGCGTTGGGCAACTGGAAAAGAAGGAAACATGCGTGCGCTGTTATCTTCTTTGCAAATCGTGAGTTTTAAATAATTACAAATTGTAAATAAACGTTATATTACATCTGTTTATCCATCTGCTCCTCCTAAGTTCACTGAGTTCCTTTTATGTTTGAACGATGACAGGTACTCTGGCCCGGATGTGGTTGGGAGGCCGTTTCTCTGACAGATTTGATCACTTCTTCGGCAGTGAAGAAAGTCTATAGAAAGGCAACGCTGTATGTCCATCCCGATAAAGTTCAGCAGAAAGGAGCCACCCTTGAACAGAAGTATATTGCCGAAAAGGTTTTTGACATTTTGAAGGTATTTTCTCAGTGGATCTGCATGAGCAGCTCTCTTTCTAGAATCTAATGAAGACGAAAGTTGACAGATGAATCTTTAGTTCCCACCAAAATAATTTTAGTATCTGACCACTCTGTGTTAGTAATTTGAAGAAATCCGGTTTTGTTCCCTGTCTCATGCATTTTATACTAGATTGTTTTGAACCTTTTATTGATTAAGTGCATACTAATTTACATTGTATAGGAAGCTTGGAACAAATTCAACAAAGAGGAGCTCTCTTAAGCCCATATGCTGCGGATCTAGTTGCCCCCGAGTCTTTCGTTTCAGGTTTGAGCACAGTTTGCTTCCAGTATACCCTGATCCCTGAATCAGGAATGATTACGTCTAGCAATACCTGATTAAGAGGTAGAGACACTTGTAGAGACTTGTTACCTGTTTGTTGTGTCTCTGTGTGCTTATCTCTCTACACATAAGTCTCTGAGTTTCCTTCAATCTTGTCTTGTTTTGATCTTTTCTCTCCTTTTTCCTCTTCTTTTTAACAGTAAGTAACTCGGTACTTGTCATCTTTATGTACACCCCAAAAAAAAAAAAAAACCATGGGGGATATTGTATAGCCCCAAAAAACGAATAGATTTTATTTTATATGAATATATGTCAAATGCTCTCATTATAATAACTATAGAGTATAGATGATTCACTGGTGATGTCAACTTCACTCCCATGGAATAATAAAAAATGCTTTTGTTGGTATCTCAACGGATTATGAAAAACTTCGTATAAATTAGTTTTGTAGGTCGATAATTATATCCACTATTTGGAATTGCAGTTTTTGCTATCATTTCATCATGCTATCTTAATAAAACGTTGCATTACTATGAGCATAAGTGAATTTAAGAAAAGGAATCATCATTTCAAGTTTTACTTTTCACGGTTATATAAGGGGAGACGTAAATACCGAGTTCCATGAGATGTAAAAATCTAATTGCTAGTTGGGAAAGATATGTAATGCTGTAAAAAGGAAATGCGAAGGAACCTTGACGTATGGATGAGGCCAGAAGTGAGTAGTAGCAGCAACAAAGATCCAAAGCATACACAAGTGTCAATAAATAAATAGTGCGAAGAAAGATACAAACCACAATAATCCACGAAAACAAGTAGACAACTACGACTTCTCTTCAGTATATCCTACTAAATGGACTGTGGGCTCTTTTAGGCATTTTTTTTTCCTCCCTACTTTTTATATGTAAAAGAAAAGTTCGGACAATATATTTTCAATAGCGATATCATCTTTAAAAAAAATTAAACTCAGTAGCGACTGTTTAAATGACAAAAAAAAGATCCACGAATAAAATCTCGTAGCGACATGTTTAAATGACTCAGTAAATCTTAATACTTTAAATGACTCAGTCTTAAATCTTAATACATGTTTAAATGACTCAGTAAAACTTAAAACTTTAAATGACTCAGTCCTAAGACATGTTTAGTTGTTTACATGACTCTATAGCGACATGTTTAAACAACTGCTACGAGACTTTAAGTCATTTAAATAAATATTCAATTATTCTAAAGTCTTAATACTTTAAATGACTCAGTCTTAAAAAATTGTATATTGTTATAACACATATCATATATGGACTCTTATACCGGCCCATTAGGCCCATCAGGGCATTGTACTTAACATAGATTCCTTATGTACTCTATATATACATTCCAGTGATTAATAAAGTTTCTAAGTTTTCACAACACGTTATCAGCACGATAAGACTCTCTGAGCGAAAAACCCTAATAAATCCGGCCACCACCAAAACCCTAAAAGCAAGTCGAAACTTAAAAGACGCATATCTTCCAAACCGTGAGGAACCAGAAGACGATCTACATATCAATCGAAGCCCTCGACGAGACGAATCTACTGGTGAAAACCGTTTGTCGATCCAACGTCGGACGCGCCCTCACGCACACTTACAGTACACGACGATCAACCGAAAAAAAAAAAATGATAACTTGTTGATTGATTGTGTTAAATTACAAGTTTATGCATGTTCAAAGGTTTTAAACTCGTTTTATAAAACCCTAATCTACAAAAACCTAACAACCGTTTTTGGCCATGTTTATGGCATAAACCTATTCGATTTTCTTCATGTTTAATAAGCTTGTTGCAGCTTATTTGATTGTTGATTCTCTTGCTTGAAACACTTGATTGAATAAACTAAGAAAATCAACCCTAAATCCTAAGTTTGATTCACGATTTTGTAATCTTCAAAATCGTAAGTCATAATGCTTAAACCCTAGTCCTTTTCACGTGATTTCTTTGTTGTCCTTGTGAAATTATTAAAACCATCGACCACAGATCCTATAGATCTCGAAATCACATCCAAAATATGTTTTCCAAACCGTTAAAACCCTAGTTAAAACCCTAATCATATTCGGCTCCCCTAGGATTCCTCCTAAACCGCCTAAAACCCGCTAAACCTGGTTCTCATTAACCGAAATTATATTCGGCTTTAACCGATTAAATCACAGCTATTAAACCGACATCATGTTCGGGGTAACTAAAACCATACCCTTTAAAATTTACTATTTCCGAGAAAGTTCCCTCTAATAGAAAGTTTCCTCATATAAAAACTTTCCTCATATAGAAATTTTCCCAACATAGAAACTTTCCTCATTTAGAAAATTACCCAAATTAGAAACTTTCCAAATTTAGAAACTTTCCTAAAATAGAAATATTCTCAAAATAGAAAGTTTCATCATCAGCATTCAAAATTTTCTCAAAACAATCCCTAACAAAATCAATCTCATGTTTCAGATGTCAAACATTCAGAAATGTGAATTCGAAGCCCTTCACGTCTCCGGGGATAACTACCTCGAGTGGGCCCTAGACATGCGCTTGTTCCTTGCATCGAAAGAACTCGATGCATGTATTACCGACGGTAACACCGCATCCCGTAAGGGACAGTCTCAGGCGATATGTCACATACGCCATCATTTGGCCCCGAGCCTTAAGCAGCAATATCTCACTCTTGAGAATCCACTTGAATTGTGGCAAGCGCTGAAAAAGCGATATGACCATCAGAAAATGGTCCAGTTGCCTCAGGCAGATTTCGACTGGAAGAACCTTCGGTTCCAGGACTACAAATCCGTAGATGATTACAACAACGAACTCTTTCGTATTGTTGCCATCCAGAAACTCTGTGGCGAGGATGTGACAGATAATGATCTCCTCGAGAAAACATTATCCACATTCAGCACAGAGAATGTTGTGCTCCAACAATAATACCGTGCAATGAAACACACATTGTACGAAGACTTGTTGTCCTGTCTTCTCCTCGCTGAGAAGAATAACCAGCTGCTTATGAGGAACAGCGCTATGAGGCCCCCGGGATCGGCTCCTGTCCCAGCTTCTCGTCAAGAGTCCTACCATGTTCAACCCGATAGATCCTCAGATCACCGCCGTGGACGTGGTAATGGACGTGGTAATGGCCGAGGACATGGACGTGGAAGACGTGGACGCGGACATGGTCGTGGCAACCGACCTAACCTCAGTTATGGTCCTGGTCGTGGTCGAGGCATCACCAAGCCGACCTGCCACACCAACCCCGATCACTCTGCTTGTACCAGATGTGGGATGTTCAACCACCCAACAAAGCAATGTCGCACCCCCAAGATCCACTGCGATCTATACCAGAAGTACGGAAAAGCTCCTGCTGAAGCCAACATGACTCAGCCAGTCGATGCTGCTAACCTGGAAGGTGACGACCTCCTTGATGATGAGAACACCACAAACGAGCAGACCGACCCCATGGACTATGAAACAGCTGATCTCCTCGATTAATTCAATCATCTGAAACTCTGATACAATTTGATTTTGTTCTTTATTTTTTTTTTTCATTCATTTTGGGATTTGTTTCATTTTTTTTCCATTTGCCTTTATTCTCAGACACTGCTTTACTTTATGATTTATCACATTTTCTGAATTCCTCAATACTGAATTCTATCTTCTATTCATAATGAAGCACACCAGCAAATGGAAATCATAGTCGTAGATAGTGGATCCAGCCACACTATCTTAAGAAACAAAAGTTACTTCATAAACCTAACCTATCAAATCGCAAATATTAGCACCATCGCGGGTCCCTCAAACCTTATCGAAGGATATGGCCATGCCTATGTGTTGCTATCAAATGGCACACAACTTGAAATACCAGATGCTCTATATTCTCCTAGTTCGAAGAGAAATCTTCTGAGCTTCAAGGATATAAGACAGAATGGTTTCCACATAGAAACCCAAGGTCAAGGGAACAAAGAATCCCTCCTAGTCACTAAAACCGTAGACGGCCATAAACAAATCCTCGAAACCATACCCGCGCTCTCTACTGGACTTTACCATGCTAAAGTCAGTATGATTGAAGCTAATACCACTCTCAAAGCCCGATTTACTGATTATACTATTTGGCACGAATCGGCTCGGTCATCCCGGTGCAAATATGATGCGTAAACTAATTCAAAACTCTCAAGGGCATACCCTCAAAGAAAACCGAGCTTATCCTCAACACCTCATGTGCACAGCTTGTTCTCAAGGCAAATTGATCACTCGGCCTTCACCAGTTAAAATCTCTAAACAAACACTTCATTTCCTAGAAAGAATCCAGGGCGATATCTGTGGACCTATACATCCATCTTCCGGACCATTCCGGTACTTCATGGTCCTTATAGACGCATCGACCCGTTGGTCATATGTTTGTCTCTTGTCCTCTCGGAACCAAGCCTTCGCTAGGTTCTTGGCCCAAATCATCAAATTGCGGGCCCATTTCCCTGACTTCCCACTAAAGACTATCCGCCTTGACAATGCTGGTGAATTTACCTCACAAGCGTTTAATGACTACTGTATGGCCATGGGGGTAACCGTGGAACATCCTGTAGCACATGTCCATACTCAAAATGGATTGGCTGAACCATTCATTAAACGCATTCAATGGATAGCCCGACCATTACTCATGAGATCAAAGCTCCCGGCCTCAGCATGGGGACATGCAGTATTACATGCTGCTGAACTCATACGCATCCGGCCATCTAGTGAACACAAATATTCCCCATCCCTACTACTCTCGGGTCATGAGCCAGACATCTCCCATCTCAAAACATTTGGGTGTTCAGTATATGTACCCATTGCTCCACCACATCGAACCAAAATGGGACCTCAAAGAAGGATGGGAATATATGTTGGTTTTGACTCTCCCACCATCATAAGATATCTCGAGCCAACCACTGGAGATCTCTTCAAGGCCAGATATGCGGATTGCCAATTCGATGAATCGGTATATCCCTCTTTAGGTGGTGAGACAAACAAGCTGGTCAAAGATCTTTCATGAAATCAAACATCATTAAATTGGCAAAATCCTCGGACTCTAGAATGTGATTCAGAGATCCAAAAGATTATTCATTATCAAAAGCTAGCTAATCAATTGCCAGATTCCTTTGCTGACCCGACCAAAGTAACCAAATCGTACATCCCAGCTTGTAATGCACCAGTACGAATAGCTGTCCCAACGGGACAGACCCAAGTTGCTACAGAGTCTGCACCACGTCTCAAACGGGGCAGACCTCTCGGTTCCAAAGATAAGAATCCCCGGAAATCAAAGAAAGGTGCAATAACCGAAACCGGGATTCCTGCGATATCAGACATAGCCGCGGCTGAGACTCAATCTAATGAACCCTCAATGGAAGTTCGGGACGCCGAATCTCCAGGTTCAGAAGATAACAATGAGATCTCCATCAATTACAATATGTCCGGAATACAATGGAATCGAAAAGAAGTCGACTTAAATGCACTCTTTGCATACAAAGTAGCACTTGATGTTGCGCTCACGCAAGAAGATCTAGAACCCACGTCAATAACACAGTGTACACATCGAACAGATTGGCTAAAATGGAAAGAAGCCATAAACGTGGAGTTAAAGAGTCTCAAACTCAGAAACGTGTTCGGTCCGATCATCCGGACCCCATCACACATCAAGCCAGTGGGCCACAAATGGGTCTTTGTGCGCAAAAGGAACGAACTCGGTGAAGTCGTTCGATACAAAGCACGGCTTGTAGCACAAGGATTCTCACAGAGACCCGGAATCGATTATGAGGAGACTTATTCTCCAGTGGTGGATGCAACAACATTCCGATTCCTCATAAGTCTGGCCATAAGAGAAAATCTTGATCTGCGGTTAATGGATGTTGTAACCGCATATCTCTATGGGCCCCTGGACAACGAAATATATATGAGACTCCCAGATGGCATTGAACTAAAAGACAAAAATGCATCTCGAGATCAATACTGCATCAGGCTGAACAAATCCTTGTATGGACTGAAACAAAGTGGGCGTATGTGGTACAACCGCCTCAGCGATTACCTCATCAAAGAAGGCTACAAAAATGACCCCATCAGTCCATGCATCTTCATCAAGAAGTACTCAAACAAAGGATTTGTAATCATAGCAGTATACGTGGATAATCTAAACATCCTCGGAACATCTGGTGAGATCTCCCAAACAGTCGACTGCTTAAAAGCAGAATTTAAAATGAAAGACCTAGGCAAAACAAAGTACTGTTTGGGATTACAACTTGAGTACATCAAAGGAGGAATCCTTGTGCATCAATCGGCTTATATCGAAAAGGTACTCAAGCGATTTAATATGGACCAAGCTCACCCATTGACCAGCCCAATGGTAGTTAGAAGCTTAAGTGATGACCCTCTTGGTCCCAAAAAGGATGATGAAGAAATCCTTGGTCCTGAAAAGCCATACCTCAGTGCTGTAGGAGCGTTAATGTACCTGGCTAGTCACACTAGACCAGACATATGTTTCGCCGTGAACCTCCTCGCTCGATATAGTTCATCTCCAACTCAGAGGCACTGGAACGGTATAAAACATCTCCTAAGATACCTTCGAGGTACTCAAGACTTAGGACTCTTCTATACTAACCAAAATAAAGATGGGTTAGTCGGCTTCGCCGATGCAGGATATCTATCAGATCCGCATACTGCCAAGTCTCAAACTGGCTACGTTTTTACGCATGGAGGAACAGCCATCTCTTGGAGATCAATGAAGCAGACACTCACTGCCACTTCATCAAACCATGCTGAAATCCTAGCCATTCATGAGGCTAGTAGGGAATGCGTCTGGCTGCGCTCCATGACTCAGCACATCTGCAGAGATTGTGGTATGGACGAAGACACACAGCCCACGGTGATGTATGAAGACAACGCGGCATGCATAGCTCAGCTCAAGGAAGGATATATCAAAGGAGATCGGACGAAGCACATTCTACCGAAGTTCTTCTCAACCTCAGACTGGCAGAAGGACGGCACTCTCAGCGTTCAGCAGGTCCGATCCAGTGAGAATTCAGCTGACCTCTTCACCAAATCATTGCCTACTTCAACACACCGGAAGCTCGTCAAACAGATAGGAATGTATAGACTTAGAGATCTGCAGTGATGCTACAATCAGGGGGAGTAATGCGTGTTGTACTCTTTTTCCTTCACCATGGTTTTGTCCCACTGGGTTTTTCCTGGTAAGGTTTTAATGAGGCAACATTCCCCAGCGCATTATCGAGATCCCGATTGAGTAGATGACCCGGTTCACTCGTCCAAGGGGGAGTGTTATAACACATATCATATATAGACTCTTATACCGGCCCATTAGACCCATCAGGGCATTGTACTTAACCTAGATTCCCTATGTACTTTATATATACCTTCCAGTGATTAATAAAATTTCTAAGTTTTCACAACATATATTTATTTTTTCTATTTAATTATAGAGCTAGATACACGTTTGCTCAAGTAATAATTTTATTAAAATCAATAAACATGGCAACATGCTATCTAATTTGTATGATCTCGATTTGCTAGGATATCTATAATTGTATATATGTATGCATATGTAATCTTAAAAAATATACACATTAATTTTGATTAAAAATCTGATGATCAATTGCTGTATCTTATTGCCATGTTACGAACGTTGGTGCCTCAAATTATTTTTCTTTGATCTATTATTTTGACACAAGTAGAAACTTCCCCAAATGATTAAAGTCAATGATCACTAGAGTCAACAAACGTGTCATTATCATCCACGTCAGCACTTCCCACCTATAAATTATTCCCGCCAATAGCCAAATCCCAAAACAATCTACCAACTGAACGTCTGAACCGAGTCCACCATGAATACCAATACCTCCACTCTCTTCTTCTTCCTCCTCTCTCTCCTCTGTTTATCTTCTTCTTTCGCAAAAAAGCCTCAGGCTTCGAGTGGCTCGACCATCTTGTTCACGACGTTAGGAAGGCCCACTTTCGAATTCGACCTCTTCACTCTCCCCACGAGCCATCGTCCGCCGTCGCCTTCCGATGAGCACCGTATCACCGCCGGAAAATCCATTCATTTCAACGGCCATTTCGCATCTCCGTCGCCAGCGCTGATCTCCCTTATTCCAAAAAATTCTGGGATCCATTCACAAGATCCGTCTCTTCTCCATCTCATCTACGTCACCGAGAGATACGGCGCGCCTACCTTAAGCTACGACGTCGTTCAAGCCGATTACTCTAAAACCAGTGCTCAGGTTCCGTTATTGCCAGAGCTGCAGAGTGGCATGACTGTAAATTCGATGAAAGACACGCCTGTTTTAACCAACGAGCATCTCGTTTACGTGTCGACACACGAGGAACCGGGTAAGCCCAAGGCGAGCTGGGCCGCCGTCTACTCGACCGAGTTACGAACTAGATCCACTCGCCGGCTTACACCGTATGGAATCGCCGATTTCTCTCCGGCGGTGTCTCCGTCTGGGAAGTGGACCGCCGTGGCTTCGTTCGGAGAGAAAGGCTGGATTTGGAGTTTTGTAGAGAAGGAGATTGGTACGGATATATACGTTTTCCTAACTCGGGATGGGACTCAGCGAGTCAAGGTTGTCGAGCAAGGCGGGTGGCCGAGATGGGTAGACGAATCGACTCTGTATTTCCACCGGAAAAGCGACGACGGCTGGATCAGCGTGTACCGGGCGATTTTACCCAAATCTGGACCGGTTTCCACCAAATCGGTTACGGTTCAGCGAGTCACACCACCGGGTATTCACGCGTTCACACCCGCCACGTCACCGAACAACAACAACTTCATCGCGGTGGCTACGAGAAGGCCAGGAACGGAGATCCGCCACGTGGAACTTTTCGACTTAAAGAAGAACGAGTTCGTCGAGTTGACTCGTCTCGTATCGCCGAAGAGTCACCACTTCAACCCGTTTCTTTCCCCTGACTCGTCCCGAGTCGGATACCATAGCTGCAGAGGCGACGCAACCGGACGAAACGCTCCTCGGAATCTCCTCCAGAACCTCAAAACCACTTCGAAAGACCTCTCTCTCTTCAGATTCGACGGTGCGTTCCCGTCTCTCTCGCCGCAAGGTGACCGATTCGCGTTCGTCACTAACACCGGCGTTTACGTGGTGAACCTAGACGGTTCCGGTCGTCGCCAATTGCTTCCACAAATGGGATTTGGAACTGTTTGGGATCCAGTTCGATCTGGAATCGTGTACACAAGCTCAGGTCCCGCCTTAATTCCAGGGAAATCTCAAATCGATATCCTCGCCATTAACGTCGATGCACCCGATCCTTCAACCGCCGTTAGAAATCTAACGACTACCGGCCAGAACAACGCCTTTCCGTGGCCATCACCCGACGGAAAACGTATCGTGTTCCGTTCTGCTCGGTCCGGTACAAAAAACCTCTACATAATGGACGCAGAGAAAGGTGAAACCGGTGGTTTGTTCAGGTTAACCAACGGTAATTGGAGCGACGTGATAGCCACTTGGTCTCCAGACGGTAATTGGATTGTTTTCGCATCGAACCGGGAATTTCCCGGTACGTTGTTGATGAATCTGTATGTGGTTCACCCAGACGGAACCGGGTTAAGGAAGGTGGCACAGAACTTGACCGGTGCGGTATCGATGCATCCGATGTTTAGTCCAGACAGTAAGAGAATCGTGTTCACTACTACTTACGCCGCCATCTCCGCGGAGTCGATCGGAAACCCGCATTTTAACGTCCCGAGCAGTGAGATATTTACAGTGAATTTGGACGGCTCTGATTTCACGAGGCTCACGCATAACTCCTTGGAAGACGGACCACCCATGTGGTTTCCGAAGATCAAGGCTACTGGTGACGTGGCGTGGCCCAAGAGGTTTGGGCCTAGTTGCGATCTTGAAGATTTTAAGCCGCAAAATACGACCGTGAAAATGAATAGGCGTCAAATGATGTGTGTTCCTTCACAATAATTTACGTACTTATACTCTCTAAATTCAATACAATACGTTGTTAGGATAATTTATTGTAAGTATTGGAGTTGCTCCCCCTAAAAAATAAAGCTTTCAGTTTAAACATTTTCAATGTGTTTCAGTGGAAACCAAATGATAAATTGAATAAAATTTTATTTAGAGGTTTATTGCGTTTCTAGTTTCCATTTATGTTTTTTTTCCTTTGATTTATTAAACCATGATGGGTAATCAATATAAAAAAGAATATTTGCTTGACGATAATTTGGTTTTTCAGAATGCTAATATAACCACTTGTAATACAACTGCTTCCAGCTACTTTTATGTCGTCGTTGAGGCTGATGATAACAAAACAGCCAAGCAAAAGGCTAGAGTTTAGTTGAAACACATAAGTTAGGACTTTTCTAATTTATGGCCAGTAGATTATCTTTTGGTTTAAGAAATTAATAGGTCTTTCCATATCAATAGACACCCTCCATTATCCAAAAAACAGGTTTGGAGGAGAAACAAGCAGATAAAAATTTACTATGGGTATGACCACATCCACATGCAAGACAATGGCAATTTTTTGTCTAAAGATTAACAATTAAAAAACAAATGTAACTAGAAACAATATATCGTCACAGTAGAAGTTGAATGTGAAGAAGAAGAATAAAAAACCACAAAGTGCAGGATTTTCCACTTACCATATGTATTGTCATGGTATATAGCACCTGGATTTTATAGAAAGTTCTGCTTTTGAGTCGAAGTCATATTCGACTACTCCAATTGTCATCTTCAGTTGCATCTTTGGCTGGCCACTTAACCCAAGGATGAAAATTTCAACCTTTTCAAAACCATGAACACCATTTCCTCTATTTTTTCTTGTAACATACATTGAAAAAGCTCAAGTTGAAAACAAGAAACTCAAAGACAAGAATGTTGTTGGCGAATCAATTAGTAATTTGGCAATTAAACCCATATATCCGAAAGATGAAAAATAAAGAGAACATAAGTCAAGTACCTTACCTAGCAACAACCTCTAACAATCAAGACAAAGGCAATTGAAAGGGCTTAATGTTTCATGTCATACAAAGAAATTCCGAGTACTGAGAAAGCCCGATGTCATGTCACAAGACCAATGCTGTCTCCTCACAAAGAACTGCAAATATCAACAAATGTGTTTTTGATAAAACGTGGACTTTTTTCCATAAATATCAACCATCGATCTTGTAAGCTGAAGATAGAATCAAGTATCAACGGTTGAAATAGTTATAGTGTGCACAGGACTGAGTGTGCACCATGCTGGTTGGACCAGACACTATTTCCCCATAGAGTGCTTACTAATAGATAGTTAAATGAATACACTTAAGATATTTTTCTGAGAATCCGTGGATAAATAATCAAAGTATTGGTCGAATACAGAGAAGACAAATCTCTCAGTGGATAATAGTATTATACGTTTTTTCACAAACGTTACAAGTAAAAATTCCACAAGCAATTGCCACGTGTCAACGTTATCTCGCTACAATACCACAATGACATCATCTCTTACACCACTCCTCGGAAAAACTTCCTCCGCCTTATAAAAACTTCCAATATCGACTCCACAGTCCACTCCGAGCAATCCACCATGAATATTGCTCAGTTTCTATTCGTCGCGTCCCTTCTGCTCCCGCTTCACGCTTCGGCGGCGGAACATCAGAATCCAAACGGTGGAGACACCATCGTGTTCACCACTCTAGGACGATCGCACTACGAATTTGACATATTCGCTCTCTCCACGACCCATCCGCCATCGATATCGAGAGAGCTCCAAATCACAGATGGAGAATCCGTAAATTTCAACGGCTATTTCCCGTCTCCTTCTCCGACTCTCATCTCTCTCCTTCCCGACGAAACTCTAACCCAACTGGAAGATTCGTCTCCTCTTCATCTCATCTACGTCACAGAGAGAAACGGTACCTCTAGCATCTACTACGATCTAGTTTACGGCGGTGGTGGTGATTCTGATTTCAAAAGAAAACGACGATCGGTTTTAGAATCGCCGTCTCGAATCCAGGTTCCGTTGTTATCAATCGCCAATCATCATCGGAGTGGCACGAAGGTAAATTCGTTTAAAGATAAGCCGAGTTTGAGTGGTGAGTTTCTCGTCTACGTGTCGACGCACGAGAACTCAGGCGAGCCGAGGACGAGTTGGACCGCCGTTTACTCTACCGAGTTAAGAACTGGGTTAACTCGGCGGCTTACACCGAGTGGAATCGCCGATTTCAGCCCTGCGGTGTCGCCTTCCGGGAACTGGACTGCGGTGGCTTCGTACGGAGAGAGAGGCTGGACAGGGGAAGTTGAAGAGCTTAGTACGGACATCTACGTTTTCTCGACTCTGGATGGGACTCACCGAGTCAAGGTGGTGGAGCACGGTGGCTGGCCGTGTTGGGTCGATGACTCGACTCTTTACTTCCACAGAAGAAGCGATGACGGTTGGATCAGTGTGTATCGAGCGACCTTACCTGAAAACAAACTGTTGACTACAGAGTCGGTGAAAATCCGGCGAGTCACACCACCGGGAGTTCACGCTTTCACACCTGCCACGTCACCAAACAACCATGACTTTATAGCGGTGGCGACGAGGAGACCAGGCAGTGATTACCGCCACGTGGAGCTGTTCGATCTCAAGAGCAACGAGTTTATCGAGCTGACTCGTTTGGTGGCGCCGGAGAGTCACCATTTGAACCCTTTCATCTCCCCTGATGCGTCTCGAGTCGGTTACCATAGTTGCAGAGGCCAGGCTAATGGAAGGAGAAGAAGTCCTCTGCTTCTTCTCGAGAACATCCAAACCACAACAACGGATCTCTCTCTCTTTAGAATCGACGGTTCGTTTCCTTCCTTCTCTCCCAAAGGTGATCGAATCGCATACGTCAAAATGCCTGGTGTCTACGTGGTGAACCCGGATGGTTCGGGCCGGCGTGAAGTGTACAAGGGAATGGCGTTTTCGACGGCTTGGGATCCGGTTCGACCAAGAAGAGTGTATACTAGCTCTGGTCCAACGTTTGCTACGGAGAGAACAGAGGTTGATATCATCTCCATCGACGTCGACGATGCAGCGGACGACACGTCGTCTTCTTCCGTGAGAAGGCTAACTACAAACGGGAAGAACAATGCTTTCCCATGGCCATCACCTGACGGGAAGCTGATCGTGTTCCGGTCTGGTCGGACCGGTCATAAAAACCTCTACTTGATGGATGCTGAGAAAGGCGAAACCAGTGGTTTATGGAGGTTGACCGAAGGTGCGTGGACGGACACAATGTGCAGCTGGTCACCTGATGGGGAATGGATAGCGTTTGCATCGGATCGTGAAAGCCCTGGCTCGGGTAGCTTCGAGCTTTTCTTGATCCACCCGAACGGAACAGGGTTAAGGAAGCTGATCCAGAGTGGCTCAGGTGGGAGAACTAACCATCCGATATTTAGCCCGGACAGTAAAAGTATTGTCTTCACATCTGATTACGCCGGGATCTCAGCGGAACCGATATCGAACCCGCATCATTACCAGCCGTATGGTGATATCTTCACGGTGAAGTTGGATGGTTCTAATCTGAGGAGGCTGACGCATAACTCTTACGAAGATGGGACACCTGTGTGGGCTCCTCGGTTCATCAGCCCTAATGACGTGGTGTTGCGTATGAAGAATGATTCGAGTTGCTCCTTCGATGACTGTCACTGGCTCAATAAGAACCCGACGACGACAGTATTAAAAGGCCGAGAAATCTCATGTTGATAATATGTATATGATGATTCACACACTAGTGTTTGAGTATCCTTTTCATAGATATGTTTGCTTTTGCAGCTTCGAACTCTAGTTATATAGACTTGTACGAGAGTGGCCCTGTTCGTTTGTCAGCCGCCTGCGGCCGCGGCTGCGACCTGCGGCTAGACGCTGCGACCAGACGCAGTTGTTGTTCGTTTGTCAGCCGCGCGTCTGGTCGCTGAATGATGCAGCACAATATCTACCATTATTGCAAGGAGAAAGAAAGCTTAAATGCGAGCTCACTAATCAGCAAAGAGAAAGAATAATCAATGCAAAAACAGCCTTAGACCCTTGAACATTTTAATATGGTACCAAACACAAACACACACAGACCCATTAAGTAACAGATTGGAGAAGAAAATTACGAAAATTGAAAAAAAAAAGTGAAATTTTATATTTACAGATTCGATCTGGGAAGAGAGAAGAGGATTGATGGAGTTTGGAAAGTGGGTTTAAAGCCGCTTCTGCTCCCGATCCATTAAATTTTTAAGCTCAGCTGATGGAGAAGATGGAGAAGATGAATAGGGGAAGAAGAGTTTCGGCGCAGAGAGAAAGATGGACACTTTTTTTAGGGTAAATGTTTTTTGTAATTAACAAATTATTATAGGGTTAGTTTTGTAATTTACGGTTTTAAACGCCGCGTCTTTTATCGCAACGTTGGATTTGATCAGCGTCCAAAAAAATTAAAGACGCGGAACGCAGCGTTTGAACGCCGCGTCTGGGCCGCAGGAAGCTGCGTCAAAGTAACGAACAACAATCGGACGCAAGCCGCAGCCGCAGCCTCCTGCGGCAAGCAAACGAACAGACCCAGTGCCGATGCATATATCGTAATGAATAATACTGTGACTTGTATACAATGAGACTGTTAATTGTTGTACATTCAACAAAAGCTTATTTCTTTTTTTTTTTTTTTTTTTTTTTTTAATTTAAGAGCCCCCCAGTTAACTTGAAATAGCCCAGTGGATCTCAAACCCTCTTATTCAGTTGGAGTGTTTGGCGGGAGCGGGAAAACCCAGAAAACGTCGTACAAGGCTATAAAGAAGCCTCTCTCTGGTTACAGGGAATAAGGTTAAGAAAAATTAAAAAGGAGAAAAGAGGGATGGCGCCAGTTCTTCAGAGCTCACAGCCATGGGTTGAAAAATAGTACAATTTTTCCTTACTGATCTTTTCTTTTTTCCGTTGACGGGAGGTATCGGATTTAACAACTTTTTGTTTTCGATTTTGGGTTCAAGTCGGCCGAAACAGGTTAAGGACGTGGCGCATCAGGAGGAGGTGGTCCGTGTCCTCACCAACACTCTCGAGACTGCTAACGTAATTTGACGAAACTGCTAAAAAAAAAACCTTCAATTTTGGAATTTGATTTTGTACATTGGGTTTCAGTTACAAGTGTGAAAGCCCTAGATGTCGAATTCGGATCTCAATTCTGGGTTTTTTTACTTATACTTATTGTGTGTGTGTCCCTGTAGTGCCCGCATATGCTCTTTTATGGACCGCCAGGCACCGGGAAAACCACTACTGCACTTGCCATCGCCCACCAGCTTTTTGGGTACTCAATTATCTGATATTTTCCTCAAAGCTGAGATTTATATTTGAGTGTGCTTCTTTTTTATACTATGCAAGTAGCAGGTTGATGGATTATTGATGGTTTCATTTGTGTGTGCTAACTAGTATGAGACTTCAAATATGGATAATATTCATGTTTGTGATTCAAATAAACTCAGAAGATAATTCGGATGCTGAGACAATTCACTCTCTGACTGTTTGGTTGCGTTAAAATTTAGCAATTTGTCCCATTAGGTAGCTAGACAGTATACTTGAATTCTTAATAACTGTAGCCATCAAGGTATTGCCGTGTTTAGGTTTGAATTTGGATTCTATCCTCTTTCAAGCAAATTGAAGCTAAATTGTCGTCTTCTTCGTTCCATGTGTGTCTCAAATGTGTTAGTTTAAGCTTCTTTCGGGGTTTATATAACAAATGTAAATCATGAGACTGTCTTTGGTTTGCTTTTTCATTTTTCTGTGATCGGAAGCTTGGATTTGCAGATATGACATGTGGACTAACTAAAGAGTTTTGTTTTTTGCAGACCTGAATTATACAAGTCTAGGGTGTTGGAGCTGAATGCTAGTGATGACAGAGGGATTAATGTTGTTCGGACAAAGATCAAGGATTTTGCTGCTGTAGCTGTTGGGTCCAATAACCGTCAAGGGTGTGCAAAAAAAAAAACATCTTTTCCTGGGCTTTGTCAATTTTGTTTTTCTTCTTTTCTGTTAGCCAATTTCTCGCTTCTGCTTTTGTGTGTGATGTGCATTTCATCTAAGAGTACGATATGATATTACAGCGGTTATCCTTGCCCATCATTTAAGATCATCATCCTAGATGAGGCTGATTCGATGACAGAAGATGCTCAGGTACGTTGAACATCTTTTTACGACCACATTTTCTACTGTGAAATGTGTTTACAATGAACTATTTTACTGATTGTGCAGAACGCCTTAAGGCGCACAATGGAAACTTACTCTAAAGTCACCAGATTCTTTTTCATATGTAATTATATCAGCAGGTAATATCTTTAGCATGGTGCCTAAATGTTAGTTAAATTTGTCTTCCGTTCACTTGCATCTCTTTTTCCAGTTTTTCTCTTTGGGTATGTTAAATGGTTGTTTTTCGTTAATTGATTTGGCTCAGAAGTTTTATTTTTGAGCTACTCGTAGAAAACATTTTTACTTATTCATAATGAACATTTTGTGGAGCCCTGAACTATGAACCCACCGATTTTGATCACCCTTATAACTTGTTATTCTCAAGGATCATAGAGCCCCTTGCGTCAAGATGTGCGAAATTTAGGTTTAAGCCACTTTCTGAAGAAGTCATGACTAACCGTATATTGCATATCTGTAATGAAGAAGGTCTCAACCTTGGTGGAGAGGTGTGCACATATGCTTTAAGGATTTGTCTTTCTTTTGTTTAGTCTTTGTCAAAACTGCTTATACGAGCTATTTTCCGTGTAGGCTCTTTCAACTCTGAGCTCCATATCACAAGGTGATCTTCGTAGGGCCATCACATATCTGCAGGTTAGATGGAACTGTTCCATGAAATATAGTTATTGGACGAAATTGACTGTGATTGTGAAATTTGATCCAGTCTTTCTCCTTGGATATTACAGAGTGCTGCTCGGTTGTTTGGATCAACGATAACTTCTACGGACTTACTCGATGTGTCTGGGGTAAGGACAAAGATAATCCACTATGGCGCAAGTGTATAGAAGTTTCATTAGAAAAAACAATTCAGTCAGATAGTTGAATTAAATGTCTTTTGAACCTATCAGGTAGTCCCTCTGGAGGTAGTCAAGAGACTTTTTACTGCATGCAAAAGTGGTGATTTCGATATTGCAAACAAGGAAGTGGATGACATAGTTGCAGAAGGATATCCTGCATCTCAAATCATCAACCAGGTTTTTTTATTTATTTCCCTCTTCTATTTATTGCATATTTAAGCCTTGCAATTGTGGTTATAACCACATCTAATAACACTCTCCTCTCAGTTATTTGATATAGTCGTTGAGGCTGGTGATGACATAACAGACAAGCAAAAGGCACAGATCTGCAAATGTCTAGCTGAAACAGATAAGGTGAGACTTCTCTTCTGCTGGATTCTCTTTTCATTTACTTCTGCCTCATCTATGGAGTTAATTAAAGACTCAAGTGAGATCAAATTACCAACATCCCTGCTCAATAAAATCACTAGTTTTGAGTCAAGTTCACATCTTTAGATTCTTGTCTTTGCTTAGCATTTGAATCTGTAGATGTGTTTCAGTATAGCTAAGCGTGTCTTATAGTTTTTCTTTTGGATGCATACAGCGACTTGTAGATGGTGCGGATGAGTACCTGCAGCTTCTGGACGTGGCAAGCAATACAATTCGTGCCCTCTCAGAAATGGCTCAAGACTTCTAAATCAAAAATACCTTTAAAGCTCTGCATCTTGGATTCTGATGTTGGTTTTGCTTGTGTTGTTGGGTTTGAAACGGGCCTCTGCCTTGTGCGTTGTCATAATGGAATTTATCTAGTTATTAAATGCCACTTGTCACAGTTTTTTTTTTATCATAACAAGAATCTGGTGTTACCCTTGAAAGCAGTTTCAAACCAAGATAGATTCAAGCTCAAATGAGCTTTATTGAGATAGATAAAATAGCTAGAAAGGTAAATAGCTCATTGAGCTTTATTGTGCATAAAAGTAAAAGAAGGAAGGAGCTCTAGATTGTCTTCAAGATCAAAGCTTTTATATTAATATCATAAAGAGGATAAATAAGAGAGAGTTTGCCACAAACAGCAACTCTCTAAAGATATATTCTTCTTCTACAAAGCAACATATATATATGAATCTAAATTTGCTAGAAACCCTAGAATATATGGGTCAAAAGACTTGGGCTTGCATTGTTTCATAATGTTGGGCTGGTGTGTCTAATACTCCTCCGCAAACTTAGCGTCGAGTGAAACGGAGATGCGAAGTTTGAAACACACAAATAGAGATGACTCTGGTAGAAGCATGAGTAGTCAAAGCAAGAATCACAGTGATGGAGATGGATGACTCTCTTCACCATGGAGAACAAAGATGGGTGTGAGATCTATTCAGGCCTATACTTGGAAAGTATTGCATGGCTCACTGAGAGGTATTTCTTTGATATTTGGTTGAAATACCTAACACGAGCTTGACATGGTAACAAAGAAAGAAAGTTTCAAACTCAGAAGACCTTGGCAGCAATCTCATTTCATGGTCGTTTAAGAAGCAAAACACAATCTCCCGTAGCTTAACTGAGGCCGAATATCGATCTTTGTCTGAAACAGCCACCGAAATCACTTGGCTCTGTGCTACTCTTAAAGATCTTGGTATTCCTCTTCCAGCTACACCGAAGCTCTACTGTGATAACCTGTCCGCCATACGTCTTGCCGCTAATCCTACATTTCATGCCAGGACTAAGCACTTTGAACTTGACCACCACTACATCAGGGAACGTGTGGCTCTTGGAACGATGGTTGTTAAACACATTCCTTCTCATCAACAAATTGCGGACATTTTCACAAAGCCACTGCCTCATGCTGCCTTCTCGTCACTCCGTTACAAACTTGGTGTGGACGTTCCACCCACATCAAGTTTGAGGGGGGGTGTTAGACAGAGCATACCAACTCACAGAATGGAAGAGAAATCCTCTGTTCTCGAAGCCAAAACAGGACAAACTGAATCTGGTTCGAGTCAGATCGTAATGGGCCAAAACAAATGCAAGCCCGAGTCCAGCCCAACACAAGAATCACTCTCCTCACTTCAAACAACACAGCAACGGTCTTCACACTCAAAAGCTGATAAAGACAAACAAGGACAAGCCTGGGAAATGTAGACCTGCTGTACGGAAAAGGCATTTGCAATCCCAACCGTGAATCGGTTCGAAGCTTTGTCAGTGTGTTAAGATCAAGACACCTGGCCTCTCCCTTTAGGGCTTATCGAGTTCTATGTCTCCTTGTATATAAAGGATGAGAATGCAATGTAATAGGGTTAAGATTGAATCAATGAAATTATAAGCTTCTTTCTTCATATTCTCAAAGTTTGAAACTTCTAACAGCTCGTACTCCACTCAAGGTCGGGGCCTCCCCGGTTAAAGCCGCGACCACGGTTGAAGTAGCCGCCTTTATTGGAGGAGTCACCTTTGTCAACATAGAAAGCCTGATGTGGTGAAGGGACAGAAGCTGACTCATAAGACTGCAGTTTATCATCGAACCCTTTAAGCTTGTAAAGGACATCTTCAAAGGAGGGTCCTGAATATGTGTCCATGGCATCCTCAATGACAGTGACAATGGACTCGTATTCCCTGCCTAGACCGTGTAAAGTTCCAAAGATCTTCTCTTGATCGGAGATGGGAGATCCAATGGAGTCCAACTGGTCACAAAGGGACTGGATTTCGGAGAGGTACTTAGCAAGAGATTTGTTTCCCTTCACGATGGTTTGGATTCGCCGCTGAATATCCAGTTTGCGAGTTGCTGAGACCCTGTTGTATTTTTTAGCTAGGGAGACCCATACTTCCTGTGAAGATCTGAGACCATAGATGCTCTTTAGAGCTCCTTCAGAGAGGGATCCATAGAGCCAAGCCATGATTAGCTGATCGGTTTGAATCCATTGAATAAACTCAGGGTTGCTTGTTTCAACAAGCTGGTCTCCATGACGAACTCTGATGGTGGATGGTGGTTTCGGTTGAGCTCTCGTGATATACCCGAGTAAGAGCTGACTCTGAAGAAACTGTTCAAACTGCAGCTTCCAAGAGAGATAGTTGGAGTCATTTAGCTTCAAGGTTACCACCTGAGTGATGGACAGAGTTGCCGGAGTAAAGGTTGGCTGAAGGAAGGTCGGTGGACGAAAAAGAGCCACTGGTGGGACGAACGGCGGAGCCGGCGCTGGGGTGACATTTTCGACAACCGGAGGTGGAGTTGGCGTGGGAGTAGGTGTTGCAGCGGTTGGGGTTTCAACCGGAGTGGTTGAGCCCGCCGCTGGCTCTGATACCATGTTAGAAGTTTCAAACTTTGAGAATATGAAGAAAGAAGCTTATAATTTCATTGATTCAATCTTAACCCTATTACATTGCATTCTCATCCTTTATATACAAGGAGACATAGAACTTGATAAGCCCTAAAGGGAGAGGCCAGGTGGCTTGATCTTAACACACTGACAAAGCTTCGAACCGATTCACGGTTGGGATTGCAAATGCCTTTCCGTACAGCAGGTCTTCATTTCCTAGGCTTGTCCTTGTTTGTCTTTATCAGCTTTTGAGTGTGAAGATCGTTGCCGTATTGTTTGAAGTGAGGTGAGTGATTCTTGTGGTGGGCTGGACTCGGACTTGCATTTGTTTTGGCCCATTACGATCTGACTCGAACCAGATTCAGTTTGTCCTGTTTTAGCTTCGAGAACAGAGGATTTCTCTTCCATTCTGTGAGTTGGCGTGCTCTGTCTAACAACCCTTTTGTGTCGTTAAATTGTTGTGTCAAAATAATTACATTCCTCAAGCAACAAGATTAATTTTGACTCTTTTTTTTCTTTTTTCTTTTACAGAGGACAATTATTGACTTTCACTCTTTACCAAATTTTCAGTTAATATATATATTAGTATATAGAGAATATTATCAATCACAAAATTTCACGTATGTTATTATTAGAGTCAGATTTGTATTTTTTAATCAATATGTAGTAGTATATTACTTTTCACAGAAAGAGATTACCTTTAATATTAACTATTGAGATCTCCGAAAATGTGAAAAGATAAAAGTGTAATTAAGTACCTAGATACTCTCCATATCCACGTAAAAAGAAGGTTTGGATACACAACCAATCTATAGAAAACATAAATAAATTCTGTCAACAAATTCGTTGAATCTTAATAATACAAGTTTTGACTTGAAAAACTGTCAAAAAACTGGCTACGTCCTAAATATAAATAATTGATCAAAACTATAAGTAGGTTGTTACATCCATGAAACTAAAAAAACGCTTATTATTGTTGTTATTACATCTTTTCAAACTAATCGATCAAAATCAAATGGTAGATGGTGAAGGTTCTTTCAAGAGACCCGGAGCTGTGCCTTTTAACTGGGAGATCCGACCCGGTGTACCCAAGACCCGAAATACCCAACCCGATGACCCCACTCTCCTTCAACCTCCCAAGAAACTTCCTCCTCTCCGATTAAAACAACTTCCGCCGTCGAATCAGCCATCTCCGTCTTCGCCGTCTTCTTCCATCATATACGACTCCAAAACCCGCCCGGCCTCTCCCTTTGCTCCTCCTTCCTCACTATTCAAGCTTAAGCCGCATCCAGATTCTGACCACCACTCTTTAAGACCTCCGACTCCATATTGGCGATTTTCTTCACCTCGAGCCGGACTCGATTCCGGTGACTCTTTGCGCCGGTGGCGTTTTCTCAAGTCATTGGTTGGGTTGAAGAAGAGTAAGAAAAAGACGGGTGAGGAATCGACATCATCTGATTCTGACATTTTCTATGAATCGGAGACGACGTTTTCTCCGTCGGAAGGTTCTAGCCGGGGATCGGTTTCGACGAGGCGTGGTTCGCCGAAATCGTCATTGTCTTCTCGTCGTGGTTCGCCTCTGAAACGGCATCAATCGGATTTGAGCTCTTACGACAAAAAAACCATTTTAATGATGGCTCGTGATCGCCTCGCTTAGAAATGAGAATATATATTTATTTCTTCTCAAAGTCGCTTAGAATAAGGCTTTCTTTTTTGCAGCTGAAAAATACTTTATAAGTATAACGTTACATTTGTGGACATTTGTTGACCAAACACTAACGAACTAAAACCAAATTAAAAAAAGTATACAGAATCGATGTAAGATCAGTTCAAATGATTTTATGAAATTTACCAAGGTTTGGGAAGAGATACAGGAATATAGATTTTGGTAACTGTTTAATTAACAATGATGTTTCAGAAACTTTTTGATACTACAAGATACTAACTTAGAACAACACTAACGGGCTCGTCTCAAGGCCAATAACTTGGCTCCAAATAACCCGGGCAAAATAAAATATTGAGACTGATATAAGCTAAGTAAGCTAAATAAGCTAGAGATGGGGTCTTAGACTCTTAGTTTAAGCCTAAGCCAGACCCGGAGCCAGAACCCGTGGTAGACCTAACCATCGGGTGACTAAACGAAGGCTGGTTCATGGATGCTGCTGCACCTGCAGGGTTATTAAGTTGGCTGTTGCCAAACATGACATTTGGTGAAGCCGTTGATCCTGCATTCGTCTGTATCGCATTGAGAGGCAATCTCGGGCCAAATGAGAACGCTTGTTGTTGTTGTTGTTGTTGTTGCTGTTGCTGTTGGCGTGCCATGAACTGCATCTGCGCATGAACTTGTGGGTTGTTGCTGAATCCCGGGATGATGCTTGGTTGAGAAGTGCAAGCTGAGACTTGCTGTTGCTGCTGCTGCTGCTGCAGAAGAGAATTGATGTTGTTACCACCCGTGGATAGAGACATGCCTTGGAGATTATTATTATTATTATTAGTCTGTGGAGAGATTCCTCCAGCTGATCCGAATCTTGCTGAGAGCATTCGTGCTCTTTCTGCAGCAAATCTCTGACGGGTTTTCTCTACTTGTTCGCATTCTTTCATCAACAATGTTTCTATCTCTGCAAACTGCTTTAGCTTCAGCTCCATCCTTTTCAGCTGTGGGATGATTCAGTTTTTTTACTCATATATCAGCAAACTGAAGAAAATATCGACAATACAAAGTTATCATCAGCAAACTGATTCAACTAGCTATTTACCTGGTGATTTACGATATTTGCAGAAAGCCTTTGGATCTCGCGTTCCTCATGATCCGCAAACAGTTTTGCTTTTGTAGCTGCAGCTGATAGACCAGCCCTAAATGCTGCCATAACCTTATCCTGTGGCAATGGAGTCTGAGGTTCTGCTCCGTTTTGGCATGCCGTTTTATGTACTCCCGAGTTTTCTTTTACAATTAAAGCTTAGAATTAAAATACAAAAGACGCACAAAATATATGATTGTAACGAGAACAATCAAGCAACTGACTTACCATCTAGCTGCTGATTTTCTCCATCAACCAAGCTAGGTTCTTTTCCTTGCAAGCCGTCAGATTTCATCCTTGATAGATTGACAAGTTTCAGCCATCATAGGATTTATAAAACAAGAACTCGAAGGAAAGCTACAAAAAAAAGATTTAAAATGGATAGGGATCACGAGTACACTAACCTATCATCCTCAGATAATACCGCGAGGGACTCAAGGGCACAGGACGCAGCAACTCGAGGTCCAACAGCTGATGCCAAAAATGCAACCTAAAATGTTTCGGTATCAGGATCATCATATCCCACACTCACATATAATAGAGGACCAACTCTTTTCCACTCTTAATTATGAATACGATACAATTTAGGTCTCAGGTCAATCGATTTATGAGATCATAAGGATAATGAGAAGAGCATATGAATTCTGCAGCGAAAAAATTCACAAACCAATGCCATAACCGGATTCGGAGACTTCACAAAAGGAAGCTTGATTTCAGTGTCAGAATCTTGCTCAGAAGATCCTGCAGAAGCAAGTCGACAATGAGATTGGCATGTCAAAGAGCATAACCACAGCCAATAGTTCGCAGCTAAAAATTGTTTGAGGTGAAGAAAACAAAATCACCTGGTATAGTCCCATTTGAATCTCTTCCTTTGTGGTCATATCCATTTGTAGGGTTTGCCGAATTAGTTACATCTGTAACCTCAAAACTATCCAAAAGACCATCCTCCACAGGTAATCGAAGAAAATGAAGAATGCATTGAGCTTTTGATTTGGAACCAACATGCTCCGCAATCTGAACCCAGTTTTCATTGTAGAGTTCCACAGCTTCAAGAAGCAAGAGAGTTTCCTGATCAGTCCAACTGTCACCATCTTGATCGCCATAATCTTTGGTTTTATCCACTCTTACAAAGTCAACACAAGAATGTCCAACAACAAATCTTGCATGGTGAAAACAATCAGAGCATAAGAGTATATCCCCCTGTAAAGTAGAGATGATGACCCTTTAGTTTGAAGCTCTAATATCCAAAACAATAAGCAAGATAAAGGTTGCAATCTATCATGAAACACAAAGAACACTAGGAACCTTCTTTTGCGATTGGAAGTACACAGTTGGAAGCGGTCGAGAACAATGGTTGCAATGGCTTTCGCATAGGTGTTCACGAATCCTGATGTCCAAGTCAGGGAGGTCACCATCCGAACATGACAAGGATGAATAGACTTCGGCTGCCTTGTGTCTACAGTTGGGCTTGTCAAATTTGATCAAACTATCAATAGATGTTAAAGCAGCAGATGGTACATGGATCTCACCATTTGTATCCTCCCTAACATCTAATACATCCCTAGAAGGCCCAGGATGACCTTCGACAGTGGCACAGTAATTAATTATTCCCCAGTGATCAAGAAAACGGAAAACTCGTGCGAAATCTTCAAAGTCAACACCATATACCAATCCTTGGCAATCAGAAATCGCCAGTGTCTTTTCAGGGTTATCCAAGTATTTTGAAACGATGGCGTTCCTGAATTCCATATAACTTTCAGGTGTACGATTTGGCGATTTTCCAGAGAAGAATCGGGGCACCACTTGCCTTTCAAGCCGATCCACTGTGTTTGGTGCAAACCAATCTGCTCAAATGTAATACCAAAGGTAGAAGAATAAATTAGAGCATATCTGAGCCAGAGGACTAGATGAACATAGCACGAGGATATTTAGAAGGACATCACTTGCATAATCCATTAAAGGTGCAATTCTGATATAAGACACCTCGGGCTATGAGAGTGAAGAATCACATGTAGGACACTTAAAAGTCTTCAAAGTTATATGCAAATTCATGAATTGGAGGACAAGGAAACAAACCTGAATGCATAGGCAAGACATGAACGAGATCCCCAAACCGTTTAACAACTCCTTCTCCTTCCATAATAGGTGGTGGAGAGATAACATAAGCCGAAGACGATCCATCACTTGTCTCAATATCAAGGGACGGATGATCAGCCGGTACAGTAGATAACGCCTGCAATTGCCCAAACGAAATATTCTCCAGAGCTGGAAGCGAGCCTTGCCCTCTAGTCTCCCCTATCAAACCAGCTCTCTCAGCCGCCACAAGCGCCGTTACAGACGCGTGTGGCCGGATCACCACGCGTCTGACCACGGAGGGGAAGTCAGAGATGCGCGCACCGGAATCTTCCACTACCTCGCCATTACCGGGTCCCGGATCCGGAGTTGCGCCGCCGTTTTGCTGAAGCTCATCGGCATTATCAACGTCCTCCATTTCGTCGTTGTTGTTGTTGTTGTTCTCCTCCTCGTCTTCCTCCATATCTTCCTCCTCTTGCTTCGGCTTCCTCGCCAATAAACCACCTCGCTTCCGCCGTTTCCATTTCCCCCTCCTATCTGCGACGGAATACAAAAAATGGAAAATCAATTCATCCGAATTCTCACACAGTCTAAATACCCGTAGATACGATCTATGTGGAGAATTCAAATCCCAATTCGAAATTGGGATTTTGAGGGAGAAAAAAGATGGAAAGTCGTTTCCTTATGCAATCTACCTTCAGAAGCTGGCATTTTTGTAGGTGAAGAGAGAAAGAGAGAGATGCGAGGGGCTTCTGATTCGTGAGAATTGAGTTAAAACGTGAGAAAATTGCTTTCTTCGTCCCTCTCCTCTCTTCTATGCTCCGAGTCGCTCTCGTTTCCAGCTCTCGAGCAACACAGCAAATCTCCTTGGAATTTCTTTCGCCATTGTCTTCGCTAGTCTCTGTAATTTATTCATTCTCGAGGGCGACCTAACCTTCTCGCGAAACAAGAGGGTTTGGAAGACGGAGGTCTGACTTCGAAATTCAAGCATCGGTGACCAATCCGATTCTCGGTTTAACGTTCGGTTCAGAAAATACAAAAACCAATCAATTGATCAAAACCAATATTAATCGGTTTAGAATCGATTATTTGGTTCCGGTTTTTATTTGGTATGAAATGAAATCTGTTCAATCAAAATCGGTTCAACCGGGCCCTCCGATACAATTGGATTGGTTATATTAGTTGTCCGTCGAGCACGAGTGGTGTGGTTCCGGTACAAGTAACGGCGATGAAGAGATCTCGGGCTACGTCTCCACCGTCGATCTCTGCCGCCGCGAAACCACCACTTACCCCTCCGGCCACGCCGATTCTCAAACAGAAGCTCCAGAAAACAGGAATACCAAAGTGGTTCCCGCTGAAACTCACCCAGACGGAGCTCACTTTGCCGTTAACTTTTCCGACGGGTCAAACATTCCGGTGGAAACAAACCGGAGCGATTCAGTATAGCGGATCGATTGGTCCTCACCTCGTCTCTCTCCGACAACGTCCTGGAGACGACACAGTTTCGTACTGCGTCCACTGCAGCTCAAGCCCTAAAGCAGCAGAGCTCGCGCTGCTCGATTTCCTCAATGCTGAGATCTCGCTAGCCGAGCTATGGTCTGATTTCTCGGAAAAGGATCCTCGTTTCGCAGAGCTGGCGAAGCATCTCCGTGGGGCGCGTGTTCTGAGGCAGGATCCGCTCGAGTGTTTGATACAGTTTTTGTGCTCGTCGAACAATAACATCGCGAGGATTACGAAGATGGTGGATTTCGTATCGTCTTTAGGGTTGCATCTGGGTGACATTGACGGATTTGAGTTTCATCAGTTCCCATCATTGGATAGGTTATCTAAGGTTTCTGAGGATGAGCTTAGAAAGGCTGGTTTTGGATACAGGTAATGATTTTACTGCCTGCGTTTCAATGATTTCATCTAGTGGTTTCTCATTATCCCAGAAAACAAAGAAATGTCAGGTTGCATCATATTGAATTAGCCATTTAGGATAAAACTTTGCTTGAAGCTTATACACGCCTATGTATTCTGACTCTACTCTGTTTGTTGCCAGAGAGATTCTATAGCACTAAGGCTAATGTTTGTTTTCGGCTAGATAATTGTTTCATAGTGCTTTGTTCTGTTTTCGGCTATCAGACTCTGATTTTGGTTACAATGTTGTGGTGAGCAGAGCGAAATACATAACAGGTACAGTAAGTGCTTTGCAATCAAAACCAGGTGGTGGCAATGAATGGCTTCTGTCTCTACGAAAAATGGATCTCCAAGATACAATTGCTGCTCTTTGTACATTACCAGGCGTCGGTCCAAAGGTAGCAGCTTGCATAGCTCTGTTCTCTCTTGATCAGCATAGTGCCATTCCCGTTGACACACATGTCTGGCAGGTAAGAAAATTCCACCACGGTTTTTTTTTACATCGTAATCACTTAGTTTGAGATGACTGAAAGTAGCTCTTTTTTTGTTTGGGTAATGAATCAGATCGCCACAAGGTACCTTTTGCCAGATCTTGCTGGTGCCAAACTGACGCATAAACTCTGCAGCCGAGTGGCAGAAGCATTTGTGAGTAAATATGGGGAATATGCTGGTTGGGCTCAAACATTGCTTTTCATTGCTGAGTTACCCGCACAAAAAGCTCTCTTGCAGTCTTTTTCCCAGTCCCATGAAAACTCTCACAAGGACCTGTAGTTTGCTAGACTCAAGGCGGCTTCTCACGGTGTGCAAATTCTCCAGAGCTAAGAATCAAGGGCAATTCACAAGCTGATGCCTATGTTGTAACATTTCCTAGGAAATTCAAACCTTGATTTGTACTTGTTGATTCTTCATTCATACTTCTAATTGTTTGTTCTCTCTTTTCAGATTTCTTATATCGTAGTGACTTTGATTAATATAAACACAAACAAAATCCAAGTACTGTACATTAGTTTGTTTGTTTCCTAACACAATTTGGTTAATGAAATACCTATCATGATAATACAGTCGAAGTATGTTAGTAGATGAAAATTTGTGGAATGCTGAATTGTATACAGAACATTGTATACCAGCAAGACCATTCTACTAGTTTTTCAAGCCCATAATTGGCCCAACTAACTATATTGAATTGGGGGAAAAGAAATCTCGGCTGGAGTTTCTTCCAAGCCACCGTCGACATTAGTCTCTCTCTCTCTCTCCTCCGTCTCAGATTTCTTCTCCGTTCGGAAAAATCTCTAAATTTCACTTTGCAAAACCCTGAAATTTCCGATGTCGGTAAGTTGATCAGTCACAGTCCCTTGTTTGAATTTCAGAAACTCTATCACTTGCCTTTTTCGTCAAGTGATGACTTATCGATGTTTTGGTGGCGATGCAGATCTTCGAGTACAACGGAAGTGCCGTTGTGGCCATGGTGGGGAGGAACTGCTTCGCCATCGCCAGTGATCGAAGGCTCGGTGTGCAGCTACAGACTATCGCCACTGATTTCCAGAGAATCTCGAAGATCCACGATCGCGTCTTCATCGGCCTCTCTGGTCTCGCCACCGATGTCCAAACGCTGTAAGCTATCGTGCAAGCATCCATATGTTCAATTGCTTCTTTTCTTTTGTAATTTCTTAAAGATTTTCCTTTTGGTTTGTCTTTGGGGTTGAAGGTACCAGCGCCTGGTGTTTCGTCATAAGCTATACCAGCTTCGGGAAGAGAGAGACATGAAGCCTGAAACTTTCGCCAGTCTTGTCTCCGCCATTCTTTATGAGAAGAGGTTGGTGCTGGTACTTCATATCAAGTTGATGTGATTCATTAGTTACCAGTGTTGAATTTCGATTCTGGGTAGGACTGATATGAATTAGAAAGATAATCTGAGTGGGTGCTTCGTTTCAGATTTGGTCCTTACCTATGCCAACCTGTGATTGCTGGCTTGGGAGAAGATGACAAGCCTTTCATTTGCACCATGGACTCCATTGGAGCCAAGTAAGCTCATATCCTATCTGTTTTGTAGGGAAGTAGTTTACCTTATTTAATGTTATCTAGCTTGGATAGTCTAGTGTGAATAACTCCAGTCACTTGTATAGCTGTTTCGTGGATGTAATTTGTGTTTCTTATGGTTGGGGGTTTTGTTGGAATTGTGTCTAATGAATCGTAAATGCTCATGATTCCGTTTCTTTTTCATCATGTTGTTTATACTGTCTCTTGTGTTCGCTGTTTTGAAAATGAGTTCTCCATTACACTTGCATTTTCTTATGTTGCTTGATATAATAAACGGCGGACATGTTAATACTTGGTTCTATTGTAAATGCAGGGAGCTGGCTAAAGATTTTGTTGTATCTGGAACTGCTTCAGAATCACTGTATGGTGCCTGCGAAGCAATGTTCAAGCCAGATATGGTTAGTCCACGAGCATTATTAAATTACCGCAATTATGCGTTGAAGTTTTTGCAGGTTTAAGGTTCAGTGTTGTATTGTGTAAGAGTAGAATCTTGAACTGGTGTGAAATTAGGGTGCATAACACTCGTAGAAATCAGAATAGCCATTAGTTTTCTCTAGGATTTCTTCAATTGTCCCTTTTGACATGAGGTGTTTAAAAGTTTTATCTTTTTAGTCATATACCATATGTATCATAAACTCTGGCTTAACAAAATTAAATTATCAGGAAGCTGAGGAACTGTTCGAGACGATTTCACAAGCACTTCTGTCGTCAGTTGACCGTGATTGTCTGAGTGGTTGGGGAGGGCATGTCTACGTTGTGTAAGTTTCTTCTCTATGAGTTTCTTTTTGTCTTGCCAAATTTTTGTGATCCAAAATTTATATCTTAAACATACTTTCATGTTGATATGTTGTCCAGAACACCGACCGAGGTTAAAGAGAGGATCCTAAAGGGAAGGATGGATTGATCTGACTCACCATCATCATCATCTGCTTCTATCCAAAGTTGTTTTTCGCTGTAATCCGGTTTTAAGTAGAATATAACCTTCGCATCCCGGTTTAATCATAGAATCATAATTCCTTCTCTGAAATGATGGCTTCTGGATCAATGTTTGATTTCCCCTCTTGGACGGATATTTTCATTTCAATTCGTAGGGTTAACGCCTGTAGTATTGTACTCACTGGTTTTCTTTTTCTTTTTTAAATGTTTTTCACGAAAAAAGAAAACAGATATCGTGGGAAAAAAAAAACAGGGAAAACTGAAAATTCTCAGTAACTACTTGATCAAAAGCAGTTACAGTGGCCCCCTCTTTCTCAAACCTCTCTAGTTTCTTGTCCTAATTTGACCAAAAAAAAAAAAATCTCTGTTTTGTCTGTTTATCCACAAGTAACACCTATCTAGTATAATCCAAATCGGAAGTTGGTGGTGATGGGGGACATACTGGACTCGTTCTTCACCGGTTTCTTCCATTCTATTGGGAAATTCTTTGGTTCTCCGCTTGACTTTCTATCTGGAAAATCTTGCAGGTAACTATCAATTTCTATTACTCACAAGAGACTATATATTTCTTTCTTTCTTCTTCAAAGTTTATTGATTTGCTTTTTTCGGAAATTTCTTACTTAAAACAGTTCGGTTTGTCCATCGCCCTGGGATTTCATATGCTACGTCGAGCATTTCTGTGTGGCTAATCTTGCGAAAATCGCGTTACTCCTAATCTTATCCTACTTCTTTCTATTCTTAATCTACATGTTATACAAAATTGGCTTTTGGCATTGTATCATATGCGGTTTCTTCAGACTTTTGTGGGCTTTGATCTCTTGTTGGTTCTACATTCTTAGCTATTGCTGCACTTTCTTCTGCTACAATCTGCTACACTCTAAACGCAGAAGAAGACGCAGATATACAGAAAATGATTATGATGATGATATTGATGATGATGATTATGATGACGATGATATTGATGATGATGATGGATCGTTCAGATACCAAAGATCGAGACGAGAATGCAGAAAAGAAGAACGTCTTAGAAAGTCTCTGAGGCCAAGAAGCCATCGTGTTAGAGTCGGTGTGAGGAAACACCATCGTTCTGATTCGGGTTTGAGCCAACATGCTGGTGGTGTTGGTCCGATTCATGGTATTAGAGTGAGCAGAGAGTCTAAATTTGTCCGTAAAGGTTCAAAACGCATAGCTCGAGTACATCATAGTCCTCGCAGAGCATGAAAGGAAGGATGTCAGTCTTCTTAATACATCATACATTCCTTTTATTTTTTTATTTTTTTGAGGAAATCAATACCTGATTCTTGAATCCATTGGCTTGGATATAAGATCATTTCATTTTATCATATCTGATGCATTCAATTCATATATACAAAAAAAAAATCATATTTATGGTACTTGGGCTCCATACTGCTTCAGGGGTAACAGCTAAAATATGTGATGGTACGCAAAGAGGACCACATAACACACAAGTTTGTGCAACGTATATTAATTGGTCAACCTATCAATTGTTTCAAAATTCACAAAACAACAAAAACAATCTCTAGTGAAAAGCTATATAGTATCTTTCTTTCATCGATTAGTCACTTTACATCAAAATGGGATTTTACTAACATGAACCTTGTACGATGTTCTGCTCGATATGTGCAGGCACAATCAAAAAGAAGAAGGTAGAATACACACACATATGGACATTTTCACTATGGCGACTTGTAATACTCTCCACTGTTTTCTTGGCGTTATTCTGATTCTACCCTCGATAATGACGGTTAGGTGAGGACAGTTTCGTTATTTACATTTTTACTTGCAGAATTACAAAATCATGTTGCCCTGTGCCCTGAGATAAACATTACCAAAAAATGTTTTTTTTTTTGTTCTTCGAAACAGCAGTTTTTGATTTCAGAATATTATTATTTTTGGCAGCTCAGCAAATTATTTAACTCCTTTCTGTCAGTTCAGCAAATTATTTAAGTTTTCTGTCCATGTGATAATAATTCTTTAGCATTTTTCATTTCATAGTTGCAGAGTTAAAAAAAAATATTTCTAAGAATTGTTTTGTAACCAATTAGGTAGCAGTACTTTAATATCTGAGGTTATTTCCGTCAGTTAATTATGATTTTTTTTTTTTTGGAGGGAGTGGGAAAGAAAAAATCGATATACAATATGACGTGACCTCCATTGATTTCGGCGAACAAGCTTCTTCCCTCTCTCCCTCTCTCTCTCTCTTTCGCTCTCTCTCAAATCTCTCACACTGTCTCTTGGACCATTCCTCTCACTCTGCCTCCAAAATGTCTGCTGCTAGGTCACAGAGATCATCCATGATCTCTCCCTCCCGTCCTCGTAGATCGCCGGCGAGTATTCCGACGAAACGACCGGAAACTCCTTCCTCTCAGTTTTCTCCCTCTCCGGCGGCTTCTTCGAGTCCACTCCTACGTTCTAGTCCAAGTCCGTCTACCTCCTCCGCCGATCGGACATTCGCCGCCGCCTCCGGTACGGCTGTTACTTCCTCGAAACTGAAGGAGAATATAACAGTCACGATTCGCTTCCGTCCTCTCAGGTTAGGTCAATGTGGTCTGCCACTGGGATTCCGATTTTTGTTTTTTTTCGAATTCAGATATGGTGATTGGTTCTATTGACACTTATTTGGTATTGTGAAATAGTCCGCGAGAGGTCAATAATGGAGACGAGATTGCCTGGTATGCAGATGGAGACTACACTATTCGGAACGAGTACAACCCAGCTCTTTGTTATGGCTTTGGTTTGTGAAAATTTATATCTCTCGTTTATAATTCTCTAGAAGATTGTTACACTGTTTAAAAGCATTTTTAGTTCATCAAAGTGGTGAAGTTTTATTTTGTTTGCTGCAGATAGAGTCTTTGGTCCACCAACCACAACCCGTCGTGTTTATGATATTGCTGCTCAGCAAGTTGTTAGTGGGGCAATGTCAGGAATAAATGGTATATTCATCTCATCTCGTAGTTTCTTCTCTAATGGCTCCAAAAGAGAACTGTTTCTTATGCGTTGAACAGTGTGATATTGGGAGGGCGTCAAGTCAACTTAGGTGCTTTCGAAATCTTTCCCCTGAAATATCCATTCTTGCTCATTTGCAGGTACTGTGTTTGCTTATGGAGTTACTAGCAGTGGGAAGACTCATACAATGCATGTAAGTTACTAATATGTTTTTCATAACTGTCTTAACCTTTCTTTTGGTTGGCTTTGTTACTCGAGTAGAATACATATTGACCTACATGTGATACTCATCATCTTTAGAGATTTTGTGCACATTGAGATATAGATTGTTATCCTTTCCCGTCGTTCTAATTAGGAGTTACAGTAAGTTGTTATATTGGTATTTTACGAGTTCAAAAGATATCCAAAGGTGTTTTCCACTAAAGATAGATTTTGCATTTAGGGGGAGCAAAGGTCACCTGGAATAATTCCGTTGGCGGTAAAGGATGTATTCAGCATTATTCAGGAGGTGATAGGTTACTCTTTAGTTGTGTCTTCTTAAAAGGATTTGGCACTCTCTTCTTAGCTAATTTTGTTTCAGCTATCCAGACACCAGAACGGGAATTCCTTCTTCGTGTTTCATATCTTGAGATATACAATGAGGTATGTTATGTTTTAGAATCTATTTGCATGACCTGCTTGTAATACTAATGGTTTCCAAAATCTTAATGGACTTTTAATTTAAAGTTACCTGGAAGCTTAGTGGAATGCTATAGGTTTTAGTCCTCAAGTTCGTTCTTGTTCAAACCTTTGATAGTGAGTATGCTTTAGGATGGAATTTCTATGAAATTGTTAAACTCATGAAACTGCAAAGAGACAGTTGCTGTTTGTTCTAGACTTCTAGAGCGGGACCAGATTTCCAGTTCCAATTGATTTCTTGTATAATCACCTAGTGCACGATTTGAAGGTCTTTAATCGTTCTTACAGGTCATAAATGACTTACTAGATCCGACGGGGCAGAATCTAAGAATACGAGAGGATTCTCAGGTAATCGGTGGATTATGTTTGATTGAATTCTGATGTTGGGCTGTGCGTCTCATTTTGTTTATCCAAGCTTCAGTTGCATCGTAATTTTCAGTATTATTAGTGCGTGTTTATGTTGATAGGGCACATATGTTGAAGGTATTAAAGATGAGGTTGTCTTATCCCCTGCTCATGCTCTATCCCTCATAGCATCTGGAGAAGGTATAAGATCTTGAAGTAATATAAGCGTCAGCTCATTTTTCACTTGATATAGTTTCATAATTATGTTGCCAAAAAAAAAGAAATTGTTTCCTTCAGTAACTAAAAAATTATGTGTTTTATGTTCATAATCTTCTTCGCAAGGGACTTTTTAGACCGTGTAGTATTATATTATTCAGTATCAGTTGGTTGTCAGCTTTTTCTTCTCTTCATAAGGCCATACGTCTCTTATTTTTGTTTTGTTTGGTCTTGTGATTACACTTTTCCTTTGCTGGAATTACTGCAGAACACAGGCATGTTGGTTCAAACAATGTCAATCTTTTTAGCAGTCGGAGCCACACAATGTTCACCTTGGTAAGTCTTATTGCTGAAAAGTTTACTTGTCTCTATCGCATTTACTCATACGCCTTCGGTCCTTAGTAATGTGCCTCTACAATTGGGCGCTTTCTTTTCCTCTTTCCCTTAGAAGTTTATTGTTTGTTTCAGACTATAGAAAGCAGTCCACATGGAAAGGGAGAGGACGGCGAAGATGTTACTCTCTCTCAATTGGTAATTAGACAGCTCATACTGATTCTGCTATTGTTTATTAAACCATTTCACATTTTGTTGCTGAGAAGTGTATTCAGTTTGCTTTCCTTATCTAACCTTCTGGTTCCCTAATATCTGATTCTGGGTTTGATGCAGCACCTTATTGATCTTGCTGGATCTGAAAGTTCTAAAAGTGAAATAACTGGACAGCGGAGGAAAGAGGGCTCTTCCATCAATAAAAGTTTACTTACCCTAGGCACTGTAAGGAAGTTTTCTTTCAGTATTACTTTTTTATCCTCTCTATTTTAAGCGTGACTAAACTTCTAATATCCACTTCAGGTTATATCTAAATTGACAGACACCAAGGCAGCTCATATACCCTACAGGGATTCTAAACTTACGCGTCTCTTGCAGTCAACACTTAGTGGCCATGGACGAGTATCAGTAAGTTCCCTATATTGTTCCTTGATTAAGTTAGTTTTTGGATTGGCCCGTCAAAATAATGGTTTTTTAAAGAAGTTTCTGAAGGCCAGGTGTGTTTTTTTGGTTGATGAACTTTCATTTGATGACATAGCTCTTTTTCTAGAAATCAGGTTAAAGTAAGAGACTGTTGTATCGATATGGCTTTCTTACCCCTCGAATTTTTTTCCAGCTTATTTGCACTATCACACCTGCATCCAGCACAAGTGAAGAGACTCACAACACACTGAAATTCGCTCAGAGGTGCAAGCATGTTGAAATCAAAGCTTCACGAAATAAGGTGCATTTATGTTATTGATGTCTCTGATAAACTGTTTTTAAACTCGCTAGAGCTCTCGTCTTAATATTTTTAAACTGTTTTTATGTAGATTATGGATGAAAAGTCACTAATCAAAAAGTATCAGAAAGAAATATCATGTTTACAAGAGGAGCTTACACAACTGAGGCATGGGGTTTCTATGTCAACGTCTAACCAAGAAGATTTGGCTGATCGAAAACTTCAGGTTGGTGTATGCAGATAGTTCCATCTGCACACAAAAAAATGCATTCTCCAGAAATAACGTGCCTTGCTTTCATTGTGCTCTTTCTCATATTCTAAACTGAAATCTGGCCAGGTTAAACTCCAGTTAAGGTTGGACGAGGAGGATGAAGCTAAGGCTGCTCTAATGGGAAGAATTCAACGATTGACAAAATTAATCTTGGTTTCAACAAAAAGTTCACTGGAAGCAAAATCATCTGTAAAACCTGACCATATATGGAGGCATACTTTTGGAGAGGATGAGGTTTGTATTTTAATTTAAATATGTTTGAGGATACCATTCCATCTTGGTGCCGGTGGAATAAAAATATTTGTTTTTTCAGCCTTACGTCATGCATGCGATAGTGATGTATAACTTTACACCATGGTTTCCGCAGCTAGCTTACTTGCCCGATAGAAGACGGGAGAACAATGCTGATGATGATGCTAAAAGCACTGTTACTGAAAATTTCAAGGAGCCAAGAGATGGAACTAGTAGTTTAGACGAGATGACAAAGGACCGGAAAAAGACTAAGGCTCGTGGAATGCTTGGCTGGTTAAAACTGAAAGTAAGTCTACCAATCCTCGATCCCTCTGCTGTATCAAAATGTATATGTGGAGTTAGTATGATGATGTGAACTGATATTAAGAATGAACCTATCTAAAATCATAAAAACTTATTTACATGCTCACGATTTTAGACTGCTTTGGAAATATGATTCATGTCCTGTTGAACAAAAGGCCCATAATATATATATGCTGCAGAAATCTGATGGTGTGGCTGGGCCAGTGCTGACTGATGGTAACCAGTGCTCTGCAAGTGGATCTCCTTCATCTTCCTCTAAGGGCTCACAAACAAAATCAACCAGAAGAGAAAATGCCGCAAATAACAAGTCTTTTCCAGAAAGAACTGTTGCAGGAGACTTGTTCAGTGCAACTGTTGGACCAGGAGACCCTTCTCTGGTGAGTGAATATTGTTCCACAATTTTCTTGTTGCTTCTCTAATTCACTCGAAAAAATAGTGATGTCTGATTCGTTATCTGTGGAACACCATATCTGGCTTTTCCTAGATTTTCAAGTGGTCATTCTTGTATTTACTGACATAACCAGCAAAACGACATACGACAGATTGGAACCACTATTGCGGATCAAATGGATCTTCTTCATGAGCAGACAAAAATACTAGTCGGAGAAGTAGCATTGCGTACCAGTTCATTGAAAAGGCTTTCCGAACAAGCTGCTCGCAACCCTGAAGATGTCCATATCAGAGTGAGCTTTCCGTGTGATCTTTGCTTAACAATGCCCAAATTATTAGCATATTAGCATAGTGCTTAGTTCATGCTTGCATTGTCGACTGCAGGATCAAATACAAAAACTGGAAGATGAAATCAGTGAAAAGAAGGATCAAATACGTGCGCTCGAGCAACAAATGATTGGAACTTTCGGAATGAGTCATACCACAGACTCTCTTGGAATGTCCCAGGTAAATCATAGATGATGAAGAAATCAGGAGTTGCAATTTCTCCTCGTCGTTATTTCATTCAGGATTATCTGCCTATATCAATCCAATTCAATACACTCCTTAGATAATGATTTCTTCTGTCTGCTTGATATAGGTTCTGTCGAAGCTCACTATGCAACTAAATGAAAAAATCTTTGAACATGAGGTACTCATCTTCCTTAATTTCTCTATGACTTGTCAATATTTTAAAATCAGATTTGGTGACAATGTTTTCGTTATGAAACACCCTTTTCAAGATAAAGTCTGCAGACAATAGGATACTTCAGGAGCAGCTCCAGATGACTGTAAGTTAAAAATTCCATGTATTTGCATAGTCCTAACCATTTGAGATTCATAAGTCTGAAGTTCGTTATTACCTAATATGCACAGAAATCAGAGAACGCTGAGATGCAAGAGACGATCATCCTACTAAGGCAACAACTCGATTCGTTAGCCGAGAGGCAATCAACATATACACAGCAAATCGTAGGAGACGAATCATCAGGGAAGAATACTGACAACAGAAATGGTGAGGAGTCAGAAATCTACTCTGGAGCAGGAACACCGACCAGCGTGATGAGCTTAAATAGAGTATTTGCTCAGGAAGAGACTAAAGAGATCAAAGACGAGACAACTCTCAACTCTCAGGTATCTTTCTCTTACAGAGTTTGCTCGTTTCTTCAACTGTCATTGTGCTAAACATGTTATTGGGTTTTTATACCATTAGGCTTTGGAAATAGAGAATTTGAAGAAGGAGAAGATGAGACTGATCGAGGAAAAAGATGAGTTTGGAAAACTTAATAAGAAACTCACAGAAGAAGCTTCTTATGCTAAAGAATTGGCGTCTGCTGCAGCAGTAGAACTCCAGAATTTGGCTGAAGAAGTTACCAGACTCTGCAATGAAAACGCAAAACTGAGCAGGTGAAAAAAAGGTTACAAGCCTCTGTTGTTGCTAAACATGACTCCAGCTTCAAGATAATTCTGCAAAGTGGATCATCATCATTGACCTTTAATGCAAATTTTAGACTAGTTGAAATGTGATGATGAATGCATCAAAGGGAGAAATGTTCTTGGATATCATGATGCTTCGATCTCCCAAAAGATAAAGATTCAATCCAGACACAAAAAAGTTGGTTTGTATTGCATCGATCGCCTTTGAATTTAACGTCTGATGACAAACACATTTGTAAATATTCTCACAAGAATTTGTTTTTCTTGCACTTTGTGACTACTGTTTTTGTATGTTCTTCTTAGGTCGAACCGACCATGTTGCAACAAGTCCAATTATTAGTTATTCAGAATTTAGCTTATATGTAATTGATTGGATCTTTGAAATAAGCATAACCAAGCGAAGAGGAAGATCTCTTACATATTCTTTTAGAAGATCGTAATTCAAAGTTTTTGTCCAACCTAAGTAGATTATTAGATTTTGTATGTACATAAACAAAGTTTGCTAGGAAAGAGTTTTTTTTTTTTCTCTTTTTATGTAAGGCAAATTAAGCATTGGAGTGATGATAATGAAGATGAATCATATTGTTTGTGAAAAGAAAGAGGGACAGAGTTCGGTTGAATTTCCATCCATAATCCAAAAAATACCAAAAAAAAAAAAAACCCACAGGCTTTTTCTTTTCACCAGAACCACTAATATTTTTCTATACCCGATTAATATATAAAATAAAAACTCATAAATTTTCTCATCATCATCTTTATTCTATTTCTTCTTTAAGTAATTGTTTCTCGTTTTCTCTCCAAATTGACAACGGTCGTTACTCGTTTTCACCTAACAGTACTAGTTTCATATGTTGAATCCACATTTGCGTATTGTAGTATTCACATAATCTAAGAATTGGATAAAACTAATATCAATTGCACAACGCTTATGTCACATTAATGCGCGTAAAACACTTGGCATTGAAAATATAAAAATTCAATAGATTGAAGATACAATTATCAGTTTTAAGACTTCGTCATTAGTGATAATATCACATTTTCATGAAACTCGGCAGTCTTCATAGTGGTTTAGAATCACCACGACTTCTATATCTCCTTTTCCTTTTTTTTTTTTTTTGAATAAATTTAGGTTTGGTTCTGTTGAGCATTGATCAAGATACAAGATTCATGATTCCTCTCTTTTAGGTTAACCGTCGTACTTACTACTACAATGTTAGGGCTTTTAAAGGAAGTTTTCAACGCCACGCGCGATATGGACGTGCTTGAAGTTAACCTTATCATATTTTTTTCTACAATGTTGAAAAATAATATGTTGACAAAACTATCTTCATCATTAAGCAATCCATGCTCTCATTGGAGTCTTTTCTATATCTAGTTGTCGTCAAAAACAAAAACAAAACGCAAAACTACAAAATTTAAGCAATTAATTATTGATGAAACTCACAAACAAAATTAATTAGACATTGAGTTCTCGATACAGAAAGAAAGAAATTTGGTTATCCAACTCGTACTAACCAGAAAACATACGATTATTGCAGCATGAGTTTATACTTATCATATACATATATAAACTTGAAAGGAATGCGAAACGATCGCTGTTTGACATAAAATCGAATTTATATTAATCGCATCCATGAAACCGTATTAAATCATCTATGAATAGATGACGTCGAACTTTGAATGTCTATACGGGTTACTATCTAAGAAATGTAAACACTAATGAACGGTGTTCCCACACCAAGGGAGCTTAATTTAGACATGAAGACAAAATTGTCATTTAGTTTCCTTGTGATATTTTTTTGGGACAAGGTAATATTAAGAAATTGTCATTTTGTTATGGAAAAATAAAATTCATGAAAGACAGAAGTCAAAAGATATGGAACTTAACAGAGAGGTGGGGCTAAGCTGGACGCCATCAAATGATGACGCATCAAGTTGAAACTCATGGTGAGGCCAAGCCATTGGTTAAGACTCATATTTTCTCATCATTCCAAATTTGGCTCTTAAGTGATATCATGTTCTAAACCCTTTCCCATTATACATACCTTCTTTTTTTTTAAGTGATATTATGCACGTAATTTTTTTTTTTTTGGAACAATTTCAATTATGCACGTAGTTTTATTTGATGATATATAACATTACTTGATTTAAGGATGATGCGTATTTTGAAAAATTCAAAGACCCAAATGCATACAAACTAAATGATTATGTCATCAAAAATAGTTTGAATAACAAAAAGAATTGGTATTAAATTTGCAGAGTTAACGTGAGAAAGAAAAATGTGGAGTTAGAAACAACCACCACTTTGTCTATCTTACCTCCGCGCAGCTCACCATTTCGTTGGACATTATGTAACAACCATTAAGAATTTTAAGATTCAAAAGTGATATCATCACTTCATTAATTACCTCACTAACTTTCCATTAATTATTGCATGATTCTCTACCAGTCTGCTTTATAAATAAATATCTAGTATTAGTATTCATTAAAATTTAGTTTTTAGAAGTTCTTAAACATATTTAAAAAGTACTTTAACCAACCATATTCTTTCGATTTCTTGTTCTCTAGTCATAAAATAATGTGCATTCTTTAGTGAGTTATCGAAAGTATAATGATCGGTTGGGTTTACTTTGGACATTGAAATAGAGAGAGAGAGAGAGAGAAGACAACAAAGTCTGGGAATGATAATGGATTTTAGTGACGATTAGCATTTTGGTAGTAGTTGAGGGAAAATAATGACTCTAAACTTTTTGGATGCATAATGAAAATTGAAATGGATGATATGTGAAATACTTCAAAGGAAACTTTTTTGATATAACAGAAACAGAAAAACGAAATTAATTAAGTAAAGATGTTTTGTTGACGGGACATGGATACCGTACCGTACGTCTAACATTTACAAATATCAAACAATAACCATCCTTTTTTTCCACCAAATGTACGTTATCATTCCTTAATTATCACTATGTTTTACCCGTTCCATTAATAATAACTCTTGAAATAAATTATTGTTTTAATCATCATATAAATATTACTAACGAAACACAATATAAATCGATCGTGTTAGCTTTTGATCCACACAAAAGAGTCAAAGATCATGCATGGAGTTCTCTTACACCATATCTATATTCGGCCGGAAAAACTTCTGGCTTGCAGAAGATTTGAGTCGTTTCTCTCGTATTGTTCGGAGCATGCTACAGTTGAAGTCTAGGCTTGCAGGGTTCCTGCGATGTGAGGTTGGCGATGGTGAGACTGCCTCTTTTTGGTTTGATACTTGGACGGATCTGGGGCCTCTCATACATTTCATCGGGGAGAGAGGTCCTCGGGAGTTACGGATTCGTTTGGAAGCCCGAGTTATCCACGCCACCAAAAATGGCGAATGGAATTTGCCGGCTGCTAGATCGGAAGAAACAGAGTTACTTTAGATTGCCATCTCTGCAATTTCTCCTCCTATTCTCTCGCGGGGGAGTGATTGCTTTCTCTGGCGCAATTCTGCAGGTCTCTTCGCGCCTCGGTTTTCATCTAAGGCGACATGGGAGCAGATTCGAGACCATTATCCGGCGGTTCCTTGGCATCGTGTTATTTGGTTTAAGGAAAATGTTCCTCGATGGTCGTTCATCACTTGGTTAGCGTTCCTTGCAAGGCTACCGACCAAAGATAGACTCAGGCAATGGGGGTTGAATGTTAGTGCTGAGTGTGTCCTCTGCTCTAGGGGTAATGAATCACATGGTCATCTCTTTTTTGACTGTCAGTTCTCGGCTACAGTCTGGAAGCGCTTCGTCGAACCCATCAGGATTAACCCTCCGTTGGATCTCTCTTCTGCTGCTTCGTGGATCTCCAATCACCTTCATGGCAGCAACCGCACTCACGCCACCCTTGTTAAAGTTATATTGCAGGCGCTAGTGTATTCAATCTGGAAAGAGCGCAACTCAAGGATCTTCAAGTCGGTGTTCTCCTCTCCGGCCGATTTCTGCTCCGCGCTCGACCGCCTAATTCGAGACAGGCTCCTCTCCTTCCCTGCCTCGAACGTTAACTCTTCTTCTCTTCTCCAAGTTTATTTCAGTTTAAATGCTCCCCCTTTTAGCTTTTCAATTTGCTTGTTGTAATAAGCTTTTCAGCATGTACAGTGTAAAATTCAGAAAATTGGTATAAATCTTAATATTTAGACAAAAAAAAAAATATCTACATTTCAAAACGTACAGTAATAGTTGTATACATACTTGATCATGATGAGAGGAGTAAAGGTATACATGCATATATACACAAAGATAATGTAATTAAATACTGCAATAATTATTAACCTAACTCTACTGTTGCTTTTTTCCTCTTTTTTTGACAAGCTATTGTTGCTTTTCGTCCTTTCCCTATATATATTTGCTTAGATCTTTGATTATTATGTCGATTTTTGCATGCCAGTTTTCTTATCAAAGTTTATCAGTGGCCAATTCTATAGGTTCGGTTTTTAGAGTCAATTAAGCTTTACTACTTACTAATTAGTAAAACTACTTAATAACGTGATTCCACGTGTTAATAGAGGTAACTAGAAACAATATTAATATTCCAATGGCAAAATATATCAGATAATTATATGTTGATACGTTGTTGTTAAACCAAGATGTTTAAGGACTAAACTTCTAGTTAGTCTAAGCTCAGAGCAAACGTCGAGAATATCCTTTGGTTTGTCATTTATCAACTCTCCATCCCAAATGAGGAAACCGGGGTAGCAAGACACAAACCGGTGCTGAAACCGGTGTGGATACTTGCTAAAACGACATGTCTTACTCGTAATCAAAATCTAGAATCTGACGGTGGCCAGAAATAAGTGGACAGTATTTAATATAGGTAGATATCAGAGGCAGAGGATCAGGAAACCACTATCTAGACTAAAAATTCCAAAAGAATCAATTTTGAATTTCCAAGTTTGGGATGAGAAGGTGCATGCGAACTGGAAATGACAAGCACGTGAGAACCCGATTTTGCATCACGTGACAGGCACACTTTCCTAGTGGCATGTTTCAGCTTTTTCTTATAGCTTAAAGCCCTCTCTCTCTCTCCGTAACATGTTCATGTTTCCTTCATGCATTTGTTTATTAGTAGTAGTATTTCATTTGTTTTCGAGCATTGAACCTCTCTTCGCTCCCATTGATCTTAAAGAAATATCTTTCTCCAAAAATTTCAACTGATCACTATTTAATGTTTTACTATCCTTTTTATAATTTTTAATTGTCTATATGTGTTTTCTTATCGACAACCGTTTAAATGTAAATCTAAATATATCAGTATCAAAACTTTAGTGTGAAACCTTCTAACAAAATTAATTTTAATATAAACATACTGACCAAATGATGGCTTATTAGACTTGCAAATAAGTAAGCTATTTTGAAGTCGCATACCTTCAAGCCTTAATATTTTTTTCTGTTTTTTTTGTTCTTTTCAAATACAGTTTCTGTTTAAGGTTATCCTCAATAAAAGAAACTAGAACCTGTCAATTTAATAACACTTGTACCTACCAAACTAGTGACACTTTGGGGAAATAAAAAACCTAATGACACTTTTACTGTTTACTTTACATAGTAGTACTTGTTTTACAAATTTAGGGGATATATAGTTTAAACTTTTTTTTTTTTGAAATTTGTTAAAGAGATAAAAGTAAAAGTATATAGGGGAAAAAAAGGTAAAAAGTGAAAAGTAAAAAGACACGGTCTTATCACACAACCTCCTTCGTCGTCGACGTCGTTTCTATCTCTGTATCTCTCTCTTTTTTCCTTGCCGGAAAACTTGTGGAGAATTTTCAGAAATTTGTTATTAAAAAGAAACAGATTGCCTTTGTTTTTGGTTTTTCCTCGTCTCTCCCACTTTCTTCTTCCCCATTTCAATTGCATTTAAGTTTTGCTCAAATCCCTAGCTTTCTTACACACATCCCTATCCGTTAAATTTCGTAGACATCGAAATTTAATTGCAACAAGACGAATTTATTTTTATTACTAGTTTATTTTTTTAGAACTAAACCCCAAAATATATTTTTTTAATTTTGCTTTCTGTCTCTCTCCTCTGATTCCTGTCTGCTACGGTCACGTTTAAAGAAATCAGCAAACCATGGATTCTTCTGTCTCTCTCTCTGTCACTCTCTCGCATGCACGAGAGCTCTCCTCTTGTACGTTTAATCTTTTGTTTTTTCCTCCCAATTTCATCCGTTCACCATAACAACGACAAATTACTAAACTTTTGTTTTTTTTTTGAAACTCTTGAATTCCTGGTATTTATCTCTCCGATTTTGAAACCCAGATTTCGGATTTGGGGATTTGTTTTCCTCTCCGAACAGTCAGACGAGATTTGAGGAAAGAGATGGTCTTTCCATTGTCCGTACAGGAAGAAGAAGCATGAGACTTGAAACCGTCTTTGGAGTTGTGGAGACGACGAAGCCTCATTATCATCATCTTCTTCTTCTTCTTAGATGGGTTGCGGAGGATCCAAAGTAGATGATCAACCGCTTGTGATTCTCTGTAGAGAGAGGAAGGAACTGATCAAAGCGGCGTCGCATCATCGCTGTGCTTTAGCCGCTGCTCATCTCGCCTACTTTCAGTCTCTCTACGACGTGGGCGAATCGATTAAACGTTTCGTCGACGAGGAACTCGTCGTCGTTGGCTCATCTTCTTTGCCGGGTTCGCCAGTTCTTACTTTACCTTCCGATGAAGGGAAGCCTCATAAACACAAGATCTCGTCTTCTTCAACTTCTATCTCGCATTCCGTCGTTGAAGATGAGGAAGAAGAAGGTTCGCATTTGCACTTAACATCTGGATCAGAGTTCGATTCGGGATCCGAATCTGGATCTGACGAGGCATTAGGTCATATCCACATTGAAACCAGCCCTAAAGTGGAAAATGAAGAACGTTTACCGGAAATTTTCTCACGCGGTTATCCACCCGGTTACCCGCCCAGTTATCCGTTAAGTTATCCGCCTGGTTTTGCACCTGGATTTCAACCGGGTTACCCACCGGGTTACTCAACCGGGTATCAGTATCCGGCTCAAGGATGGGAATACATGGGAGAGAACCCGAACCCGTATCCGAGAATGTATTTCATGAAGAAGTCTGCGCCGTCATCTCGACCCGGAGTATTTCAGCCGGAGAATCATCGAGTGGAGAACGGGCAATGGCTGCCGGAGAACGGAGTAGGATATTCCAATTATTTTCCCGGGTACGCTAATTCTGGTTATTTCGGCTACCCGGAACAACGTCGAGCACCACCTTCTCCGGCGAGGCCGCCTCCGTCTCCGCCTACAGTTTCCAGTTGGGATTTTTTGAATGTATTCGATACTTATGATTACAATAGAGCTGGTGTCGGTGAAAGTTCCGGTGCCGGTGCCGGGTACTCTCCGGCCAATGGTGGAGTTAGGTCAAATTCAAGCAGTCCTGATTCGAGGGAAGTGAGGGAGAGGGAAGGGATTCCTGAACTGGAAGAAGAAACAGAACAAGAAGTCATTGGGCAAACATTCAAGCATACGAAGAGGAAAGGCACTGAGAAGGTGAAAGAACACAGTCAGGAGAATGAGCCCGGGAACTGGTCTCAACGGGAAGAGATTAACGAGAGAAAAATCAAGAAAAGAGGAGATTCAGGTGAAGGAACTTCAAGGGCAGCAGTGCCTACGGCAGAGAGCTCTTTTGGTTCAAAGACTGTGTCATCGTTTTCAAGCAGTGAAGAAGGATCTGAGTTTCACCATGTTGATGATGGAGAAGGAAAGAGTAGCAGCAACGATTTAAGCGGGCACGAGACGGTTGCTACGAAGAGCGTTGGGGAAGTAGAAGAAGAAAATTACGTGAGGAAGAAAGGTGTGAGCTTTGAGTTGGAGGAAAGTATTGCAACTTCTTTTGATGTTGAATCTTCCAAGATTAGTAGCCTGTCTGCATTGTCGGTTCATGCCACTAGAGATCTCAGAGAAGTTGTGAAGGAGATCAAGAGTGAGTTTGAGGTTGCTTCTTCACATGGGAAGGAAGTGGCTGTGTTGCTTGAGGTCAGCAAGTTACCTTATCAGCAGAAAAGCTCTGGGCTTAAAGGTAATGTTCTTACATTGTTTTTATTGTGTTTGAGATCGCTTCCTTAATTGCATATATGAGTTTTCCAGATTTATTGCTTCATTTGAAATAATCTATACATGAAAAAACCATTTCTTGTAGATCAAGCTGGTTACTTGGGGCGATGATTAATACATTTCTGCATGTGAGTTAAGGTTAGAATAGAATTAGCTGCTTTGCAACTGTGCTTGAAATGTAGCAGTACTTTGGATCTTTTCATGCATGAGAAACAATTTTTTACTAACTCTGATAGCAATACTAACTTCATTTTACCTTCGATCTGTTCAAGTTTGGAACTAAATTTCGATGTAGTGAAAAATAATGCTGACCTTTTGATAGAATGAGAACTATTATGCCTGGTTTATAATAGACCATAGGTTTGATTTGCATCACTTGAGTCATACTTTGTTGCTTTTTCCAATGATATCTACTCTTCTTGTTTCTCTCTCTAGTTATCTTTTCCCGGATCATGTACCTGGTAGCACCATCCACAGCGTCATCGCGTTCTCAGCCTCAACCGTCAATACGGTTAACATCTAGGATACTGAAAGTTGCAAAAACATACAATGGTCAAGATGTTAGAGAAGGCTTTAGTGGAAACCTCTCATCCACTTTGGAGAAACTCTACGCCTGGGAAAAGAAACTGTACAAGGAAGTCAAGGTGTGGATGTGTTTCTTGGTTTCGAATGTGGATTAAATGTCTCTTTAGATCCGAGCATCTTGTGACGTATGTAGTTCTTTGTTGATGGCAGGATGAAGAGAAGCTTCGAGTTATTTATGAAGAAAAGTGCAGAACATTGAAAAAACTGGATAGTATTGGTGCGGAATCTAGCAAGATTGATGCTACTAGAGCATCCATTAGGAAGCTACTAACCAAACTCGACGTCTGTATAAGATCCGTTGATTCCATTTCCACCAGGATACATAAACTGAGAGACGAAGAATTGGAGCCGCAACTCACTCAACTTATTCATGGGTAATAAAACCATTTTCATTGCTTCAGACTCTTCCTACATGTTTACATATATTCCTTTATGTAATCCGGTTCTTGGAAATTTTAAAGGTTGATAAAAATGTGGAGATCGATGCTCAAGTGCCACCAGAAGCAGTTCCATGCGATCATGGAGAGCAAGGTTCGATCTCTCAGGGCGAACACCGGCTTACAAAGAGACTCTGGTCTCAAAGCTATTCTCGATCTGGAGATGGAGCTACGAGAATGGTGCATTAGCTTCAACGATTGGGTCAACACTCAGAAACTATACGTCGAGTCTCTAAATGGATGGCTCTCAAGATGTCTTCACTATGAACCTGAAACAACAGAGGACGGGATCGCACCTTTCTCTCCTAGCCGTGTTGGAGCTCCACAGGTTTTCGTTATATGCAAAGATTGGCAAGAAGCAATGGCGAGAATCTCTGGAGAGAACGTGACAAACGCGATGCAAGGTTTCGCCTTGAACTTACATGAACTATGGGAGAGACAAGATGAGGAGCAAAGGCAGAGAGTGAAAGCAGAGTATGTCTCGCATGATTTTGAGAAACGGTTGAATGATCTCCGGATGGAGAGGGCGAGAGCGAGAATGAGAAACGATCAGCTACATGACGGTGCATCGGAGAGAAGCGTGGTCTTGTCCGAGAGCGGGATTTCAGCGTTGGATGATTTGAAGGTGGACTTGGATTCGATGAGGAAGAAGCTAGAAGAAGAGAGAGCAAGGCACAAGGAAACCATTAAACTTGTGAACAATGCAGCTTCAAGCAGCTTAAAGCTGGTTTGGTTCCAATCTTTGAGGCTTTGGGAAATTTCACGTCACAAGTTGTGAAAGCTCATGAACATGTTAGGTTTCAACGACAACAACCTCAATCTTCTTCTTGATGAAGTTGAGGGTTGATTTTACACGAATTGAAAATTTTGGTAATGAAATTATATTCGGCTTAGGAAATTGTTGTACATATTTTACAATTTATATATTCATTGATTGGTTGTAGCTTCTTAATTATCATCATTCTTTTCTCTTTAAGGTATCAAATACTCGGATTTAGTTCGAAGTCCGAATGTATTTTTCTCAAACTTATATCACGGTCAACAAAAATCTAATGATAAAAAGTCATGAAACTAAACTAAAGTACTAAACCATCTATTACGGGTCAGATCTAAATGCATTTTTTTATTTTGACCATTTTGTTCCACGAAGTCACGAGCTGGAGATCTCATTTGGTTCCAGCCTAGTGATCACGTGGTGTTTCGATGTCGTGGCGCTTGTTCATTGGCACTGTGACTAGTGTTCTTCGGTTTAGACAAATTTCTCTCATCAATTTGGTTTTTTACTTTTCACCCCCGGTAAATTGGAAATTATAACCACAATCGTTTATAACCGCCTAAGGTCAAGATCGTCAAGACACTGTGTGACACATTTAAGTTCTTGCCAAATCCCTATAAGGCTATAACTATGACGACGTAACATCCAATGAGAAGTCGCCACGCGGATGTATGACCATTTAGCACTCGGTTTACATGATTTGCAGTCAAACGCGCTGATAAATATCTCCCAGAGCTTCTCCGGAGAGCTTACAGAGTTTCCGAACGAAGAAATCGAGAGAGCAATAATGGCGATGAGAAGATATGCGTTGTTTTCGATCCTTGTGTTGTCGTTGTTCGCTTCGTCCATTAGAAGCGAGCAGACGGAGACGAAGGAGTTCGTGTTGACCTTGGATCACACTAACTTCAGCGAAACCATCAACAAGCATGATTTCATCGTCGTCGAGTTCTACGCCCCATGGTATTGATTTGTGATTATTAAACCTTTTCTGTTAGTATATTTCTATGTGTTTCTGATTCGTGAATCTGATTGATCCCCTTTACTTTTCACCTGGATCTAAATTTAGTATTTGATTTTTGATCGTTTTTGGATTTGCATGCGAATGATTTCTTATTCTCACTTACGTTGTGTGCCTGTGTGGTGTTTCCACTTTTGATCTAAATTGGCGTAGAGGCAGAAATTTTGTCGCAATTCTGTGATTTGAGCGATTCGATCTATTTCCATCTATGATCTGAATTCAAATTACGAGCTTGTGCACTTAGTAATTTGGCGCAAGGATGCCCGATTTGATATTTTTTTTTGTTTAATTCTGTAACTGATGCGTAAAAGTATGTGATCTTTATCTTGTTCTTCATCAGGTGTGGACACTGCAAGCAGCTTGCTCCTGAGGTAATACCGCTTTTACAATAACTTATATAGGATCTGCATATGGGGAATCTATTTAATCATTTACAAAGCTATTTATCTAATTTATGTAGCCGTGACTGAAATGGTGATGAAATTTTGTTTACAGTACGAGAAGGCTGCGTCAGAGTTGAGCAGCCACGTCCCTCCGGTGGTTCTCGCTAAGATTGATGCAAGTGAGGAAACAAACAGAGAGTTTGCAACCCAGTACGAGGTTCAGGGTTTCCCAACAATCAAGATTTTCAGAAACGGAGGAAAAGCCGTTCAAGAATACAATGGACCTCGTGAAGCTGACGGCATTGTTTCTTACTTGAAGAAGCAAAGTGGACCTGCTTCATTTGAAATTAAGTCAGCTGATGTTGCTGCTGAGGTTGTTGGTGACAAGAAGGTCGTTGTGGTAAGTGTCACAAACATATACCCTTTTCTTTTGTTTTCATGATTTCATCATATATGGCAGGCAAATAACGTCTGTTTCTGGTGTTTTAGGTTGGGGTTTTCCCTAAATTATCTGGCGCCGAGTTTGATTCTTTCTTGGCCACTGCTGAGAAATTGCGCTCTGACTATGATTTCGCACACACCTCTGATGCCAAATTTCTTCCTCGTGGAGAGTCTGTGACGGGACCTGTAGTCAGGCTATTCAAACCCTTCGATGAACTGTTTGTTGATTCCAAGGTACAAGAGAAATGCCTTTCATTTTGTATTACATAGATGAGTGGTCCTGTTATACGGTATATTGTTGGGGAATGCTTGTTTGATTTTCTTCCGTGCATCCAGGATTTTGATGGGGAAGCTCTGGAGAAATTTGTCAAAGAATCCAGCATCCCACTTATCACCGTCTTTGACAAAGATCCAAACAACCACCCATATGTTATCAAATTCTTTGACAGCCCTAATACTAAGGTAATTCGCCGTAGAGTTGCCAAAGATTTTAATCCCATTTCGCTGTAACCAGTTCATGATATACTACAAACATGGATTCTTGTTATGCCTTTTAATTTTACTAGATAAGTATGCTTCATCTATAGATTTACTGAACGAAAAAGTTGTTCATGGCGGTATAGAACTTGACTGAATTCCGTTTCGAGTACGGAAGGAGCTGTATTCGTTTTGATAGTTGTGTCTAGAAATTTTTTTTTTCTTTACTATTATCACTAACCGCTCCAGGTTCCTCAGTGTATTCGTTTTGATGTTGAGTAATATTTTGAGTTTCAGGCGATGTTGTTCATTAACTTCACTGGAGAAGGAGCTGAGACTCTTAAATCAAAGTACCGTGAAGTTGCTACATCCAACAAGGGACAGGGTCTTAGCTTCCTTCTCGGTGATGCTGAGAACAGCCAAGGCGCATTCCAGGTTAGTCTTCTTCTACTATGTATCTTACAATCACTTCATCCCGTGTTGGTTACAAAATGCTAAGCAGATTTCTCTCTTTTCTGAACCAATAACAGTACTTTGGACTCGAAGAGAGCCAAATTCCTCTCATCATTATCCAAACTGTTGATGACAAGAAATACCTGAAAACAAATTTGGAGGTTGACCAGATTGAATCATGGGTCAAGGACTTCAAAGATGGAAAAGTTGCTCCACACAAGAAATCTCAACCTATCCCAACCGAAAACAACGAGCCAGTGAAGGTTGTTGTTGCTGAGAGCCTTGACGACATGGTCTTCAACTCCGGAAAGAACGGTGAGTTACATTACATTATTAAATCACAAACGCCTGTTTGCTGTTAGCAAGAAGTTTATAAATCAAGTTTTGTTTCGTCAAATTTTATTGCAGTCTTGCTTGAATTCTATGCTCCATGGTGTGGACACTGCCAAAAGCTTGTTCCAATCTTGGACGAAGTCGCTGTGTCATACCAAAGCGACCCAAGTGTCGTCATAGCTAAGCTTGTAAGTCTTTTCTCTTTCCTCGTATTTGAGAGTATGGTCTGCGGTTTAATCTTGTACGGGTTTCTTAACGCTTTCACTTGTCCAGGACGCAACCGCGAATGACTTCCCACATGACACATTCGATGTGAAGGGCTTCCCAACCATTTACTTCAGATCAGCGAGCGGAAACATTGTGGTTTATGAAGGAGATAGGACAAAGGAAGATATCATAAGCTTCATCGACAAGAACAAGGACACAGCCGGAGAGCCTACAAAGACGGAGGAAAAGACAACTGAGGAAGCTAAGGACGAGCTCTAAAAAGACAAAAGTGTGTTCTGACTCTTAGCTGCTAGCTTAGTTTGGTAGTTTTGAGGAAAATACAGAGAGAGAGAGCGAGAACAATAATGGCTATCTATTCATTAGAGTTTTATTTGCACTCTGCAGAACAATAATGGCTGCCTCTTCTTTTTTTGTTTCATTTTTGTTAATTTTCTTTTTTGAACTTACAAGTTCTCTTTTTATATAATGTGTGAGATATTGAGGCATTTCTTCAGACCTAAGACAAGAACAATGTAAAACCTATAAAAGAAGTATAGAAGTATAGAACAATGTAAAACCTATAAATCTTAAGGAATATAAGTATTTGATTAAAAACCGCTCAAAGACTCCGGTAAAACAGCAATCATATCAGTGATTAACCGTCACTATAACATTATTTGTGTGTGTAATCGAAATTTCATTAAAAATATATATTTCACATATAGATATAGCAGTAATACTATTAAACCATCTTATAATATTAGATAATGCACAAGCAGTTAGTAGTAGCGAGTGAAGCGTTGTGATTAAATTTTCTAAACTTATTTACACAAACCAGGGGCTGTTTTGCATTTTATTACAAGTTTAGGGTCTTTATCAAATTTTCCCAACTACACAAACTCGTTTCCTTTCTTCCCCTCGACTCAGTGCGTTAGGTTACTATGGAGAGACGCGAAGATTAACAATGGTTTTTAGCTTGGATGACCGGGAGTTCGCCGACCTAATCGATGGTTTTCTATCTCATTCTATCGTTCGGAGGTCCTCTGCTGATGCTATGTTCAGTCGATTGAAACAAAATGTTCCAGACACTCTAGCTGAGAAACTGACTCTTCTTCTAGAGTCAGGCGAAGTCAAGAAGAGAGTCATGGCCGCCGTGCTCATCTGGAAGTTACTTACAAGAGATGTTTTGCAGGGTCTCTCCTACCACACATAGTCATCTCTCAAAACAAAGATGTTAGGCTGTATTACCTAGAGGCAGAAGAATCGATATGTTGCCAAATTCTTTTGCTTGTGTCTTATCTTGCGTCTATATGTCTGTCGGATGCCAACTGGCCGGAATTTTCGTCGTTTTTTTCCACATTGCTCGATTCAACAGAACTGATGAAGAATTTATCCGCCTGTCTCATTTTGCTGAAGTTGTCTCCCAGAGCTCTAGAGTTTCTGGTCCATCCTCTGGTACAAAATGTTGGATCCTTCTTCACCCATTGACCTCCAACTTGGTTTAGAATCTTTTCTTCACATTGTTTTTGTTAAGTCATCTGAGCCTTTGCAAGTTGTTTTGTCTTCGCTCATTTCTCAATTGACCATCTACCTCCAAGAAACTATAGCACATGAGGTATTCCTCTGTTTAGATACACTGCTGCGTTTGTATGATGCATTTTTTTTTTACTTACTACATAAGATAAAATTTTAAATAATTTTAGATGAGCTAATTTTTTTAAAGTTATTATTATGTATTTGACGAACTTGATTTCAATTTATACAATCAATAACACTCCCTATTTTTAATAAAAAACACTATAATGAACTAATAGCGCACGCAAAAAAATTGTTAGTCCACTACTTATAAGCATTTAGGTCTGTCATTGAACAAAAATGTTTATCCAAAGTGGTGTGTGTTCATTTATGATTAACAATGGAGATGATGCCATGGTGGCATAAGTTCAAATTTGTGAGGCTTTCAAATCATGCTCAAAGATCCTAAACGAAGAAGAAAGTATTCATTAGGCAGGATTTATTTTAATAATGTCAGTTTTCCTAATTCTATAACTGATAAATGGTTTACTATATTGGCAGGTAAGAGACTCTTTTGCATAAGAGAAGACGGGAAAGAAGGTGATTTGGTTGCTTTATTTTCTTTTGTACATATGGAAAAAATTGAAGCATGTTTTGAAACTATTAGATGCCGTATTTTGCATGTAATCACCCCCTCTAATCTTTTAGTTTCCAAGTTTGGTTAATATTACGATTCAGTATCATCTTGGTTGCCTAACATAAAAGAATAATGATTTTACCTTGAAAAAACCGAAAGCACAAAGACCGAACCAAAACCGAATAATAAATAATTTGCGGCCTATTTGCTAAAAACTTAAAATCTGAATTGGCTGGGCAGGTGATTATCCTTCTGCTAAGAAGGGTTGGTTAGTTCTTGCCATCTTTCACAAGAAAAGATCGTGACGGACAAACAAATAAGCGTCACAACCTTTTCAACTGCAGCTTTCTAGAGTAGTTTAGACCGCATCTTACTGGCCTTATTTATGATTGATTATTGGAAGGCGTACCACACGGCCAAACAGCTAAAACTAAACCAATTTGATTCAAAAAAAAAACAAAACCGTAACTGATTGAAAGTTATTTAATTGAGAAATCGGTTTTGTTGTCAAATAATGTGAACCTCGAGAAGAGAGAAGGAGTCTCTGGTCCTATCGTCTTTTATTTTTCCCGGTAACAGAGACCGCCCGGGCGGCTACAAAACCGTTGATTCCGAGCGTCAACCGTCGACCAGTTTCCATGACTTCAGGTATTCCAATTTCAGATTGAATTTGTAATTTTCTTTTTAAAAATCTAATTTACGTAAAAACCATCGGGATTGATATATGTGAGATATCGAGAACGGCTTGTCTCTGTTTTTCTCGCTATTTCGATTTGATCATTTGGAACTGTATCGATTGATTCTCTGGGAATGATTTGATATTTTCCTCTACATTCAGTCATGTAAATTTGTATAAATCAGCGTTCGCAGAGGGGAGATTGCTGTGTAATTGATCTGGTAGTCTCGTGAAATGTGTTGTGTTACAAATTTGAGAAATGAAAGGGTTTTATTTATTTATCCCTTTCTTCATTCACATTATTATTATTTTTTTTTTTTGCTTTTTGATATGACGGAGAGACAAGAAACCAGTGGAGAAGAGGTGAAAGTGTTGGCTACGTACGTATTGATGATTCTTTTTTATAAACTCTGATTTCGCAGATGCTCTCAATATACCTTCTGAGCTTGAATCAGCGTTGCGGCTCAGGACTGTACAATACTTTATTACAAAGAGGCCTTGGCTTGGTAATCTTAATCATTATTCAACATCTATTCTGTAATGTGAATTTATTTTACTAGAAGTGCATTTTCATGGTTTAGAGATGAGTTGCATTTCTCTCTTTTTACAGATCTCTATGGAGTCCATGTGAGGCCTGTGGCACCGTTCGGAAGCACAAGTAGTAAACCCTATTTTGATCCAGCATTGATTCATCGTTCCTTGCCCGATGAGCTTCTTTTCGAGGTTTGGAACTTCCTGTTTTTCCTTGTGTTATTACTGAAGTTTCCATTTGTACTTATATCTGTTTTGTGTAATGCTGAAGTTGACTCATGGATATGTTGCTTGTAGGTATTTGCTCGGATGATGCCTTATGAATTAGGAAGAGCAGCTTGTGTCTGCAGAAAGTGGAGGTACACCGTTCGAAACCCTGTGTTCTGGCGTAATGCTTGCTTGAAAGCTTGGCAGACTGCTGGGGTTATCGAAAACTATAGGATCTTGCAATCCAAATATGATGGATCGTGGCGGAAAATGTGGCTTCTAAGATCAAGAGTTCGCACCGATGGTAATCTTTTCTTTTGTATGCCTTGACTAACATCAACTCTTGTTATATCAACGTAGCCTAAGACCCTTCTCAAAGGCTTTTAGCTTGAAAGTTTCCTTTTGCAATAACTTCGTATCTTCTTCTCAGGTCTTTATGTGAGTAGGAATACTTACATTCGAGCTGGAATCGCTGAGTGGAAGATCACAAATCCAGTTCACATAGTAAAGTCCTTGTCTTTTTCCTTGAATTTGCTCTGTTTTTGTTCTTCTGTCCCATTCAGACACATTTAACGAGTTCCTTCTTCTTTTGGAATTATTTTATGCAGGTTTGTTACTACCGCTACATAAGATTCTACCCTTCTGGCAGATTTCTTTACAAGGTTTGCATACTACGATCTAACTAGGTATAAACGTTGAGCCGCTTTCATGATCTACTCTGATCTTTCAATTGGTGTTTTTTTTTTTTTTTTTTTGTTATCCTGCAGAACTCTTCGCAGAAATTGAAGGATGTTGCTAAGTACATGAACTTTAAAGCTTCTAAAGCCGACTCTCTTTACAGAGGCACTTATACATTGTCAATGACAGATGATAAGGTTATATCTACCTCTAACTGCCTATTGGCTGGAAAATCAACAACATTACATCTTCATCATTATCTTGAAAAGATGTTCCTTTTGCAGATCGAAGCAGCTGTTCTGTACCCAGGGACACGCCCTACTGTCTTAAGGATCCGTTTAAGGTATTACAGTCCCTCAAAATATCAGGACAGAAAAAATATCATTTCGATAGTAGCACTTGGTTTGCATGTACTTATGGGGAATTTAGACTCGTTTTGAAGAATTTAACCTACTGGGAAGAAGGCCTATTACTTATCTTTTAAGTGTCATGACTAGTACATCCATTTAAGACTTATGTTTTGCCAGTGAATGTGATGAATATTGTCTATATGATTTATAAGCGATAAGACGGGTTTAAACTGAGAAGCTTGCAGTCATTTGGATCTTCATTGTAAGGGTTTTTGGTTTTTGGGGTGTGGTTAGGTTAAGAGGAACGACGATTGGAGCCAATAACCGGATGGATTTGCTATCACTTGTGACAAGTGGTGTAAACGATGAGGAAGTAAGCAGCACAGAAGATGACATTCTTGGTGTAGTTGAGAATTGGAGGGACGATGAAACTCACAATCCGGATATACCTGCCGTCTCGCACAAGAGGGGAATGACTCCGTTTGTCTTCGTACCTTTCGAAGAGGCAAGTCAACCCCCTAAAAAAGCTTGCTTTACACCTTTGTTTGGTTTCTCACACATATATAAAAGTGCAACATTTCAATTACATTGATTTGATTTGAATATGTTTTCTTGATGTAGGTTGACCAATCGGTCTTGAACTTACCTCCGGAGAAAATGGATTACTTTGTCACTGGCTAAAGACACATCAACTTCTCTGTACAAAAAATATGTATCATAGAATAGTAACGTTTCACGTTTATTTGATTATTATGATGACAACATTAGTGTTTGTTGCTGTAATAGCCAACTATTAACATTATGTGGTTTTGTTTGTTACAAAAGAAGCTTTATAATGTAATGTTTATATTTATGTTTTTATTCACCAAAAAGCTTCCGTACAAGAAGGACACTGATCAGATGCTAGATTTGAGGAACTTGGGATCCTCTGAGTGAACCAGATGCTTCCAAGATGGGTTTCGAGGAAGAAACGTTTCCTGCAAAAGCCGGATAGATATCATTAGGCAAATGGTACACACACACACTGATCTGATATTCATGGGAGTTTTCAGGAAAACAGAGGAAGAAGCGACGTACGGAAACGTAGGAGCAGGTGGGGACGATGGAGAAGGAGCGAGAGGAAGCGTGTTCGAAAGCAGCGACGCAGAGATGCGAAGCTAAACCCAAACCTGCTTTTGAAGACGGTACGTAGGTTCGAACCAGATCCATGACTCTGCCGTTGTTCTTCATCTTGTATTCTATGAAAGCTTCGTGATCCTCCGTCTCGAATCTATGCCTCCCTTCGTTCCACACGATCTTCGCTTTCTCCGTCGCCATTTTCTCTATTTATCTACAACTTCGAGCTCGAATCATTTCCTTCCAAACCGAGAGAGTTGGGTTGTTTTATCTTATTCTACTTAACCGGAGGGAACCGGTTTAATGATTAGAAAAAGAAAACCCGCCATCATCTTCGTACACGTGGCGCGAGATGGAGGCTGCTGAGTCTGTGTTAGTTGCTTGCTTCGGTCGTGTCATTTTGGCGTGAAGTAAAGCGTTTTGAGAAGAAAAGGAAGTCAAAACTCTAAGAGTTCACAGGAGAAAGAGAAAGAGAGTGGATGGGGGACACGAAGGTGGAGACAATCTCGAGGTTAGCGCAATGGAGGATTGAAAATTTTGGACCTTGCTCTTTCAAGAAATCCGATCCTTTCAAAGTTGGAATCTGGAATTGGTAACAACATACTTTTATCTTTTTTTTTTTTGGTTTTTTTGTTTTTTTCTTCTTGGGGATTTTTATCTTATTTTATTTTTGTTTGTGCTCTTTTGATTATGTTTTTGTTGGGTATGAAGGCATTTGTCTATAGAGAGGAATCGTTATCTATCGGTGAGACTTTTCCCAGAACTTTCTCGAGTATCCAAAGAGCAACCTCCTGTTGCTAAATTTGTTCTTCGTGTCTCCAACGTTGGTCCTAATCGTAGATTCTACATCTCTCCTGGTATGTGTGCTTTCTGAATTTTCCAGTTAGTTGGGATTTGGAAATTTGATTGTTAGTTCAGTTTATGTAAATTATGTTGTGGAGGATGGAATTAGGGGTTTCGGAAAACGTGAAGTAGCTTAGTTAATATATGTTGTAATAAGAAAAACAACAATGAATTCTCAGGAATCCATCATGAATTTCAGCTTCTCAGTACAGTGAAACTGGGAAGTTGATGGAAAAAAATCAAATTTAAATGTTATTGATTGCATATGCTTAAGTATCTTATTGGGAATGGTTGGAACTGAATTAGCCTTGTGTCTATGTAAGCTGAGATGTTCTCTATTTGTGGTGCAGTTTATGAAAAACTGCTGCGTACAACTGATGATTGTGTGTGGCATGTGGACTCCAGTTTCCACGGTCGATTCACCATTGATGTCGAGTTTCTGGATCTCAAAATCTGCCCTTTGAATGCAAGTTTTGATCTTTTTTAGCTGCAACTCTCAAATCTCTAGCATTTCTTATTCTATTTTTCCGTGGCTGATCAATTATCAAATAAAAAATCCAGGGTGGTGAAGCTTCTCCAGTTTGGCCAACCGATGCAACAATGCAATCAATCTCGACTCAGACCACTCTCAAGTGCCTGTCACGGATGCTAGAGGAAAGCATCCTAACCGATGTCACAATCCACACAGCTGGTGGAACGCTCTCTGCTCACAAAGCCATCCTCTCGGCTAGCTCAACCGTCTTCAGAAGCATGTTCCACCACGACCTCAAGGAAAAAGAATCGTCCACAATCCACATCGACGACATGTCCAGAGAGTCTTGCATGGCTCTCCTGAGTTACCTTTACGGAAACATAACCCAAGAAGAGTTCTGGAAACACCGGCTCGCCCTTCTCGGTGCTGCAAACAAATACGATATAACGGATTTGAAAGCGGCGTGCGAGGAAAGCCTTATGGAAGACATAAACTCGGGTAATGTGCTCGAGAGGCTACAAGAGGCTTGGCTTTATCAGCTGGAGAAGCTGAAGAAAGGGTGTCTGATGTATTTGTTTGATTTCGGGAAGATTTATGATGTCAGAGACGAGATCAGCGGTTTCTTCAGGCAAGCTGATCGTGAACTGATGCTGGAGATGTTTCAGGAGGTTTTGTCCGTGTGGAAACCTGTCTAAAAGGCAAAAACAAGTAATATTATCTACTTATTACGCATGGTTTGAATACTTCAGTGTTTGATGGTGTTTTTGTTTATATGTCTTCTTGTTCTTGTGTTTGTAACAACTAACAACGACAACAACACTTGGTTTTGTTGTATTGCTGTATAGTATTGAGTAAGTGTGTTCAATCCAGAAGTTTCGGTTCCGAATTGTTTTGGTTATTCATATCTTTCCAGCAGACTATGTTTTGGGTTTGGGCTTTCGTGCCGATCATAACGGATCATACATGGGCCGTATCTGATGAGTGAACTAGGCCTCATAAGATAGCAGATTTGTCCGACATCGAATGTCGGCACAATTTATGTCGACGTTGAAACGTAATGATATGTTTTTAATTTGATGACTCAGCATCAGACCGAACAGTAGTAGATAGACACGTGTCCGTTGCGTCACAAAAGCGTTCTTGTAACGTGAAGAAGGTATTTGTACGGTCTCTCGTCCGCCAAAATGGAAAGGCAAAGCTTCGAGCCTGGGAAGCTAAGGAATCAAATTTAGGTCTCGAGAGAGAAGAAGAAGAAGAAGGGGTTTCGATGGCGAGGACGGGAATTGGGAGCACGGGAGGGAAGAATAATGGGTCGGGGCAGTTTTTTCTGGCGACGTTGCTTCTTTGGCTTGTCTCCGTCGTCTTTGAGATTGTTTTCAATCTCCGTACGGAGCTTCTCTGGGTGATTTGCGGCGGATGCTTCTTTCAATCGGTGAATTGGGTTGTTCGTTCTTGGCTCTCTCGTGACCCTCTCTTCGTTAATACCTCCGTCTCGCTTTTGCACTCAATCGTCACATCCGCCTCAGGTCCATTTTTCCAACCCTTTATACATTGAAATTTGTATCTTGTGCTCGTGTACGTATTATTGTTCATTGGCATTGATCGATTGTACGTATTATTGGAAGCTTTGTGTTTTCTATCATTTGCTATTTAGCCCATAGCTAAATGCACTTCTTATTTCTTATTGATTTGTTCTTACGATTGTCTCAGTTACTGCTATGCTTGTTTCCTAGTTACTTCTTTTAGGCACTTGGATTTTAAGCCAAGAGTGATGTTTTGTTGAAACATCTCTCAATTTACTATTTTTTTAATGATTCATAGTAATCATTAGTGTTTTAGATCTTCCTGTTTGAGTTTGAAGGCAATCACACCGTTTGGTTTCCGCCTTATCTTTGTATGATGATGCAGTTTTTCTCTTCACCAAGCCATTACTGATTATGATTTTGCATCTTTAAACACTGCATTCGGTGTGTTACCACAGTGGTTTTCATTCTGCTCAATCAGTGCTTAGCCAAAGGTTTAGAGGAGATGTTTGATCATTCAGAGTTGGTTGGTGGTACTTGGAAATGGGCGTATCCAGCTTTGTGTTTCTCTTGTGGCTACTTTGCATATGACCAGTGGGACATGCTTCAGTACCGGTTATACAGTGGCTTAATACCTTCCATTCTTGTTCACCATCTCGTCCTCCTCGTTTGCTTCACCTTGGCTCTATACCGAAATGTAACCATCAACTACCTCATTCTTACTCTCATTTGTGAGGTACGTTCCACTTTCGTCTTCCTGAAGATTCTTCCCTGGCTTGTCTCTGTTCTTTTTCCGAATCTATGCTTACATGCATTTAGTCTCTAGTTTCATATGTAGCAATCTATAGTTGGATACAAACTACATTTTTCAACTCAACAAACATGAAAAATGTAGCAATCTATAGTTGCTCTGGATGTGTAAACAGATGCATTCGATCTTTCTACACGTGAGGAAGCTAAGGAGAATGGCGGGAATCCGAGACAGCAACACGGCATTGGTGAAACTGGAATGGGTGCTAAACTGGATAGCCTTTGTGTTTGCGAGGTGCATTCCTCACATTCTCATCACTGTGAAGCTGATCAAAGACGCGCACAAGTTTGAGAAAGGCGTGGAGTTACCGCTCGCTCTGTTTGGTATGGCGGGAATGAACATCCTCAATGTCGGCCTCGGATTGGATCTGTTTCATGCTTTCAGGAGAGAGAGAAGCAACAGAAGAAATCAAGAGAACACCAACCATCACAACCATGGAGAATAAAATAATTATTAGCCTATTTAGAAGCCATCCATGGATCAACCGAAATCCATGGTTTGTTACGTGACTGTTACTCACGCATGTGTTGTTTATATCTGAGGTTTTGCTGCTAAGTTCTACTAATAGCTTTCAGATTTGTATGTACTAAAGGAAAACAATATGTAAATGTTATTTGGTGCTGATTGCCATTAGCCTTTCATAACCGGTTCGTGTTGGTTTGAATTGTTTTGATATTGAGTATATTTTTGTGGTATATCATGTATTTTTATTTAATTAAAAATTTAATTTTTAAAATTGCTCCAATTACAGACTTTACAGTGTTGTTAGAAAAAAAAATGGGAATGCTTGAGAAAGAGGTCCTACCGGGAGTCGAACCCAGGTCGCTGGATTCAAAGTCCAGAGTGCTAACCACTACACCATAGAACCTCAGGTGCTCGTTGTGTTGCCAACATTGTTTTAGAATATGACTGATGAAAATTGTTTTATCATCAAATATCAGTTGCACAACTTAAGTCTTCGTTGGCTTCACTTTGGAGGATAATAAAGAAAACATTATGTGTACTTGTCTCTCGATCTATCAAGCAACCATGAGGTCTATATATCAGACGATCACATTGGTAAAAAATTGAATAAGTACTGTAGTTGAAGTAGTTCCAAGGTTAAGAATACGTCATGTTCTCTAGTTCAAGACTTTGATATTTACATACCAATTCTTTTAACTCATGACTGACATTTATAGTTATTTACTATCAAAAAGTATCGAATTATTGTCGTAAAATCTTGTGTTTTAAATTTAACCCCATATCGTATTAGACGATTCGCATAAGACCATCTCCAATAATTCCTCATTTTGAGGGAAAACATCAAAAAATGAGGGAAACTCTTCTGCAATGGTACATCATTTTGAGGGAAAAAATGAGTTTATGAACAGTGTTACATCAAATTTGAGTGAACACTATTCATCCCCTCATTTCACTTTTTAGCTTTGTTTATTTGCAAAATTATCCTTATAGTTTTACATAAATTTTATCTATATCTAAACAAAGTTTTAAACTTTTATTTACTATACAATAAAATATTATTGTTTTTAAAACATAAAAATAAATAAATATTCATTAACTTTATAAATAAAAACGTGAAAAAATAATTTTTCTTTGTAATGTTATGAAATTTTCTTTATGCAATAAATGTTTTAATATAAATTAAGAATTTTGTTTGTTTAAATTTTATAATTTTTTAAAAATAATTGGGTATAATTTGTAAATTAAAAAATAGTGGGTGTTGTTTGCAATTAATAATAAAATAAGAAAAGAGTATACTTAGACTATTCTTTTTTTAGAGAAAAAATGAAGGAGACTATTAAAATAAACCTTTACCTCATTTTGAGGGAAAAAATAAGGAAACCATTGGAGATGCTCTAAGCGATGTCTTTGTGTGTCCATATATATGCAGACCATTGGGGCTCACGTCCCGATCAAGGATCCTTGTCTTAGTCATCATATGAGTTCCCAATATTTCATGCATGTGTGTGGTAATTAATTTAAGAATTTGTTATTTGGATCAATCCAAATAGAGCTATATAATATTTTGAAAACTTCATTTAATTGTTCAAAATCTTTATGTTAGGTAAAAAATATAGGTGCGTGGTCCTGCTCCTAGTTTTGAATACGATCATCTATAAAAAAATGGTCCCGTTTAACCCCACAGCCAACGCTCTCGACAAAAGAAACCCAATTTTACGAAACTTATGCAAAATCAGATATATACAAACTTCACTCATAATCCCATGTGCTAAAAATAGCAGCATAGCTAGGTCTCAAACGCTGATAAATCATCCTGATTTTATCATAATCAGCACAATCAATCGATTCAAAATTCAATAGTTTCTTTTTGTTTATCTCCAGTCTCCACTATCCAATTTTTTTTTTTTTTGGAAAGCTGTTAATTTCTCGGTGGACTCTTTGCATGGGGCTTTTGAACTTGTTCAAGTATCGATTTGAATAAAATGATGACTCCTGACCATAAAACATCCAGCAACTCTGTTCGACATAGGGTTTTAATAATAGTTCAAAATATATAAAAAGGTATTAAAAAAGTCCGCAAAAGTAGATAAAAGTACACAAAACAAACTAAAGTCTACTCGTGGTTAAATCAACCTAACAATTAGGTTTTCTCTCGCATCAGTCAGTCTTGCCACATTGATAAAATTCTTATATAATTTGTTTTGGAGGAGTCACATTGCTTTCCTACTTTTGCTTGAACTTAGAAAAAAAATAAAGAACTTTTTTCTTTGAGTGGTCACCTCAAAACACAATAAAGATCATATATCAAAATCAACATTGTCAAATGCATCTACTACTATTTCGTTTTAACCATTTAACCACTTTCGTTTCGAATCAAAATGAACCTGGTAAAACTTAGATACATATGGCATGACAATTCTCTAACATAAACCGAGGTGCTATAACTATCTCAATATATTCTAATATAAAATTTATCCCCAAATCTGTTAATTTAGGATTTGGAAATATACAATGTATACAAAAAAAAAAAGACAACTATAAGACAATGTGAATGGGGCAATGCTTTGGGGTCCATTTTTTGTGCTCCAATGTTTCCCACTACTGTGAACAACCTAACATGGACTCTTCTTCTTGCATTATAACTTGTACTACTCTCATTTATTTTCTTTATATATTGATAAAAAGGATATTAAGGTGAGCACTAAAAGTCATTGAAAAATTCCAAGAATCCCATGCAAATTAATTATTTTAAAGCAACTCGCTTTTGTATTTTTCTTCTCTCTCTTTAGCTTCCTTTTTCTTTTCTTTTTCTTCAAAAACTTTCTCTTTTGTCATTTTGAAAATAATGATAAAAGGCTATTTTGACCCTTCTTCCATCTTTTAATGGCTTTATCAGATTCCGACCACATGCCTACAAAGGGGTATGGTGCAGGCCAAGCCTCTTGTCCCTTTTATATATAAGCTTAATTATATGTAAATTTTTTATTTTAAAAACCAAAAATTTATATGTAATACACATAATTTTAGAAAGAAATCTAATATCGACGTTTCAATCGAATTTGAATCCATGATTGTCATTACTTACAAAAAAAAGCTTCCACATTTTTCTTCTTTAAACAGAAGCATCAATCATTGAAGAAACGACCAAACCAACTATTAAACAAACAAACAAAAATGATAGAAAAATATAATGTTTTAAGTAATTAACAATTATATGAAAAAATCAACTTTTACTTTTCCTGGATTTTCTTCTGGTTAAGGTCCTCACCATCCAACCCTGTTTCCTCACTTTGGCTCCCTCGACCTTGGATGATGCTACGTGGCAGGAAGAGGTGGTCGATCCTGATCTGAGTTTGATGACGTGGAAAAGATGACCAATACGTTTGCGCCACCTAAGCGATGTCTTGGCACTATTGTGCTCTACGATACTCGTAGTGCTCGTTATAGGGGATTGCTGCTGCTTCTTACATGTTGAGTTTGTGTTGTCTACACAAACCTTTGACACTGTTTTCTTTTCCCACGACGCGTTTCCATCGTCTTCGAATTTTATCGATATAAAAGAATCTGAACAAAACAAAATAAATTAGATTTCAATTATTATCGATTTGGTACAATAATTAGAGTTTCATATAAATATATACATAACAACTACATTACTTAAAATATTAGCAGTAGCCCACAAATCATATATCGAGTAAAACAAAATTTTAGCTGTCCGATTTGATAAGAATATATATGGACGCATTACTGTAGAGAAAGAGTCTACTATAAATGTTTATGGTCATACAGAAAATTATGTACGTATAGATATCGTTGCAAATAAAAGAATTATTGCTCTTGTAAAAAACTTCGAGATAGTATAAGTGTAAAAATATGCAATAATCTCATGATTCCACACAAAAAAAAAAATTAATGAATATTGTGTGGGGAGACAAATTGAAAATCTTATTTTTTGAAAAACGGAAAAATCCGTGTATGAACTGAAAAAACATCCAACTGGAATTAGATCTTGTGGTAAGATTATTTGTAAGTTGATAACAATAATTAGATGAATAAGATTATTTGTAAGTTGATAACAATAATTAGATGAATAAGATTATTTGTAAGTTGATAACAATAATTAGATGAATGTATATTATGTTGAAGTATATATAATTAAATTGAGTGTAGTATAAAACTAGATAAAGTTGGGTACCTTCTTGGCTTGTGGAGACGTCAAGATCGGAGGAGGGATGGAATTTCCGGTGGTGACGGAGATCGAGACGACTGAGGAGAGAGCTCAAGGCGAAGATCTTAGGGAGAGTGATGATTGGTGAAGAGGAAGAGTGTTTGGGTCTTAATGATCTCTGCTTTGAAGCTAAAACCAGAAGCCTCTCGTTCAGACAGAGGGGACACACTCCAACATATTCTTCCTTTGGATGGAAATAACAGTATGGTGAGCTATCATCTTTGTACATATCCATCTTGATCACTACCAAAGGAGAGAAGAGAAGAAGAGGAGAAGAAGAGGAGAAGAAGAGAGAAGAGAGAAGAGAGAGAGAGATATGGGCTTATGTCTGAAAATTGAAGCTTTGTAATATATATCGAATATATATATATATATAATTTTCGTATTTGTTTCCAAGTAGATAAGCCTTTTAGTTGCCCGAAAGAAACGAAAAAAGACAAGCCTGATAATTATCATTAATGATGGTTGATTTTATATGATGTGATTTTGATTAATATCATTAATATTTTGAATAGTAGATTTTGCGGACATCACTGTTTTTAGATAATTACATAATCTAGAAAATTAATATACCCTAGATTTCTAGCTTAATTTTAATTTGTTTGAGGCCAAGTATATTGATCTGCCGTCTACGTCATTCATCTGTTATTAAAGAATAGATCTCGAACTTATTTTATCACGGCTTATGGCTATGGGTATCCGAGTTAAAATACTGTATGTAAATTTTGTAAAATAGTACATAGATATCTGATGGTCAGGCATAGTATAATTACCCCATTTGAACGTTGCTTTACCAATTTTTTTTGAATTCGTATTATAAAAAATTATACTAAACGAAAGAAATCAAAGAATGTTCCGATCTTGCCAGATATAGAATCGACAGATAATTGAAGAAGGATGATTGATCGCTTGTGGATCCGTGGCATGTGTGATAGATATTATTTAAAACTAATCAATAATTAAAAAAGAAAATACTGTGAACAGAAAATCTATATTCATTTTGTTATGTTAATTAAGAAACAAAATCAATTAGTTTTTGGACGTGTTGGCCGAGAGATATCCACTTGTACTTTGTAGTGTATTCGTAATTCAAAAGAGAATGTATCCGCCTCTGAGGCACCCACCACGACAAGTCATCATTCTTTCTTTTTTTTTCAATCTTGGATATGTGTGACTGTGATTTTGGAGGTCTCTCTCCATAATTCGTCGACAATATTCATTTCTATCTTCTCTCACTTCAACTTCAAGTTTTTTTAGTTAGCAAAAAAAAAAAAAAATCCAAGTCTTTGTTTTTAGAGCTGATCGAAATTTTCGGCGGCTTAGAGTTAGAAGTTCATTTACTTCTAAACATTCCAAAACAATTTTCAAGAATAGCATTCAAAAGATGCAGATCAGATATTTCTTTCTTACCAAAAGGATGGCACCATACTTTATTTCCGTGTGAGAGAATTATTATGTTTGCTTCTCAATTATAAAATGGATCTCTCAATGCATGTACAGCACATGGGTAATTCTCAATTATCAAGGACCATATCGCTTCATCTGCAATTCTTTCTTCTTTGAGCGAAACAAAAGTTCAGATTTATCTTAGGGCTTGATGATATTTCTCCCCATTTGCTAATATTCTTGGAAATCGCTCAAATTAAATCTTCTGTTTTGTATCTTCACAAACTTGAAATCACGTGCTTAGCCAACAAATGGCAATAAGTAATAATTAAAGCTTAGGAGCTAGATTGACCTAATTGATAAAGTTTGGGTGTGGGGGTGTGAACATAAAAGGGGTCCATTTTTATGTGTTGGTCAAGAATTTTGAGCGTTCACGTGACATAAAGAAAAGAAAAAGAAAGGAGAAGACAGGCTTCAATATCAAGAGCTAAAAACCCAAACACTTAAAAAGACATTGACAGGTGATATGTTTGTATAGTGAATTAGTGATGAGTTTCAATGTATCATTACTTTTTTTCAATTAGACCATCCCACATACTTCCTTTACACTATACGACTCACAATGATCAAAGTTATTATTGTCTTTAACAAATGCATCCATAGTCAATATATGGATTATGGATATACAGTATAACTTCATTATCAGCGCTTTTCAAACCAATATGAACCGGTTTGATCGGATTGGTCCGACCGTGATAGTATTTTCAAACCAATATGGACCGCTTTTGTGGCGGGTAATATTGTTTTTATTCGAAACAAGAGCTAAAGAGTACTTATAAATGTTAAAGTGGTCAATTTCCTAAGAAAAAATGAAATTGAAAAAATTCCTTAGTATATATTTAATTTAATTTAATTCACTTTAATCTTTTTAACTAAAAAGAATTCGGCCTATTGATTCGCCGCCCGAGTGCATCCATTGATCCAAACGAAGAAATGTTGGTTCAAAAAAGTGTCTTTGGGTCTTGGGCTCGGGGGTTTATAAACAAATTGTATAGAATACCTTTTACTAAACACAACGTCGTTATGACTGAACAAAGAGATTTCAAGTGGTTCTGCCTAGTTAATGCGCTAAAAGTCTTGTTCAATCCAATTCTTGATGGTGAGATATCCACATGGCTATATATTCCGTGGAAATATACGATCTTATCAATTTTGAGGGAAAATGAAAGTAGTCGTAGAAGGTTTATCTAGAGAAAACATAAAGAAAAAAGGGAACTTTTTTATATAAGAAAAGGTGAAGTAAAACAGAAACTAAAAAGAATGAGCACATGGGAGGAATGGAGAATCTTTGGGTAAGATTCAAGTCATGTTCCTGTTATGGGATTTTTATGGTATGGGTATCATATTTGTGGGTCACCTCTCTGTTTTCAATTCGATTCTTTCTCCTTCTTTTTTTCTAAATCCTAAAGGTTTTTTGGTTAAATGTTTTTAAATTCATGGTTTTAGCATCACATGGGAAAGGCAAGAAGACAATAGGATAAGATGACAGTAGCGATCGAGATCCTCCGATTATGTCTCTTTTGAGCTTTAGAGATGTAGTGACTAAGCTTACCTGAGTTAGATTAGGAATCGGTACGTTATATTTGTTTTTTTTTTTAGCACCAGGAAACGTTACGTTATATATATTGTTGAATTCACATCTATATGGTTTGTTGAATATTCAATAGGTTCTATTGAGATATATATGTTGTTACAAGTTACAACTAACTGAGTCATTTTGTATCCATATGTTGTTACGTTAGTGATATATAATGCTGTTACAACAAATGGATACAAACAAAATAAACCAAAATGGTTATTATTAATTTATTGGTTTCTCATAGCAATAAGTTGTTCTGGTCTTTTGGACGTCTAAAAAAGGTAGAGCACAGCTAAGTTCTACAAAACTTATTCGATGAATATATCTTAAGACAGATAAAGATTAAACAAATTGAAAACAACTACTAAAAATGGCTATCATTAATTTTACTATAAATCACCGAGACTAACCCAACACTACTCAACAAATCATTTTGTTTATATTCATCAAGAATTTGTGTGGTAATTATACATACGTTATGGCGACTCAAACGATGAAGAAAACATGCAGCATTCTCATGATTGTAGCTATATTTATGATGATGTTTTCGGCACAGATATCTCATTCGATGAATGTAGAAATGTGTGTCAAACATTGCATCCCGAATCAGTGCATGAAATTGCTGAAAAAACCTGATCCGACTGTTTGTGCAGAAGCTTGCAAGAAGCTTTGCAACAAACAACAAACCGAAGGTGAAGATTACCTCGTTCCTGCAAGGGAAGGCAGTAGGCTTAGTAACGCCATATGCAAATATGTGATACCTGGCTTCTGTAAAGTATGAAAACTCACATTATTTTCTTCGTTTTCTGCACAAATAATCTATAATAATATGTATTCTTGTGTCTATTTGATTTTACTATATATATTGTGTACATGTGTGTGTGTGTGTGTTCATGACTATGGTATATTGGTATTAGTGTAAAAGGATAAAAAAGAGTAATTCGTGGCGACTTAACCGAAAAAAAAATATGTGGCCTTTTTAGATACATGCAAGAAAATTAATTAAAAAGTGCCAATAAGTCAATAGACTCAATACATGCCATATTCCTCTTTTTAAATGCTTACAGAACCGTAGCTCATTACATAACATATACCAAAATATGGTATGGTATTAGTGTCCACACCAACTATTGATTTATGATATTTTGTCGTTATATCATCGCATTTACCCTGCCATGTGAAAAAACCATCTTGTTTGGGAAAAATCAATTTATTTGCTCTACTCACATGAAAACTGGAAAGCATACATTAGAATCCACTATACACAAACCTTATATCTACAGCATTGGGTTGTTTGTTATTTTTATCTCCTCTTTCATGAGGAAAATGATCGATATTTTGCATAAATAAAGAAGATGACTTAGACTTCCCATGCGACTCTTATTATAACTCTAGTAATGCCGTTATTGAAATTGCAAGATGTTGGAACCATAAAAATATGGTGGAACATACACGAAGTTAATAAGTGTGATTGATCCAGAACGGAATCCAAAAATTTCAGAAGGTATCACTCGGTTACAAGACAACAACATGAACACAGAACTCATGTGTACTCTGTTTCTTGTTAACCGCAAAGTTTTGTGCTATATATTGTTATCAACTCTTTTGGGGACGTTGTGACTTGTGAATGATGTATGCATGTGTGTGATGAGGATAATGGGCTCAAAGATGTTTGGTAATATTTGTTGTTAAAGAGTCAGAGATTATTAAGATACTATAGTTCCTAAATCCTAACTTTGTGGGTTTTTCAATGTTTCTTTTAAGGAAATTATTGATTTAGGGGTCACATCTGCTTCCAAGTCTTCATAATTATACTCATACCAATCCACCATCTGATTACTATACCCAATATAAAAAGCATACACCATACTGCTCTTCAAGAGCTTATTAAACAAGAACACTCCCAAAAACCCAAGATATGAAATATCAATCGTTTTCAAGCAAATTATTGCAATTATCTATCAGTATCTCTCAACTCAACTCACAACAGCGCCGTGTGGCGGCCGGTGGCTCTACCACAGAGAAGAGCGTTCTTGGGGATCAAGTATTCATCTCTGAGAGAAGTGGAGTTTGTGTAAACACGCATGTACAACTGTTGTCCCAAGTATTGCCTTTCCCACGACTCTGATCTCAGGTTCCACATTCCTACGTTGTCCAGTGATATGTATATCGCAGTCCATGATTTCGGATACACCTGCACATATTCATCCAAAAGTCCACGTTTTTTTTAGACAATACCAGACTGAAGTTTTAAGGCCAACTGTTTAAGATCAAAATGTAAAAAATTTAGACAAGTGTCACCTGAACAGTGCAGCGTGAGACTGCGTCGTTTAGATTGTAAGCTTTTCTACTAGCAGGACTCCACTTCCCAAGTTCCATTCTGATATTTAGACCAAGTCCACACGGTTGGTCATCAACAATCAACATCTTAGCAGATGCACATAACTTTTGGGTTCCTTAAGGTCTATTTCTTGGTTAGAAAATGGCTAAAATATTGCTTACCGTATGGGTATTTGTGGATGCATATATGAACATTTGAGGTTTAGGAGTAAAATAGCTTAGAGAAGCCAAAGGAAAACAATTTGAAAGTATTGCTATACTTAACTTACCCAACAACGGGTATTTGTGGATGCATATATGAACATTTGAGGTTTAGGAGTAAAATAGCTTAGAGAAGCCAAAGGAAAACAATTTGAAAGTATTGCTATACTTAACTTACCCAACAACGAAGAAAGAGTAACCGTCAAGGTGCCAGCTCTGAACACTAGCTTCCCAATTCTCGAAAACAACCTCCACAAAGGCTCTGTAATCAACTTGCATTACAGATGTGGCAGGGAATAATCCTCCCTTAATGGGCGTGTCAGATATGCTTCCAGGCTCATATACACCATCGATTTTGAAGTAGTCCGCTAGTTTCAGAGGGGTGTCTGCCGGGTAAAACGATGCACTGTTCACGGCGTATCGTTGCTTGCCTTCGATCTGTCCAGCAGAGTTAGCAAGTCTGATCGTTCTAGTAATGTTTATCATACCATAGTGGAATGAACCTTGTGGGTTTGGCCTTGGTCCATTTGCTGTAAGGTTGGTCCTACAAAAGACGAACCAAAACCATCTCAGAAAAAAATAGCTATGTTTGCACTGAGAAAACCAACAAAAACCAGCTAAACTAAATCTCTCCGTAGCTACCATGGAGCCTATATAAGAAGTTATCTAACGAGTTTCCCTCAACATACATGGAAAATATCTGCAAGAGACACTAAAACGCTACCTGATAGCTCGAGCCTGGTTAAAAGACCAGCTCAACAGAGTTGGTGCAGCTTGGATAAGTCCAGAAACAGGTCCAGAATAATTACTATAATGGAGAACACCGGTGGTGGTGAGGACCTTTGGAGTAAACCTACTTGAGACCACAATGTAGTAATCTTTCGCAGGCTGGTCTGCTGTTACAAGGACAGAGTAAGATTGACCGAGGTGAACATCGAGCGAAGAGAAGACGTTCTGAAGAGTGTGTCTCCCTTCGACCTCAACCAACTTCATCGCATGGTTTTGGATTCTGAAGTTGAGTGAGTTCTGTAATCCAACATTTGATATTCTCAGCCTGTATGTCTTCCCTGCAGGAAAGGATATTTATACAAATCATAACTTATCAATAAAAGTCAGAGAAAACGCCTCTAATCACAAAAGTGCCCAAAACCTGGTTCAAAGGTGATGATGGTGGCACCGCTACTACGGCCATTGATGAGAATTCCATCAGGTAAAGGAAGCTTTCCACCATTATCGAGTTTTGCCCTCAAATCCTACAAAGTAATTTACAAACATTGCCAATCTTAATCCCTTTTTTGTCGTCCCTATCTATTTTGGTTTGATTCTGACGGAAACCTAATCGCAAATCCCTAAGACGCAATTGAAAATCGTAAGAGGAGAATCGGTTAGTTACCTTGTGATTGGTCTTGTACCAGTCGCCGATGAGGACTGTGTAGTCATCGGCGGGAGGAGGGAAAGGGACAGGTATCAGTGGACGGGTGGAGATACGAATACCACCGAATCCGCCGGCGGCTTTGTGAAATCCGAGCGACGGGAAGTAGTAGAAGCTTCCGATCTGATCCTTAACGTGAAGGGCGTAGGTGTAGTTCTTCCCCGGCGGGATTGGGCACGTCGTTCCGTACACTCCGTCTTGGAACGAGTTTCTCAGATTTTCAATCCCGCTCCTTTTAATTTAACAGTGAACAAAAAAAAAACAGTTAAATAAAGTAATAAATAATAATGTAATTACAACGTTAGTTGTAATCAAAAATTTTGATTTTAAGAACTTTACCATACACTTTTTTAATTACAAACACCTGAAATATAATTTTATACACACGAAACAATTTACAAATTGTTTAAGTATATGAAAAGACTAGCTAATATTTGTATTGTAAAGGAGATCGATAATCGCATGTCTAAACAAAAAAAAAATCAAAGGAAAACTTGGCACATTCGTTATAAGATAAGGAAAAAAAATAAGAAGAAGATGAGAGACATATTTATGTTACCATGATATAAGGAAAGGTTCGTCGAGTTGGTTGAATACGTTGATGATGAGATTGTCATTGGTAACTGAGTATATGTCCGGTCCTGGAAACTTTCCGTTGATCAATATACCCTAAACCCAAAATCATATTATAAAAGAGGTTAATTAAATTAAAGAAAAAAACTAAAGATAGTTTTTAGCGATGTTCAGAAAATAAAGAACCTGTTGTTCAACGCCGAGGGGAGATATGTTGCCATAAGTTACGTGCCATTCGAAGAATCTGTACGGATCCTCCGCAGCGACGACGCTGATCATTATAAACACAAGACCGATCATTAGCGTTGTGGCAGTGTTCATCATGCTTTTGACCTCCATTTTTTTTTATGTTTTTTTCACAAAGAAAGGGAATTAATCAGGCTATCTCCTTGATTCGATTCTAGATATGAGAAGAGAAAGATATAGAGGAGAGGAAATGAAACTGTTAAGTATGTTTATATATTGTTTGGTTGAGAGGTACACACGTGAGAATTTTATAGTGCGTTAAACTCTGTTTTTTTTTTTTTTTTTTTTTTTTATCGTCCCTTTGTACTCTGACATAATTGGGATTGTTTTCCACATCGCTATACAACAAAATAATAACTGCGCGCATCACACAATAAACAAAATAAATAATGAATTCACGTAAATATGTTGAGATATGCATGCACGCAGACAATTTTCTTTTTCTAATATGCAAATAAATTTAACTATCAAAATACGCACATATATCTTACTATTAATTAAAAATCTATAAAGATTAGTTTTCCCAAAATAATAATTTCACATTATAGTAGAAAACCGGTCCATTTTTGGTGAACAATAGTCACCTTTTATCAACAAAAAAAAATTAATGATTTGATAAACCGTTCCACTTTTGGTAAATCTATCGATCGAAATAGACGTGTATATATAATGATAATCCAAAAGATGCTGAATTTTAGAAGTCATGATTTGATAACATCAAAAATTTTGATGGATTCTAGGGAATATCTAGATTTACCATACCTAATAGCATTACATAGTGGTATACCTGTTATCTTTCTTACGCTCTGTCTGGGTCTCTGCACCTTTGTCGGAATATTCGTGGCGGACTTCTTCATATACGATGATGATCAGCTCTTTTATGATTAATTATGTTTGAAAAACAAAAAGGAAATGGATTATCGTGTCTAACTCAACCGGACTACCGGTCAAAATAATATATATAAAAGAATTATTACTCTATTTCTACTCTCGTTTAATTATTCTACCGCTTTTTTTTTTCTTTTACTGAAAAAGTAATTCAATGATATTTTGCCTGGGAAATTTCTTATCCTTTAATTAAAATGTATGTATGCATGGATCATCATCATATTGTTTATATAGGTTACTTCGGAATGGTTGAACCCAACAAACATAAAAGACAGAAATTTTATGTCGTTTATTTAGGATTTTATGTGAAATCAATACATGTCATGCTCTAGTCTTATGTAGGGGTATACATAAAATTTATTTGAATATCGTGTTAGTGTAAAACCATTAGAGGAATATTTCTGTGGGCAGCTGTCCTCGTATAAAGTAAATTTAGGGCGTTTATAGATACATGCAAGAAAAAAATGTGCTACAGAGTCAAAACATGTCATAGTCATTCTTTATTGCACAGATACAAAATTTCCATTGACTTCATATCCTAACATTAAAATCATGCAACAACCCATTTTTTCTTAATTCATCCCTTCAGACTTAACACCTCTCCGGAAATCCCAAAAAACTAGACCACAAATAAAAGTAATGGCTATTCAAACTTTAACTGTCCGGACGATTAAAAATCATTAATCAGCTTCCTTTCCCCACTTGTGCTCATCTTTGTGTTCGTATTAGGATTTCGGTTTTAAGTTTCTTTCAAATTAATCTCTCTGCAGCTCAACCTACACTTGCAGAGCCCACACGTGAATGTGGGCGAGAGAATGAGCAGAAATGTAGACGGAATTTTAATGTACTAGTCAGACCAAGTGATCAAGCACGTAAGGGACTATGGTGACTAAGATAAATTCAGTTACGCATAGACATAGATAAACCGTTGCAAAGTCATCCATAAATTGTTTGCTCCAACATATTTAGTTTGTCCGTGGAAGTATTTAAGACATGTGACTGAATTCTTTTATCTCGCAATACATGACAAAGAAAATTCAGTGGGAGGTTTTTTTTTTTCCTTTTCTTGAATTCACAATTTTCTCTTTCTATTTTTCTATTGTTTGTGTTCTTTATGCGGGACAGGAATCGAACACCTAATCTTGAGGTCATCAGCCTCAGTTCAATAACAAGAAGATGAAACTGGAAGGCATCAATTAGATGAGTAGTTCTCTGTACCAACTTTCCGTTCTATATATCAATGTGTTAATAAGTTCTTTTGGAGCTTTAATAGATAAGGTCGATTTTGGTCTATATTCACTGATCAAGTCACATAAGTGATCAGGGAACTCAAATTGTTATAATTCAAGAGGGACTATGTCACACAATTGCAATTAGCCAATTACAATATGTACCGTATTTGGTTGAGGCGATATATAATTGGCGTTATATAAATAGTGTTTGTTATTTCATTTTCAGGGGAAATCAGCAGCAAATCTCTGGAAGCTTTGGTTAGTTTATTTACTAATAAACAAATTTGTAGTATACATAACTCCCATTTTAAGCATTTCCTTTCAAGTGAAGCCATTTTCACACACATTTGTAGATCCATATAAATGGCATATGGACTTATATATCTTCAAGCTAGGATTTGCAATATATATACGAACGACTAATCATTATTTTATCATATCAATAAGTTATTTGGACAATTAAAATAGCAAAGCACGATTAGATCTACATAACTTATTGGGCGATGTATGTATCTTAAGACAGAGAAACAAGAAACGGGTTAAAAACAACTCCTAAAAATGGCTATGGTTATTTTTTATTTTTTTTGGTAAACGGGCTATGGTTAATTTGTTAATTTCAATATATAATCACCTAGACTAGCCCAACACAACTCACCAAATCATCTTGTTCACAGTTTTAAACAGGGAAAAAAAATCATTTAGCATTTGTGGTGATTAAACATACGTACGTTATGGCGACTCCTCAAACAATGAAGAAAACATGCAGCATTCTCATGATTGTAGCTATATTTATGATGATGTTTTCAGCACAAATTTCTCATTCGATGAATGTAGAAATGTGTGTCAAACATTGCATCCCGAATCAGTGCATGAAAGTGGTGAAAAACCCTGATCCGGCTATGTGTGAAGAAGCTTGCAAAAAGCTATGCAAGAGTCAGTTAAACGGTCGTCAAGAATACCTCGTTCCCCCGAAGGAAGGTCGTGGCACTACAATTGGCAATGCCATATGCCAATTTTTTAAAAATGGCAAGTGCCCTTGATTTTTTTACTTTCAAAACATGGAAACGTTACTCACATTATTTTTCTCAATTTTCTGCACCACTAATATATAAAAATTGTATGTCTGCGTATGTTACGTTTGATTTTACTATATTAGTCGACATAAATTGTACGTGTGTATGTGTGTTCATTTTTTATTTTATTTTTGTAACTGTGTGTGTTCATTGTTTTGTTCCATTAAGAAAAAAATATATCTCTCTTTCTCGTTTTTTTGCAAGCGTTCGTGAACTACGATTGATAATGGGCCATTGATAAATTAATACTGATAGAATTCAGGAACAAACATATACCGGTGGAATCATTCAACGATTACAAAAACTGATGAAAACCAGAGTTTCATGATTTCATTTGTTGCAATAAATAAACAAAAATAAAGAATCACAGGATTAAAAAAAATCACAGGACATTCAAAAGAATTCACAGGGCACAAAACAGATAAATCAGTCACGATCGCGCAAAATATTTTGATTGTTTGTTTTTTTCTTCCACGACTCTTTAAGCTATAAGTCTATAACTTTATTAATAGAAACCCATTTAAAAAAACAAGATATATTAATGAAAGCCTATGGGGACTGGAGGTTAACTCGGTTTAGACGGTAACCCGTCGGTTCCCGCTTGACTTTTTAATAAATTGGATTGAACCGTCAAGCCAATCTGAATTGAAGTTAATAAAATTAAAAATTTAGAATATAATATTGTTAGCTCCTTCTTCTCGTCGATGTCTCCTCGCCTTCCTTCGGAGTCTCTCTCTCTCACTCTCTCGGTAAGCAGCGAGATTTCCTCATTCGATTGCGTTGTGGATTTTCTCAATCGCATTTTTAGGGATTTTAAGATCTAAACTTTTTTCCCGATCGATTGCGTTGTGGATTTCATCCATGGACGATGTTTGTATCAGATTTTAGCATTCTCTGTTCATCTTCACCGTTTTTTGTTTCTCAATTGATTCATTTGTTCATTAGAATCAGGAATCCGAACTATTTATCTGGGAGAATCGAGACATAGTTTCTGTTGTTGTTTCTGTTCCAATTTCTTAGACGATCAAGTTTGAAATTCGCCATTTTAAAGGTTGAAACTTTGCTCAATCACGTTCATAGATTGGGGAATCGTTAGAGTCTGTAATCACTAAGATTGTTTAAACAAAGGTTTCTTCCAGATTGGGTTCTTTGCATTTGAGCCAATAATTGATTTTTTGTCATCTGAGCTCTGAAGTTCGGATTGTTGAACAGAAAGAAGACTCATAGTCCTTATCCAAATTTGCTCTCATGGTTTCTGTATATTGATGCATCATTGGTTTTTGCTTCACTTCAGCATTCTCTCCGTTTCAAGAAAGTATTCGATTGATGGAAAAAACGATTGAGGAAGACGAAAGAAGCAGGATTGTTGCGTCAAGAGCCTCTAGTATGCAGTGGAGTCAGTGGCAACTACTCGATTCCATTTTACCAACCGGAGGCTTTGCTCATTCGTTCGGTCTGGAAGCAGCGGTTCAGACTCGGTTAGTTTCGTCTCCCAAAGATCTAGAAACCCATATCATTCATGTGTTGGATAACACAGCTAGCTTACTGCTTCCTTTTGTCTACTCTGCTCTCAAATCTCCTGACATAGAAACATGGCACAAGCTCGATCAACTGCTTCACGCTACCTTAACAAACAAAGTCTCTTCAAAGGCATCGATCTCTCAAGGATCAGCGTTGTTTCGCGTGGCTGCTTCAGTTTTCACTGAGATCCCAAACCTGAAAATGATTAGAGACGCCGCTCTAGGCACCAAAGAGTTACATTTCCACCATGCCCCGATATTCGGGCTTATATGTGGCTTCCTCGGCATGGATCCTGAGACTTCTCAGAGGGCTTACCTGTTTATCACTCTGAGAGATGTTGTATCGTCTGCTACGAGACTGAACTTAGTGGGACCGATGGGTGCTTCTGTGATGCAGCATCGCATTGCCATTGTCGCTGAGACAGTTTTAGAGAGATGGATGGATCGTGAAGCTAGTGAAGCGTGTCAGACATCTCCTTTGCTGGATGTTGTGCAAGGTTGCCATGGTTACTTGTTTTCCAGACTTTTCTGCTCGTGATGAAGAAGCATATGTGTGGATTTGGTTTTAAACCCCGTAGCTTCAACTGTCCTCATCGATGGCTTATGGTGCTCTAAATCATAGTGTATGATCACAGTATGCGATTACATTAGTGAAAGTAAGGCCTTGATCTGGCTTATTTGTTAACTTGCAACTGTGGATATATTCTCATGAATCATGACTTTGAATTTGGGGAACTTAAAAAAAGAATGTCATGGATATTTAATGTCCATTGAATATCCATGAAATTATCTCCCATGAAACCAAATTTGTTGTATACAGAATTCCCATTTTGTTTGAAGTGCTGGCTTGTATTAGGATTTGTAATACGAACGACTAATTATTGTTTTCTCATATCAATAAGTTATTCGAGCAACTAAAATAACAAAGTACAGTTAAGTTTGTATATATCTCAAGATGTACAGAGAAACAATAAACAGATTAAAAACAACTGCTAAAAATGGATATCATTAGTTTCACTATATAAATCACCTAGACTAACCCAACATTATTCATCAAAACTTCTTGTTCGGGAAGAAAAAGAAAAAAGAAAAAAACTGTAATACGCATTTGTGGTAACCACCATCGATCGCTAGCTCAAAAACATACGTTATGGCGACTCAAACGATGAAGAAAACATGCAGCATTCTCATGCTAGTAGCTATTGTTACGATGATGTTTTCGGCACAAATTTCTCATTCCATGAATGTAGAAATGTGTGTCAAACATTGCATCCCGAATCAGTGCATGAAATTGCTGAAAAAACCTGATCCGACTATTTGTGCAGAAGCTTGCAAAAAGCTTTGCAACAAACCGCAAAGCGAACGTGAAGATTACCTCGTTCCTTCAAAGGAAGGCAGTACGTTTAGCAACGCCATATGCAACATGTTTCCGTCTGCATGCAAAGACTCTTAGTTTCAAACTATGAAAAAACCCACATTCAATTATTTTCTTATTTTTTTTTTGCACAATTAATATATAACTAATGTATGTCTTTGTGTATTTGATTTTACAATATTAACCGATATATGTTATGTACGTTTGTTCATTGTTCTCATGGAGTAAATTATTTATTTTCTTTTTCTTCATTTTAAAACAAGCTACCGTCTTTTGGTTATAACAAACATTGCTATCTAACCGAACTTAATCGAGCTAACACATATGAAAGAGGATTGCTGAATGCTGATCAAACCGCGAACAAACAAATTGTATTAATAGAATGGCGGAGTCATTGAACAACAAAAACTTAGCTGCAAAACATCAGTTTCATTATTTTTTTGTGCAACTATATTTTCATACATCTTTTTCTTTATTTAACGGGACTAACAAAAACAAAAAAATAGCAATGCTTAACAATTGAATAACAATTTATTCTGATAACAAAAATTATTGAATAATAAAAATATTATTTGAGAACTATACAATGCTTAGCAATTGATTAATTGTAGAAGACTGAAAGTTGTTACTTCTGAATTTCTGAGACAGGGAGTATTTTATAACAACTGAAATTGGTTTAATTATGGGATTTTAAGCATTAAAGAGGGAAAAAAATACTTTAATAACATGGAAACCTACGAAAGAGCAAAACATTATTTTCATGGCAACGAGAGAGAAAAGACGTTTCAAGCTCTCTGCTACCGTTACTCTCATCCCTCTCTCCCGCTTTAATTAGGGTTTCTTATTTAGCCAGCTTCGCATACCCAGATTCCTAAAATTTCTCTTTCTCTCTGATTCACCATTTCTTAAAAGCCCGTCAATTTTTTTTCTGGGTTTTTGTTGATTTTACAATCCGGAGATAGAGAGTGAGAAAAGAGAGTGATGGAGGAGGGAAGTCTGTGGCAACAATGGAGTATGTTCAGATCCCTGCTAGCGATTCTTCAATGGTGGGGTTTTAACGTTACTGTTATCATCATGAACAAATGGATCTTCCAGGTAATAAGTTTTTGTTAATTTCTTCTTTTGATCTCGTCTGTGTTTGAAATTTGGGACTGTGGTTTATGTTGCAGAAACTGGATTTCAAGTTTCCATTGTCGGTTTCATGTGTTCATTTCATATGTTCGTCGACTGGAGCATACATTGTGATAAAAGTCCTGAAGATTAAACCTTTGATCGTGGTTGATCCAGAAGATCGATGGAAGAGGATTTTCCCAATGTCGTTCGTCTTCTGTATCAACATTGTGTTGGGGAACATCAGTCTTAGATACATCCCTGTCTCTTTTATGCAGACTATCAAATCCTTCACTCCAGCAACAACAGGTTTGGGATTTGCAGCAACAAAAAAGGAGTGATCTTTATTTATCTTGCTCTGATTGGTTTTTGTGTAACGTTTTTATCTTGAGGGCAGTTGTGTTACAGTGGCTGGTATGGAGGAAATATTTCGAGTGGCGTATTTGGGCGTCGTTGGTTCCCATTGTCGGTGGGATTCTTCTGACTTCTATTACAGAACTTAGCTTCAATGTGTTTGGATTCTGTGCTGCTTTGTTTGGATGTTTAGCTACCTCTACAAAGACCATTCTTGCGGAATCTCTTCTTCATGGATACAAATTCGACAGGTCAGTGTTCTGTTTCCTTAGGTTTCCACCTTCAGTTTCACATGGTGGTTGTTGAAAGTATGAAACTTTTCATATATGACAGGTACTTTGTAGCCGTGCCTTGTTTGATTCTGTAGTTGTTCATTGCAGACTCAGATATTTTCTTCTATGTATCTTTGTAGGAGAAAGATTTGATCTAATTTCATGGAACTGAGTGTTTGTTTCCTCCTCATTGTCATGTCTCTCTCTTTATATAGCATAAACACGGTATACTATATGGCGCCTTTTGCGACCATGATTCTCGGTGTACCAGCATTTCTACTTGAAGGCAATGGAATTTTGGATTGGTTCCAAGCACACCCGTCTCCATGGTCGGCTCTCATCATTATATTCAGCTCAGGTGTTCTAGCTTTTTGTCTTAACTTCTCCATCTTCTATGTCATTCACTCCACAACAGCAGTCACATTCAATGTAGCTGGAAACCTTAAGGTAAAATAAACAAAATCCTGAAACCGCATAACATAAATCATTTTTATTCAGACTGTTTCCAAAACAATCGAATCGAACTCAATGTTTTGGTATGTGATTTGCAGGTTGCAGTGGCTGTTTTGGTCTCGTGGATGATATTCCGAAACCCGATATCACCGATGAATGCTGTTGGATGTGGAATCACACTTGTGGGCTGCACGTTTTATGGATATGTAAGGCACATGCTTTCTCAGCAACAACCTGGAACTCCTAGGACTCCTCGTACACCAAGGAACAAGATGGAGCTGATCCCTCTTGTAAATGATAAACTCGAGGGTAAAGTTTGAACATCATCGGTATATCCAAATTCTCCGGACTTTTGGGAGCAAAAGACAAGTACTCACACAAAGGTACATTTGATCTTGAACATTCCCAAGAATCTTCAGTTTTTACTATGTGTGTTCTTTTTTTTGTTTGTTCAAAATTAGAGAAAATTACCATTTTTATATGGTTCCTAATTTTTCCCTTTTACATGCTTCCTGCTATTTACAACTCTTGAACTCTTTACTATACTGCTTCATTGATCAACACTTTTTAAACCTAAAGAAGAGCTATATAAATTGCAAATTTGCAAGCCGGATATTTGATCCTCGTTACGCCAAGTCACATATGACCCAAGAAAAGTCACATGACCAATTTGTATTAACGATGTCACTGATTTCATTTAATTTTGCTTCGAGAAATCAGCCAAAGATTACACCAAAATTTGCATGATACTCTCAAAAAATAATCTAACACTGCACAATCCCCACCTAAAAACATGAATAATCTACTAAGAACTAATCAAACCTTCACGCAAAGTCCAGGAAGGCAAGAACGGCGACCCCTAAATCAATTTCCGGAGAACATTTCTCCTCCTCTGATCACCGTGACCAGCTTCCTTCACCTGAATAAGAGTTTACATCCGAAAGTTCGTTTAAATTACCAAACGTTTTGTTTGAAATTGGGAATCTTAAAAGATCAAAGTACAACGTTAATTTTTACCATATAAGAAAGCATTTTCCTTTTTCCCGCGTTGATACGGTCGCCGCGAAAAAGCTTAAGACCGTGTTTGGTAGGAAAGGAATTTTTTTAAGTGGCTCTTTAGCTCTCAAAACAGCTACTAAAATTCTTTGCTTTAGCTTCTCTAAAAGTAAAATGGGCCCTTTTACGTTGGCCTCAACTTATGTGTCCAAAGTTACCGCAATACCCTTCTTCTGGTTTTCCATTTCTTACAAGAATAAAAAAAAAACACCGGTCAAACGAGTTAAGGAGAAAGGGGCAAATCAGTCATAACAAGCTCAAAAAATGTCTGCCTCGGACATCGCAAAGGTACCGTTCTGTTCACTCTGTACAAAACAATTGTCTGCTACTTCCTCTCCTCTCTCTTCTCCATTTCAAAAAAGCTTTTAACTTTCCCCTCTCTCTCTCTCTGTCCTCGAGAAGAAGAAGAAAACCAGATACAAGAGAGATTTTTCCACTACCAAACACCTAAATTCTGGAAATTTCCAGATTAACCTTCGAATACTCTTAACTTACTCTGTCCACTGTACTCTCCTTAAGAATACTGGGTTATTGTCCTGTAAGAAGGAGAAAGTGAAAACCCTAGGATACTTTGAATTTAATAAAAAAACCCTAGGAGCAATACTGACCCTGTGAGAATCGAAAATGAGAGCCCGAGAAGAGCCCATCTTCTACTTGTTTCTGATTCTAGCTTCGACCTTACTCCTCACGGCGACGGCTAAATCTACAATCGAGCCTTGCTCAAGCAACGACACTTGCAACTCCTTGCTCGGCTACACGCTCTACACCGACCTCAAAGTCTCAGAAGTCGCATCTCTCTTCCAAGTAGACCCAATCTCAGTCCTCCTCGCTAACGCCATCGACATCTCTTACCCTGACGTCGAGAACCACATCCTCCCTTCCAAGCTCTTCCTCAAAATCCCAATCACTTGCTCCTGCGTCGACGGCATCAGGAAATCCGTCTCCACCCACTACAAAACCCGACCTTCCGACACACTCGGATCCATTGCCGACTCCGTTTACGGCGGTCTGGTCTCCTCCGAGCAGATCCAGGAGGCTAACTCGGTTAACGACCCGTCGATTCTCGATGTCGGGACGAGTCTTGTTATCCCTCTTCCTTGCGCTTGCTTCAACGGCACCGACAATTCTTTGCCGGCGGTTTATCTATCGTATGTGGTCAGGGAAGTCGACACCTTGGCCGGAATCGCGAGGAGGTATACGACCACTATTACGGATTTGATGAATGTGAATGCCATGGGAGCTCCTGATGTTAGCTCCGGCGATATCCTCGCTGTTCCTTTGTCAGGTGAGGTTTACAATCTTTATCCTTTACTGAAATTGAGTTTAAAAATTCCCTCTTTAGAGGTCTACACAATGGGAAGTAAGTTTATATGGTTAGTTGCAGTCAATCGTGTTGCCAAGTTGGGATTTTTAATGTAGCTTTCTGGACTTTGATTGTTTCTCTATTTTGCTTTGTGCATTGTGTGAGCTTTGAGCTGCCAAAAGTTTGCCTCTTTTTGGTATTTTATTGCTGAGTTTTCCGTTGTGTAGCAAACAATACCAGATGATTGATTCTGTGTCTTCTTCACTTTCTCGCAGCTTGTTCTTCGAAATTTCCCAGATACGCTTCGGATTTCGGATTGATCGTTCCAAATGGTAGCTACGCTCTAGCTGCAGGCCACTGCGTGCAATGCAGCTGCGCACTTGGAAGCCGCAAGTAATAATATCCAAGATTCCCCTCTTTCTCTCAAAGCCTATGTTAAAATTGATCTTTATTAAATAAATCGTCTCTGATTGCATTTTTCTTCACTTGTGGTGTGTGCGATGTGATGCAGTTTGTATTGTGAGCCAGCTTCTTTAGCCGTATCTTGCTCAAGTATGCAGTGTAGAAACAGCAACCTCATGCTCGGTAACATCACGGTGCAGCAGAGTAGCGCTGGCTGTAACGTTACAACCTGTGATTACAACGGTTTTGCCAACGGCACTATCTTGACCATGTAAGTCAAATACATTCACATTGGTCTTCCCCTCTTATCACATAACTACACACTTCTTATCATTTCTTTCTCTTTCCTTTCTCAGGCTATCTAGGTCTCTTCAACCAAGATGTCCCGGTAAGTTCTTTCTAAACAATATTATCTGTTTCCATAGAAGATCCAGCTGCTAGAATTGTCCTGTCTTAATGTCATTGCAATGCAGGACCTCAACAATTTGCACCGCTTTTAGCTCCACCGGATACTCTTCCTAAGGATCTAATGTATGCACCAGCGCCTTCACCGGAATTCGATGGTCCCGGATCCATAGCAGCTTCACCAAGATCATCTGTGCTTCCTTCAGGCAGTGGTTCCTTCCCTGGTAACCCTGCTAATGGTCCAGCTGGTAGCATCTCAACTGCTGCTACCTCCTCCGTTAGCTACTTCTTTATCACACTTCTCATCTCCCTTTCTTCACTCTACTTAGTTTTCTCTTCTTGATTCAACAAACAATTGTTTATTTTTCCGCATATTAAAACTCCTTTTTTTCTTTGTGACAAAGAAAATTCTTGATGAGTAAAACTGGAAACACTCTGATTATTTTTGAAGTTGCGTATCTCACAAAAACTTTTAGTTTGAACTATAAGATGATTGATTCATCTCATCAATTACATCTGATCTGACAAAATCTTTCTGTAACCTTGGAAAATAGAAAAAAAAAACAAAAGGCATAGACAATATACAGAGAAAGACTTGATTTTGTCTCTGTTATGATGTCCTCAAGTCTCAACTTGAGCAGCTTTGGTCACCTGTACTTCCTTTAATTTCATCTCCGCTTCTCCGGCTAACTCTTTACCGGCGTCCACCGGTTTAACTGGATTCTTAACCGGAAGTTCTTTGCTAATTTCGTCATCATCCGTCATTCTCTTGTCTTTGCCTTTACCCCATACAACTGTGTATAGGCCCACGATTATAAATAAGGTTCCAATCACACTGAAAAAATTAAGTAGAAAACAATCCATTAATCGGGTCCAAATATTTATTAGTAGTATTATAAGTTTAGAATCCCAAAAAATAAATGTGAAAAATACCTTCCGAGATGAATACTTTCAGACAAGACAACAACACCAAGAGCTGCAGTTATAACGACACAAAGAGGATTAAATGTCGCAACGAAAACTGGTCCTCTTTCTCTCATCACTACTCCTTGCACGTAATAAGCCACTCCCGAACAAATCACCCCCTAATCACACACAATATTTCAAATTTAGTTAATTAAATCCTTTTTGATACAAAATTTAAAATTAATGTAAATGGAGGAAACGTACGGAGTAAGCGGCAGCGAAGAGATTAGAGTCGAAGCCGATTTTCCAAGCGCTCAGGTCACGTACTGTTACCAGTGAGACGGCCGTTCCTTCTAACGTTCCCGTTAAACATATTAACGCCGTTAGTGACAGCTCAGCTGGGTACTGCTTCACTGTAAACGACTGCGTTTTTAAGTCATAAGACAACCGTTTAGATTTTTATTTTCCGCGGTTGGTTCATGAGTAACCCGGAAATTGTATTACTACTACTCACTTGTAGAATAAAGAAACCGGCCCAACCAAAAGTTCTTCCCAACAACATAAGTGTTCCCGGAATCCAGTGCTTGTCCAAAGCCGCCGCTGCTACACCACCGTGAGAACCTCCTGCACCATCACCGCCTCCTCCTCCTCCGCCACCGCCGAATTTTATAAAGTCAACGATTGGACCTTTGTAGAGAGTCATGAGAAGTGCACCCGAGACTGTGATCACTGTTCCGACAACTTTGGCTATGCTTCGTACCTTCTTGAAGTTTAAGCTCTCTAATCTGAAATTTACAAAATTTGTTAAAAACGAGCTTATGTCTAATTATTATAATATTGAATTTACATGTGCATGAAAAAATATTCATGTTTCTATATATTCCCCTATAGACTTATAATGACATCTTACGTAAGTAGATACAAGTGACGATCTCCTAAAGTATAGTATTTCTTTTGGTGTTTATTTGATTATTCAACTGGTATCATTTTCCACGAACATACTAACTGTGCTTTCCTATGATTCCATTAATAATCTTGTTCCCTCGGTATGGGAAAGTAAACAAAAAAATCTCTAAATAAGAATCAAAGTTAATATGAACCGAGACAATTTATCAGCAGTAAAAAATTATTGGTGATTATGTTACTAAGTTGATAAGGAAAGGTTTGATTTTTCTGATGGAATCAATAGTATCTAAGCATGAAAATGTTTGATGAATTTATTTACAAGAATAAGAAAACAAAAAAAAAATTTAACCTGAAAATGATGGCCAAGACGAAGGTGATGGCGGGAAGGACATTAGCGGTAGCAGAAGCGAAAGTTGCAGACGTGTAAGACATCCCTACGTAGTAGAGATTCTGATCCAGCACTGGCCTGTCATTTTATTAACACTCTTTTAATTAATTTTTTGCATAATTGTCACTAACTATATAAGAACTTGAAAACAAAATTAACAAAAAAAATCTGCGGAGATTGCTCTTGTTTTTTTGTTTTTTTTTTTGGAATGAAATATGAGACTGAGAGATGAGTATTACTCGATGAAACCGAGCAGCGCAATTTGGAGGAATATTCGGAACGTCATCTTCGGCCTTATTTTCCTGCATATGTACCATTATAACACAAATTACTTACGTTGATTAAATTATGTAAGAAATTAAAACTTTTATGTACTATAACCTACCTACGGTCAATTATGAATTTTATTTCAATTCTATTGAGTTTTACATTTAATAGCAATATATGATGCATAACAGACACACACATAAAACAACAACCAAGCGTTATATATAAAGAATGATAATCGACATACTAGTTTTCTATTCAAGAGCTTCGTATTTCAGTCTTGGAATTTTCGGTCGGTTCACAAATAAAACAGAAAACAAAGAAAGTCATGATAAAGAATCATACCTTTCATGAAAAAGAGCGAACGGGGCGATGACAACGGTGGCGATTGCATGGCGATAAACGGCTAGGATGTAATGGTTCATGCCATGGTTAAGAGAGACCATGGTGATTATGTACATACCGGCATAACCAAATTGCATAGATATCATTGCTAAGTATGGTTTCACTCTATTCATTAACCCTCCCCACATTTTCTCACTCTCCATTTGATCTCTCTTTCTCTCTCTAGGTTTCTCTTTCTTTTTCGTATTTGATGTATTCAAGTGTACTTACTTATGAGTGTGAGTGATTACGCTACAAGAGCGTACTTGCTTATATAGCCAAATTGGGCTGACACAAAAGGCAATATACGAGTGCATATTTACAGCCATTGGTTATTTCAGCATCACTTTTGCTTATAGATTTTTAATTTTCATCAAATAAGTATCCATTATATATGTGTGGCTAACAGCAGTCATATTCTACATGATCAAACCGGATTAGGTCGTAAGTTTCGTTGGTTCCATATCAACTTTTATTTAATATTTATGGAACTACTTTGGAACGGTTTAAATCTTCGGCGCGAAATATAATCCCCAAGTATTCTAAAGAAGATATCTGGCATTTTCAAGGTATCCGAATCCGCATCTGTATCCACTGGATAATTAATTTTACTATTTGAATCTGGATTCGAAAACTCTGGATATACGAATACCGTATATTTGGTTTTTGTTAACTTTAAAAAAAATCAATTTTATAAAATTATAATGAAATAACATAGATAATTAATATATATATACAAATAGCAAAAAATTTAAAATCATTTAAGTAGCATTCAAATAGCACAAAATTTAAAAAATTTACATAGAAAAACAGAAAATAGTCATAGAGAAGTTAATTTATCTTCATATCGTTATCTTCATTGTTATTGATGATGATGGATTTGAAGTAAATATAAGTCCTTAAAAATGTTATTGGTATTGATGATGATAGGCTTGAAACTCTAGTTTATACATGCTTTAGTATAACAAAGGTAATTTTTAAAATTAAATAAATATTATCAAAAATAAATAAATACTCAACAAATGGATATTGGATATCCGTTTTCAAAATTTTCTATTATCCAGATTCATATCCAAATTTACTGAATACTTCATTTCATTATCCGGATCCGTATCTGAACTACATTGATATTCGTTTTTATGGATTGGATAGAAGCGGATACCGGATACCGAATAATAATTTCAGGTCTAGAATTACTGGTTCTGCGTACTTGAGTGAGAAGAATAATATTGCATTTTTATCAGAATCTGTTAATAATTAAGATGGCCGGATTAGGTCGTAAGTTTCGTTGGTTGCATATCAATTTTTATTTATTTATTTATGGAACTAGTGGTTGTGCGTAGTTGCGTGAGAAGAATAATATTGCATTTTTATCAGAATCTGTTAATAATTAAGATGGCCGGATTCTTCATCTAAGATCACTGATGAGAATGTTTTCGTCGAGGTAGTATTAATATATCGATAACGAATTTTAAAGTATCGAACCAATTAAAGGTATGTAATGTAGCAATATATACCATATCATATTTAGATTTTAAGTCCAAGCCGAACCATATATATCCGTAAGTTATAAGCAAACAGTTTTGAAGAATCAAAAGCATGCACTTACATAATTATATATTTGTATATATATACAATATTCCACTTGAAGACGTCATTCATCTTTTATCCACTCAGCACACTTGTCGAATCTACAAAAAGAGAATTTAGAATCAACCTGAATATTCGAGAAACTATTCATCTCTTATTTTTATCATAACACTATGCAATTTTCTTCATTTATACAATGACTTAGTAACGTGAGTGTTTATCATTTTTGCAGCTTCCTTAAATTTCAATCAGATATATATGTCTATCTATATATAAGAAAATCATAATAAATTAATGATACTGGAATTGACGGGACATATGGCTCTTTCAGTTTCAAAAATCTATTAATGTTTTTCTGGGACTACGAGAAATTCATTTTTGCACGGCCGTAAATGATCCGTTACGTTACGTGAATGATCCGTTGTGTCGTGTGAATGATGACCCAAACATATTGAATTTTAACCGATGAGATGGCTGATTTAATATTATAATATAATGTAGAAACGAATGATGGCTAGGTTTAGTGGCTTAAAATAAATGCGTTGATAATCTTGTCGCCGATAATAGATAGTAAACATTGTGGTGGTTTGAAGAGTGGACACCATCTCATCCAAAGATTAATCAATTTTATTATATTTTCTATTATCTACATTATAGTTTGTTCGTACCAGAAGAAGTACATGTAAGTGCAGAAAACGTAACCATTAAGATCACAAAGACTATCAACGGTAATCAATTTTTAATTTTTTTTGGTCAAACGGTAATCAATTTTTATTTTTATAATTTAGATATAATATATTATAGGTTTAATAAAATTATTGGATAAATCCATAATAGTGTATGTATTTTAACAATTCTACAAAATAATTACGGCAAAATAATTTCCGTTTATTTTTTCATATGGTTTAATAAGTTATTAATTGAGAATCACTTATCAAGTTTATTAGAAATCATTATAGAGGGTAATTTCACGTATATAAAATAATCAAAAAAGTTAAGTAGTCTATCTGCAATATAGATGATGTTTGCATATTACAATTAGTAGGAGTAAATTGAGCCACGTTTTGTCCGGAAATCAATAGTACATATAAGAAATATCTTTAAATAACCTAAATTAATGAAGCAAAAGCGAAATTAGATGTGCTTTTTGTGATACATTTTGTTGTGATTCGTCCCATGAAACGACAAGCGTGGTTAGGTCCTTCTAAATGCGACGCGGCGACTAGTGCTCTTCCTTTCGTCATCACTAAGGCTGCCTGCTTTTGTTTTTTTCCATTTTACATTCATATTAAATTAAGATTCGTATATCGTTTATAAGATTGGTTTCTAGGTTCCTCCAAATATTATATTTTTTTAAAAAAAATATATACTTATACGCATGCAAAATATCTATAAATTCGGATATCAGTTTTATGCATAATTGTTTTTTTTTTCCTTAAGAGGTGAAATCAGGTAGACGAGTGAACAAAACATATAAAAGCAAAGACCTTTCTCAAAAAAAAAAAGAGTAAAAATCACAGTCTATAAACCATGTAGCTAGAAAGAGTCTTAATTTAGATCAGGTCAGAGGCTTCTGGTAGCTAAATAGAATTTGTTGTCAATCAAAATGTGTGTGACTGTCATTGTTCGATGGGTGTCTTCTAAATAATAGGTTACGTTTGAAGATTAAAGTTCACATATACATATATGACAAACTATAAATATCTGTAATATAAAGAAGAAATAAATATAACGTAAAAGGGACTACATTGTATGTTCTCTTGTTTAGCTTAATAAAGCATGGCATCAATCTTTCACGTTACTAGATGCTTGTTTTTGTTATGTTCCCTCAGTCGACGAAATTATATTCGAACATATCTTATCTATCGCTTGATGCGAGTATGCGACTTATCATTACTAAATATATATAGGCTTCCACAAGCATTGCGCATTTATTGTAAAGTTTGATTTTGCATGTGTTACCATTTTAGGATAGTTTACATACGATCTCTAATAATCTCAATTCTCATTAATCATCTTTTTAAAGATCATGCATGTATGAATATCTAGATTACAAATACTCGATCCTTTTGCTACCCTTCTATGAAACCAAAAATCAATTTTCACAATATTTAGGATTAACAGTTGTACCAAAACTTGCGACTAATTTGTTTACGTGAAACAAAAAGGTATAAAAGAAGGCCATCATCAATAAAATGTTTGTTGATTTTGGTTATAGTTTTGGAAAATAAAATATAAAATGTGGTTTTTTGGAAGTGGTACGTCACATATATAAAATTAGTTATGATTTGATTTTAATTACAGTTAACTGATCCATGCATGTCCTATATTATTTAACATCAATTTCTCTAACATCATAGCTTATTTTTAGTACTAAAACAAATATTTATTTATCAATTGATAAATAAATTATAGCTAGCACTTAGCAGTACCATCTCGTACTTATAGCTTAGAATATGAATCATGCGATATATCCCAATTTCAATATAAGTTTTACTATTCAGTCTTCATCAATGTTAAAAGTTACTCTAGCGCATGTTCATAATTAAGTTTTTGTTCATGAAAAATCTAAACGAAAACAAGTAATCATTTAGAGAATTGAGACACCTAAATATATGAAAGTAACAAATAAATAAAAAAGAATAAATTTTGCAAAACTTCGACTTGCTATGCCATTAGGCAACGATATGGATATCGAGAATAAACTATTTTCCCAGTAATGCGGTTCATTATTTTCAGCGAATATATAGATATTAATACATATGCTTAGTGAGTTTGCGTCACTAACAAACAGCGATGATGTCGTAATGAAACCCATTACCAGCCAATGGGGTTTTTGTTTTGTTTTGTCTTTCTCATTGAGAGTGGAATCTTATCACATAATCATAATGAGCAAGTAACTAAGTACTGTTTGCTTTTGATACATTTCTACGGTTTGAAATATCACCTTTGAACGTTGTAAGCCAAGCATTTATAATGTATTGTTTCAACAAAAAAAAATTGCATTGCTTTATTTAGTAGTATTTTAAAATTAGGCCAGGTTTTGTATTTTATTTTCATTCTGTTGGCCAACATAAAGCTAAAAATGGTAATTGATGAAATCTTCATCCAAAGAATATGGTAATCTAATTTGTCGTGTTTAAACTCTTTAAAAAACTATAATAATCAGGACTGCTATATTGTGTACGGTTAAATAACTAGCTGCATTGCATGTCATGTAAATAGTTCAAGTCTCGTTCATAATTTTGATTAATTGACCGAGCTTGAAGAAAATAATCAGGCTCGATTTGAAAGAAAGTAGATATTAGATGAGCATTACAAATGTAGATAGTAGGCGAAATGTAAAACACATATTACATGTGTATTGGAAGTAACAATGGTAATGGTAACTTGGTAAGTGTGAGGTTCATACGATAACGTTCGCAAGAAAGAGATTAGGCGAAAATGAAAAGGACTTTAAAGTTGGATTCATGCTTGGACTCCATCTTCCATAACTTGGGCTAATGGATTACACCTCTTCTTTCGATTTTTGATTATAATATATATTCCAGATTCATTCTTTCTCGTAGCATAAAAAACTTTATATTGCAACTTTTTTTATTTGTTATTAAAGAGAGATACATTGTATAGGTAAGCAAGATGATATCAGCAAAACAACAGTAAAATAATTAAAAAAAAAAAAGAGGTATATACATTTTCTACATATTTATAACATTAACTAGGCAATAGAGAATTCATTGAGAAACTTGTGTTTTTTATATACATGTTGTCTATAATCTACTGGTGAGTTCTTATATGAGCTAAACAAATTCATTTGGTTTTGCCATATTATTGATAAGAAGTATATATAGACATTATATTTGCTCAGGTCTGATGTCTAACTGTTCACACACATGAAAGAAAAGGACATGATATACAATAAGCTTGTCGACATGATAAACTGTCCGTCTTTATGCAAGTATACATCACCCAATTTTATTTTATTTTACTCTTTGATTTATTAACATTATGATGTTTGATGATAATAAATAAAAAATTTGTAAACATTCAAATTCTGGATACTGGAATTACCCCCAAATGCCTGAAACAAAGAGGAGCTTGTCACATAATTGCCGTTTTTAACTACTCCAACAGAAATCAATTAAACTCGGTGATCTGTGCACAAACTCAGAGAAGTATATATAAGCGAAAAAGAGTTCTTTAATCTTGAACAATTCTCTACAAGCTTAAACAGGTTGAGATGTATGCTGTTACTATATATATCAAGTATCCTTCAAAGGCCAAGTTTTTAGATGAGTTTCTTCTTGTGGAAATATCGCTTCAGGTACCATATCTGTGTACCCGCAACCAAAAGGCAAACCCCGAGTGACAAAATACTGAACCAAGCCACTCTTGAGTTGGTTGCTTCACTCACTTCTCGCATCTCGGCTTCCCTGTATCAATATTTGCCTTTTATCACAATGTTCTTGTCCCAAATCCACACCCAATTTGATTCCTAGACTTCAAGAGAGAACACTTAATCGCAACAAGGTGAACGACACGTACCTTCCTTTTATATAGTTTATGTTCTCACGGATCGCCTGCACTAATCCGTCTAGTCTCCTCAACTGAAGCTCAACACCCTGCAAATACACAACACTCACGAGTTTTCACATCAGAGAGAAGAAAACGGAAAGACGTTTAAGTAGATGTGAAAAGAAGACAGACTAAGATGTAACTTGCCTCAATCTTTTCCTTTTTAGCAACAGAGTCCCAATCTTTGGCTGCGATACCAATCTTCCAATCGATTCCAAGGGTCAGTGGATTGGGTCGTGGATGACTGGAGTCAATCCAGAAACAAGCCAAGTAGTTCCCGGTTTCTTGAGTTGTGAACGCAAACTGACCATGCGTCACATTTTCTTGGTGATGAAGATTGTTCCCATAAGGAGATGTTACCTATCCAAAAGAGTAATCAGAGAAAATTTCAAGACCCCATAAGTCTTACCAAACGATAGATTCTACATGAATCACATTAGCATGCGAAACAAATCTACATCCTTCGAATTTTATAAACATTTGAAATTTACAAATCAGATTCTCCTAGAGTTGGAAAGAAGTCATCACAAATAGCACAAAAACATCAAATTTCGATCAAAACCCGTCAATTTTATCCATCTCTCCATCATTTCTGAATAGTTAGATATGTGTAATGCATTAAAAGAAAGTTTAGAGCTTTATAATAATTAAGCTTCACATGATTGCTCTATCAACAACACACATCATTGAGTAAGACACTCAAAAGCTTTTGATCCGTACCAAATCATATAGCACAATCGAATACATAGAAGTTTAATTCGTCACACCCAAACCCAGAAAAACAATCAGAACCCTATCGCGAAACTAATAGAGACCTAAAATCGAAACAACACCCAAATATTTTGCAGCGATTCAAGCTCAATCGGAATCGTACCTTGGAAGAAACAGCCGGCGTATTTTCAGGGTTATGCTCATCGACGACATAGTAATCAGCCAAGACGACAACGTTGCTCTGTATCTCCTCGGAGACGCACTTCGTCCCTCCCGCCGCCGGGATCGTCAACCATATAGCTTCGCCGTAATTAATCGTTAATAAGAACAAAACCACCGCCAAAATCCGCGAAACAGCGACAATTCCTTTATTCGCCATCGGAGAGCAACGACGGTGGTCTTCTTCTCTTTTTCTCCCCAAGTCCAAAGCCAGAGAAAGGTCAAAGTCTCCAAAAACCAAACCAAACCAAAGACAAAAAATGGGAACACGCGCGCGCGGTGTATAGGATTGATCGAGTTTGGTGACTTGCTTCAACGTAAGATCAGCCAATCAGATTCTGAATAAATGTCCACGTGGCGTATCTTTAACGGAGGTGGCGCGTCATCGTTTGATCTTACCTTCTGCATGACTTAGCGGGTTTCTTAGAGCATGTTTATTGGTAGAAATCCATAGAGATTATAGCATGTTTTTTTTTTTTTTTCGACAAAATATCCTTATATTAATTTGGGAAAGATGAAGATACATAGTCCTTATGAAGAGGTTTATTGGTAGAAATCCATAGAGATTTCTAATAGATTAATTTAATATAAAATTTAAAATAAGAAATCTATTAAAAAACTATTAAATTTTGCAGGTTTATTGGTAGAAACCAATGGTTGACAGAGAAATGCTAAAGGCTAGAGAAATTTGGTCCGAGAAATAAAAAGTTTCCCCACTTTTTTGATTAACATTTTTTCAGCAAATGATATCTTCCCACTAGGGGTGGGCATTTCAGTTTTTTTTGGGTTCGGTTTGAGTTCGGTTCGGTTTGGTTAATTCGGGTTCAATAAAATTCTAACCGAACTCAACCAAAATAAATTTGGTTCAGTTTGTGTTTGGTTCGGGTTAGTTTGGTTTCGGTTCAGTTTGGTTTGGTTTCAATTCGGTTAAAACATCAATTTGGAAAAAACTAGAATAAAAACGTAAATTCAAACCATTAATATATGTTCCAACTAAAACAAACCATTAAGTCAAACCAAACCATCTAATACTATATGTTCCAGCTAAAACAAACCATTAACTCAAACCAAACCATTTAATTAAACTAAAATAAATAAAAATTGAAAGGATCCAATAACGAGTTTGTCTCTCTGCAATAAGGTACTAATGCTATTAAAAAACTGCAACAAATCAATAAAAGTCTCCGTCTCGTCTTTCTGATATCGCCACTTCGAACTTTCGAAGAATCTGCAACAAGTCAATAATTTAAATATTAGTTCACTATACAAAATTACAAGCTAAGTCAATGTTTATTCATCTTTAATTCTTTATATGAACCATCACAGCATTAATATTAAAAGATCATTTACCGTAGAAAAACTGAGCTTTGAGCTTTTAATTTTAAGTAGACGCATGACGATCATTCTCATTCTGAGGAGGAGGGTGAAAATCTACAAAATTCAAATAAAGACTTGTGAGACATTACTGAATCATGAATATAATTCTTAGAAGAAGAAAAAAAAGAGAGAATAAAATACTTTCTTCAAGTGAATCCATATATGTATTCTCTTCCTCTAGATTGTCGAGAGTCTTCATTGCTTCTGAACGACGTGAAGCGCGTAACCAGTCTTGGGTCAAAACCAACGCTTCGACCATAGCAGGAGTCAAACAACTTCGATACTGGTCTAGAATACGATTCCCAGTGCTAAAAGCACTTTCAGATGCAACAGAAGATACTGGTATAGCAAGAATTTCTTTGGCCATTAGAGACATAATTGGATATTTTGAACTATTTGTCCTCCACCAATCTAGAAGATCAAACGGAAGTCCCATACCGTTTTCAGTCGCTACGTACAGCTCGTCTTTTAAATATTCTCCAATTCATTTACAACTTCTGAAGTAGTTCTCTTAGCAACCATGAATCTTAAAAAGGGATCATCAATTCTGTCTTCTTCCATATCCTTATGATCTTGGTTGGACTGTGTTACATTCTCACTGTCACGAGCAGCAGACGATTGTAGCTTTAAAGTGGTGTACCGAGCACTATATAGCTCAAATATTCTCTGCAAATCATCCATCACCAACTTAGACATTTCTTTGCACTTTGGATTACCTTTCCCATAAATGAGTTCAAAGTTATACTCTGTAAAAACCATTTTGCGACGAGGATCAAGTACACCAGCCACTATCAATATCTTATTGATATTCTTTGTACCTTCCCAGAATTTATCAAATTTAGCCGACATTGCAGAAGCCATATCTCTCAAATCAGCGTCTTCACTATAAGACATAGTTGCCACAGTTGATTGAATTTTGCATATCTCATTGTAACAACTATTTGATGTTACTTTAATAGAAGAAGAGAATGCTAAAGTCGAATCATAGAAGGACTTCAAGAATGTTACCATATGACGTGCTTTGTCCCAATCAATTGATGTTGGAGGTCCTTTCCTCTTCTTTCCACTAGAATCAAGTTCTTTAAACAATGCATCATACAGCTTATCCATTTCAGCCATCCGATCAAATGCAATTTGATATTTTAGTGCACTTTTCAACATCAAGTATGTAGAATTCCACCTTGTAACACAATCCAAAACCACACTTCCTCTTGTTATCTTCTCAACCTCCACCCAGCGCTTAAAGGAGTCTAGTCTTGAACCAGAAGACCTCACATATTTAACAGCATTACGAACACTTATTATGCTGTTAATGATATCATCCAAACCTTCATTGGCAATCAAATTCAGTATGTGTGCGCAGCATCGTATGTGCATAAATTCACCATCCATCATCAAAGCTTCATTGTTCCTATTACGCAACCGATCTTTCAAAACGTTGATAGCTTTATCATTGCTGCTTGCATTATCAACTGTAATAGCAAATACTTTCTCAATACCCCAATCATCCAAAGATTTTAAAAATTGATTGGCAATGGTCTCTCCTTTATGATCAGGAATAGGACTAAAACTAATAATCCTTCTATGCAATCGCCAATCCTTATCAATAAAATGGGCAGTTACAGCCATATAACTCAAAGTAGTTATAGAAGTCCATATGTCGGTGGTAAAAGAGATCGCTTGCCTACTTAAACTTAACATAGTCTTCAATGTTGTTTTTTCAGCGTTATACAGACCAGCAACTTCTCTTGTAACTGTTCTTCGCGACGGAATAATAAACCAAGGAATAGCAATCTCACAAAACTGTTTAAACCCATCATTCTCCACAAAAGAAAACGGCAGTTCGTCCATGATAATCATTTTCACCGTTGCTTGCTTACAAGCAATTTGATCAAAAGGTTTTGTCATACCAACAACTTTACCACCATGATCACCACTTCCACCACTAGACACTAAGACATTCTGAGACTCAGATTCCTTATGATCCAAGTAAGCTTTGCACTTTTTCATGTGTGTATTTAAATTGGAAGTTCCACATGTAGCAGGATTACATGAATAGACTTTACCACAGAAATTGCATGAACACTTCAATTCATCATCCTTAAGTCTCGTAAAAACTTCCCATGCCGGTGATCGTGGTGGTAGTGTTCTTTTCGGCTTTGGCGGTTGTGTTTGAGAATCATACTCTTTTCTTTTGTTGCTGGTCGTGGTTTTATTATTCATCTACATAGGAAAGAAACATATTATTAATAATTCAATCCACATATCAAAGACAATCACTTTACGATACGCCGACTTTCAAAAGCTAAAAATCAAAACCTTCAATAATTGTTCATTAGCATCAAACTTCTGTTTTTTTGTGATCTAAAAGACTTATTAGAATATTTCAATATTATGTTAAAAAATCTTACCTTTAGACTATGGAGAATCAACAACAATGAATGAGAAGAAGATGAGAGTTTTAGCTGCTTAGGTATATGAGTTTGTAAGTTTTTTAGGGTTTTGATTTTATATAGAATTTTTAGCTAGTAGATTAGAAAATATATATATAAAAAATTAGAATTAATAAAAAAAAATGAATTAATAAAGTCGGTTCAGTTTGGGTGAAATCGTGTCACAAATTCACAATATTTCATATATACTAATATTATAAATTAACTAATAAATTAAATTAAATAAATGTATTGGTTTTTTGGTTCGGTTCGGTTCGTTTTTTCTTACTTTAATCCACTATATTAATAAACTAAGCCCAATGATGAACCCATTAAAAAATCCAAGAAGGATTGCCGATAAACATGGTCTTATAGCGGCCTATCACAATTTCTGTTTCTTCTCAAAGCTTAAATTGCATTTATTCGGTCCATTAAAAGTCGTAAATTTGGGCTTGCAATGCCTTACCCATTTATTATTTTTTTCTACGTTTATCATTTGTCAACGATCTCTTTTTTTCTTCTTGAACCATACTTTTGAACACAACCATATTGTTTCTACTCTTCACGCCTGGTTGAGTAACGATCTTCTATAAAATACAGTAAATACAGAGAGAGAATATTACTTTCTTTTTTCCTATATGTATCGACGAACAAGTATATTATGAGGTCTACGTCCCCACCTCGATTTAACTTTTTCAAAACCGACTAAATAATAGATGTAAGTATACCAACAGCAAAAAGGATTTGGTTGTTGAACCTAGTTCACTGGATCCATTATACATTGTTGAACTTTTTTTTTTTTTCTTTTTTGATAAACTCTATCGACTGATCCGGTCGGCCTCGGTAGGAACGCACCGAAGTGTTATAGTATGGACTTCTTCTTGGTTCAACGGTTCAATGGACACCATGAGCTTTGAGCGAACTCGAGTCAACGGGCCATGAGATCCATGAGATCTAAATGGGCCACCACACTACCTGTCCCGAGTTTGAAATGCCTTCTGACTAATGCCAAGGGGTAGCTAGATCGTCTGTTACTGGACTACCATGTAAACTGCTTGGACCTTTGACTCAAACCCAGACTTCCCACATAATTGTGTTTTTTGTTTCCAAAGAGGATCGAACCTGGGTGAAGTGGTGTAACACCCCATCCAACCTTTCCTTACCACTGGACCACAACGATGCAGGTCATTTGTTGAACCTTCAACGTACATATTTTTAATGAAAAAATAAACATACAATTTTCAACGTAGACCGCTTCGTCTTCCTCGAAATTTCCTTGGCATGATATAATATAGCAATCCTTATTATAAATATATACACAAATAAAAAAAAAATGTAAAACTTGTTGAGGTTGGTTGAGATTGTATCGTATTGATCTCGTAAGGTCCTCGTTGGGAACTAGTACTGAAGCAGTACGACGCCAATTACAATTCAGATTATTGAGTTTTTCCATTCATCAAGATAAAAAGCATTTCACAAATCGTGTCCTTTTAACATTTTCACAAAACAAACTATATAAATATATTAATATGTCTTTATTTAGCATATTACTATGTAATGACTACTGACATAAATTTACTATTTATTAGGCTTGACTACATCATAAACATTTCTCATAAAAAAAATAATTGAATATCTAAAACATACTTTTAAAAAATAGAACTCAATTCGTTAAAATTATTTAATCTGAAATATATGCAATAATTATCATTATTTTTGTCATAGCAAAGTGGTTAATATTCATACGGGTTTCGCCAATTAAACATCGATTCCAGAGTTCGTATATTGACAAGCTTCTAGTTTCTTGTTTTTTGGTCGAAAAAGGTAAAAACGTATAGTTCTTGTTTAATCTTGAAATTCCATTAAAATAGGAGTCAGATATGAAATAAAGTGTCAAAACTCAAAAGTGAAATTGAAAGAAGCCACGATCCAGATGCTTCTTTCTCTTCATGCAAACGCATATTTTGGCTGGAAAGCTGACAAAATTAGCCCATATATATTCTCTCACACACTGATCACTCTGACAATTTTGAAGAGTTTTGCGTAAGACCAAAGTGTGAAATCTCAAGAAGAAGACAACAAAAGTACCATTCCCATGATTAGTCGTAAGCTTTGTGAGAAAGTCAAGGCTGTCCACAAAGAACATGTCATCTATCATCTTTTCCTACATACGATCATGTGCATGTTTGCGTGTCTTAAAGCTATATGCTTTATTATCTCCCCCTTTTTCAATGGTTTCTATAAATCTTTAGCATATATTGAGTTATTATGTTGGTGTTGATACTTTGTAGAAAGAAAAAAAGACATAATTTACTCGGAAAGATAGATAATGCTAAACCAGTTTGAAAACGAATTAGTTCGAGCTTAATTCAAACACAAAATTTTAGTATATGCTTTTTCTTTTAAAATCATAAATTATAGGGAGAAACGAAAACACTCTAAAGTTGTAATAAAATGTATTACTACAACTTTACAAGTATTGCAAGAATGAATTAAAAGTAGATTAATATTTTGGTTAAAGATAAGAAAAGATAATTACGAGTGAGTGTGACGAGAGAAAACGCGGTTTGGGTTTGGGTAGCAAAGAGACAGAGTGAGAACAGCTGTAATTTGAAGTCACTCCCCTTATCAAATTTTAGCATCATCACCTTCTCCCACACTCTTCTGACTTCACTCTAATTCGCTTGCTATTTTGGCTTTCTCCTTTTCATTTTAAAATACTCTTACTTAATTTTTACTATTCCATGTTTACTACCCGCATATATACAAAATACAAGTGTTTATTAATTAGTTTTTTTTTCCCTTAATATTTTGCCATATCGATGGTCCGTGAGTTAAGAACTGGACAATTCGTAATAGTTCTAGTCTGATACTTGTGGTGTTTATTTTGTAGTAATTTATGTCTGTATAACAAGGCTATATCACTCCTGCTATTAACATTCGTATGTTGCATTAGGATATTATAAATATTACCAGATAAAATAACTATATTTTTTCAGTGTGTTTATTTTGATTACAGTTGCGTACGACGTCTCTATTTAGCTTACGCGTAAGTTACTCACTAAGTCACAAACAAATATAATTCAGCAGCAAGTTGTCATACAGCTTTAAAACCATACCTTCGTTGGACTTTGATAGTAAGGATAATTGGATTTAATAGACGTCAATGTAATTAAATAATTAACAGAAATCAATACTGTAATATATATCATGGAAAAAGTATGACAAGAAACATTTTTGTGCACGTTGTGAGATTTTACCGTCATTTAAAAAAAAAAAGAAACATGATACGGTAAATTAGGGAGCATAACTACTAATGAAACCCATTTAACAAAAAGCAACTACACAAATTAACGCCGTTAGTTTAATCCGTAAAGAATAAACATAGACCAATAACCAGCCATAAATGTGGTCTCTTTCTTGGAAATATCGTATAGGACTTAACGCGTTAAAACGTAGCTGTAATTTGTAATCTCCTGATAGTGGTGATAGCTACTTATAAGTCAAAATATAAAAGAAAATTGATATCTCAACCTAAAAAATATTGTACTATTCAGAATCACTCCTCGATTTGCTCATCAAGTGGCTTCCGTACAGCTAGCTAATATACGCTCTTAAGTCTTAAATCAACTATTCTATTCCTAACAATATTGACTCCAATCGGTAAGTTTTTGGGGTCGAGTATCAAATCTTATCGGTAACAATACAAACCTTAAAATAGAATATAGAAAAATATTCTAACCGTGAAATTTCTGAGAATATTTGTCACTTAAATTGTAGAATAACAAAACTGATTTAACACTAAAATAATGTTTTCCAAAAATTGATTATTTATTTTTTTGCGATGGCATAATCAATTGGGCTAATATCATATAAATAATAAATCTCTTTATATTTTCTCCTTTAAATTCCAAGATTTCTAGTTATTTTATTTTGATAAGAAAATACAAAACTAGCAAAAGGTTAAAAGAAGGCCATGTTCAGGTTCATTGTTCGAACACTTGGGCAAAGCCATAACATGCATTCATATTCGAATTTCGAAATTATAATTAAATTCCAAAGATATAAATTTGTTCTTGTTTTTAATGAGAAGGGAACAAAAATGTATTAATGCCAATTGCCATGATAAAGAGAAAATAGAAGAAAAACACCTGTCATGCACCACAATGTCACATTCATACACAAGAAACCATACTATATTTCATTTGACCCTATTTTAGATTTACATCAAAAATAATAATATTTCATCTCTTCGTCTCCCATACCTTCCCATATCAATCCATCTCTATATATAAGCTCCTCACCTCACATTAACACTCATCCAAAAATATCTATCCATCACCACCAACAACAACAACAAAAACTCAGAAAGAACAATCTCTGCGTCACTTGATATCAATATCACACTGTCTCTGATCAATACACACAAGAACATTACCATGGTGAAACAAGAACCCAAGATCCAAGCCAACACCAAGAAGGAAATGTCTTTGTCTTCACCATCGCATTCTTCATCTTCATCTTCCTCTTCCTCTTCGTGTACGAGCAAGAACAAGAAGAATAAGATTAAGAAGTACAAAGGAGTGAGGATGAGAAGTTGGGGATCATGGGTGTCTGAGATTAGGGCACCAAATCAAAAGACAAGGATTTGGTTAGGTTCTTACTCAACAGCTGAAGCAGCAGCTAGGGCTTACGATGTTGCACTCTTGTGTCTCAAAGGCCCTCAAGCCAATCTCAACTTCCCTACTTCTTCTTCTTCTTATTCCTCTTCTCATCATCTTCTTGACGAAAATACCACTTTGTCCCCCAAATCCATCCAAAGAGTCGCCGCTCAAGCTGCAAACAACTCATTTGACCTTTTTGCCCCTTCTTCCTCCACTTGTTCTTCATCAGCCGCCTCGTCACCGTCCAATCATGACCAGCATCATCATGATGATAACGATGATGATGGGATGCAATCTTTGATAGGGTCTTTCGTGGATAACCCTGTTTCATTGATGGATCCATCATCATCATGGTATGCTGATGATCATGATGGGATGTTCTTTTTCGATGAGGGAGCTCCGTTTGATTACTCTCCTCAGTTAAACTCGGCGACGAATATGGTCGATGAGTACTTCTACGAAGATGCTGATATTCCGCTTTGGAGTTTTTGATCCGACGGTCCAGAATACATACTTTAGTTTATGTTTTTTTCTCATTTTTTAAATTCTTTTACTATGTTAATTAATTAATTTACCCTTGTCGTAATTCAACCTTTTCAAGTTGTTTGTTGCTTGGAGAGAATTGAAGACGGATATGATAACCGACTGTAAAATATAATTGAAAAGGTTTTATATTAGTATCAATATACGTTTGGGATTTAATAGCTAATAAGATCACATGAACAAGAGACCTTTTTGTCACTTCTTTGACTTTTTCATGCGGCTTTTCCTTTAGAATCAATTTTATGAGTAAATAAATAATAATGACGTGATGTATTGTAAAGATATTAATTATATAATTTGCAGTTTGCACAATATCTCTATGAAATAAATCTGATGTTCAATATATAAATTATTGTGCTTCATTCTCTACTAATTCAAGTATTAGTAAAATGTAATGATTTCGCAATCCAGCACATCACCTTTGCTTTTATTTTTTTTTTTGTGGTAAATGGTAAACCTATGATGCATATAATTGACAATCATTAGTAACAAAGCGTAGCTGGTAATGGTAAAGTTCTTAAGATAATCAGATAAATCTCTGTATATTTATTGCTAGTTCAATTTGAGCAATTTTTTCCCGATGTTTCCTCCTAATATATTGTTTTCTGATAAATACTAGTATTGTTTTTAGTACTGGTGTACTATATTCAGAGGAATCTTACTGTTTCATGTGGCGTGGAAAAGTTTGGTATAGCAAATAATGCACACATTGCTTGGGGACAAAGTTCATATCTTTGAAACTTGAGCTATTTTATTTTATTTCATAACTTCTCTCGTTTTATTTTTCTTTTTCCTCTTTCGGGAAAGCATCCCATGGAGGAGGTACAACAAATATAGTTGTTTATATGATGCACTATAATCACTATTGGCTACTGCAAACTGATTTTTGATGTTTCAGAGTACCGTTAGTTCATTAAAACATCAAAGTGAAACTGTTTGCAATTTTTGTTTAGTTTAGCTAATAGCAGAATCCTTGCCTTATTTTGTAGTTACCAATAAAATGATACAAGTTTTTTAAGAGAATGTTTGTCGCAACTTTTAAGAGTGATATCGAGAACAAATTGCTCAACTTAACATGGTTTATAAAAATCCGTTGACATGATTTAAATCTATGAGACAACTTTATGTGAGGTTTTTTTATTTCAATACATGAACAAGCATTCACACAAAACATTTCGATATCATTTTCTGGTCGGAGTGGATGTACTTGGTCTAATACTCAAGTATTCCGATCGTATTCCATGTATCTAAATTATACAGATACCAGATATATGTATAAAGAATAGACGCTGTGAATAAACTATGATATTTTGGGCTTAATATATACAACAAAAATCTTATAGATAATATAGACTATGTAATAGGAGGACTGAGGACATGATTATATGGGTTATATAAATATAAAAAATAAAAATGATGGGACCCCATACTTAAGATGATAACGTGATTTGGTAAGACATTCATATGCTTCATAATATTGCTTCAACGTGGAATCTAAAATATGTAGATTGTGTAGCATTTCTTTGTCAAAGGGACAACTAAACTTTACTATTTAGGATTGAACATCGAAAATTTGAAACCACATTCTCAACACTCGTTGGTGATGTGGGCTACGCCGTCCATGGGCTTTCGTTTTTTGGGGGCATTATCGATTTTGTCCCCACCTTATGAATATTTGACGAGGTTTTTTTTTGTTTTTTTTTTCTAAAGGACGCGTTATTTGGGCTCAGTTAGGGCTTTTATTAACTGGACTGGACTCTTTGATTTCAGTTTATAGACAGATGTAATGATCTGGCTTTCGAATTTTAATGGACTACGATGCGATATATGAGTTTCAAAATCCAAATACAGAAATAAACAGAGTTTATATAACAAGTCATTCCAACAAAATTATTTTAGCCTAGATAGGAAAACTTGTGATGATGTAAGCTCTATTATAGTCACGCTTAAGATAATATATAGAATCAATTAAATCAATAGTCAACTGGATTAGATTTTGATGACCAATTTTTGAATCACTGTTTACAAAAAGTTGTACTGTCTCTATGTCTTTGCTCGATAATGTTATGTTCTACTTGTACTTATCCTGATGCTGAGAATTGGCGGCGGGTGACAGGTTTATCATTTACTTGACGTATTTGAATAAGAAAAAATAAATAAAAAATCAATAATTATAGACCTAAAACAAAATAACTTGTATTTTTGGTCGCTTTCAAAAATCAGTAGCTACCAAACATGCGATGCTAAGCTTTGCAGACCAAACACTTTTCTATTGAGAAAAGAGACTTTGTAGCAGAGAATTATTTGCTAGTAAACTTAAACTAATTTCTAGACATGTATAATTTTAAAATAATTTAGATACATGTGTAAACTGGATTAAAGTTAAAGGTCATGTGCTTTGTCTTTTACCGAAGCCCATATCATATGTTACCTGAGTTAGTTAGTTGTCTACTTGCTTTTATAAGTCATATCGTAATTATGTGCCTTGAAGAGTTCTTTTTAAAAAGTAATAGAGGCATATCTCTACTATTATCTCCTTAACATGGGTGACGGGATCTTAAACCATTATGTCAAAAAAATAAAAAAATCATAAACACATATACTACTATGTATTGCCTTAATCACAATCCAATTACGAAATTCTTAAGACATGTCATTTATTTCGAGGTCTTAAAGGGGTTATGTTTTAACTTATAACCTACAAGAAAATCTTGATCTATTATGCTAAATTTGTGAAAATCGTTAGTAAAAAAAATTTACGGAGAAAATACCTGTTTAGTTTACATGTAGCTAACGTGTTTGTTTTGTAGAACAATAAAAACGAATTTGAGATTTTCTGAACGAAGAAAAAAATTTTGCTATAATCTTTTTATCTGGTTGGCTTTCTAAACGTGGATGTAACAATAAGAAATTTAAAATCTAATTAAAACTCAATTATGTTAAGTAACATTCAGTAATTACATTTTGACCCAAACAACAATATTAATTCCATTTAAAAGTAACTATACGTTTAATCATATGGGTAAACACTTTTTGATGATATAGTTGTTAAATATTATGTTGGAACACACAGTATTTGTGGAGAAAGATGGTTGATTAAACTGTAAGCAAACAAGAGTATTATTATCATTTTTTTTCTTAAAATTTTGGAGGATGAGCCAACCAATTGGGCAATTGGGAATGGCCCATAGCAATTTGGCAAACTCCAACTATAGGGACATCAAATTTGAAAGGCGACTTGAGTTTATTTATTTAAATTATGCAAGTTGTAATTATGTTGTCTGCTTGCATATTTGTAGTAACCCACTTAAAAGTTTTTTTTAACAAGTACCTACTTAAAAGTTAAAAGCGAAGAATTCAACGTAAAAAAAAAAAAGAAGAAGAAAAACAAAAATAAAATAAAAAAAAGCGAGGATAAGTTTCAATTGTATTGGTAAGCATGATGATTGCATTGGAGAGGGTTTACTTGTCACCTCATATTTTGAATTCAAATAATGACAAGTTCAAGAAACTTAGAAAGTATCGAGCATTGTTGGATACTAGAATTAGATATACTCTTGAAATCTTTATTAAATAAAGAAGCTAATACGATATGCACATAGGTCTAATCTGTAATTTCTAAACTGATAATATATGACAATTTAATCATCTATACCATTTATGGAACAGAGATTTGTATTCATCATATTATTTTGGAGTTTGTAAATATGTGACGCCGTGATGGGGACATTTTATGTCGAGTGTGAGTCCTGTCGATTTTATAAGTAAAGTCTTTAATGGTGGTTCGAGTATAATCGAATTTGTATATATGTACTCGTAAAATTAACTACCAAAAACTCTGCGAAAAAATTATAAAATAGATTGAAATGTATCAAAATTATTGAAAAATAGTGTTTTATCAGGGAAACAGAATCTAATTTAGTTTGACACCAGTTCTTTAAATATGAACTGAATCGAAATTTGTCATCTCTGAACCTAACTTGAACCGAATTTTGTCATTCCTTAGTTCAGCTCCATTTTTCTAAGCCAACAACTCGATATTTAACCGAACCGAAGTTTCCAAATGTTCTACCCTGGTAAGTGCTGAAATTAAGAATTAGCTCGTAATATTATTATTTCGCATAGTGTAACTTGGAAGACGCACATTGACCAAGTTATTAATTTTTTTTGTCAGTAAATGGCACCCCATTGGACCAACAATTTCAGCAATCCCTGCATTCTTTTAATTTAATTGTACCAAGGTGTTTTAAATTAATTATAAATCCACAAAAATTAATTTCAATTACATTAAATAAATGCACAAGTCATAACAATGATTATTCGAGTTTATATACTACAATTTGATTTTTAATAAATTTTGTAATCAAAGAGGCAGAGACATGCATGTCGAAAACAAGCATTCCTCGTCTGACTTATCTCGTCCACAATTTTTAGTCTCTGAATCTTAAGGTGTTGAGATATTTTATCCTAGTTAATAGCATACGCATAGGTCGATGTTTCTTATATAAAAAAGTTTAGGTCTTAGAGAGATCAATTATTGACGGTACGTATGTAATTTAATACGTTATTATATTGATGTCTCTATTTAATACGTTATGTAAACTTCATATGCTGTCGACCAACATAGGAACTAAATTATAGTGCGTGCATGTTATATGTTAGAAGTATTCTCATTTTTCCGTCTTCTTTTTGCTATCGCAAAAGCTTATGCTATGGGCATTTTCTCGTTTGTTTCCTTGTTGGCTTGTATCTTTTTTTGTTTTTCTATTTTCATTAACTCGTAGCCAAAAATTCAGTCTTACAATAGATGCATTTATATTCTGGGAAATCTGTAGACCAGTAATTCTCTCTCTGCAAGATAATTAATTTGTGTGGAGTGGTTAGCGACTGCCAAGTTTGAACTTCAACATTTGAGTCAAAAAGCTGTCAGTAAAATACTAAAATTACATGCGGGGCTGTAAGAAATAAATTAATTACATGAATATATGTGATGCTTAGGAAATCATATCATGTTACTTCGGATGTTTTTTTACCAGTAATTAGGAATCTATCAATATATCAAATATTGTAACATATATTTTTCAAATTTGTTTGAACGTGAATAATCTATTACTATGGAATATTTGATCATAGGTCACTCCAGTAATTTATCGATCGGAACATGATTATTATATGTATATATATATATATATATATTTTTTTTTTTTATTGTCGAATGCTATTCATCCCATAGTTCGTCGTCGGATGCTACGGTGAATTAGGTCTATGTTTCTAGAAAACATAAAGCAGGAAATATTTTGGAAATAAGGTTTTAAAATAGCGTTGTATAGAAACTATATATTATCAAACTTTGATGAAAAATAAAACTTAACATTGTGCAGATTATTGCAGTTTACATTTTATAGAATACGTAGTTCTTTGGGGAAAATAAAATGTAATTAATTTGTTGCTATATTTTTTCAAACTTGGCTTGGAGTATTTTGATGCCAAGGGAGACCAATCCAGCGAGAAACCATGTGATCAGTGGCGTATATAATTATATAAATACAAGAAAGGGAAAGGATAAGGATATATATGTATATATAAATCCCAAATGATATCCTCAATATATGATGATCGATAAGGACACATGCCTTCTTCGACATTTTCTTTTATGCGACGAAACATGTATGCATCGGATGTGTTATTGTCGAGTTGCCGTAACCAAAATAGTTTTGTACTTTTGTTTTTGTAATTAATATAGTACTTAACTATTTCTATGATTGATTAATTAGTTTCAAACTCTTATCCTCATCCATCATGGTATAACTAAGTACACATTGCTGTCACCTATAATTCGAATTTTGGAAGCAACAAAAAGAAACCGATTTCAAAATTATTTGCCTTTTTTAGTGAAGCCATTACAAAATGAAAACATTGAGATTGACGCCGATTCGTAAACTCAGTGGGTTCATACATAAAGTTATTAAACATTTTTTTCTCTGGACGAAGTTATAAAACACTTTTAAAAAATCGTATAAATATTGGCAAACTTTATAAAAATAAAACTTAGAAAATGATTTTTTTCTCTGGGGTATAAAATAGAAAATGATTTATGAATGAAAAAATACACAGTATATTTTCAAAGTGAATGAACAAAACTAAACTGCTGAGTGCATAACTCCGATAGATAGACTGCAAAAGAATTGGAACTTTTAGAAAACAATAAGAATTCAGCTAATATTTTTGGTAACGACGATCAGAGACCATTAATATGTCACAAAAAAAAAGCAGAGACCATTTAAATGTTGTATCAATGCAATTAAAACTAATCTATAAATTTTGGGAATCGTTAATGCAAGCGCCGAACAAGAATCTTCTTCATCCTTCTCTCAAAATTTGTTTGTTTTTCTTGGGAAACCAATATTATTATATTAATCCAAATAAACAAATTGTCATTTTTTGTGTAGTATCTAAACTAAAAAATCGACATGTCAGTGATCCAGATCAAGATCATAATATCAATCAAAGTCACTTCTTCCCAAAGATTCGATAAAGAAAAAGCTCCATCATCAAGCCGTTGATTTACATAAAAAAGAAACCAGCTTCTTCTGCTTCTTCTATTTACAGATTGTTACAGTAATAATAATAAAAGATCGAAAATTACTCTGTTAAAAACCTCTGAAACAAGCTTCCATTCTTTTAGCTCAATCAGGGTTACAGAGAAAACCGGGTAATAAAACTAAAAATATTAAAAACAAAAATAAAAATGATTTACACTTTTTTTCCCCCACAAATTTTCAATTTTGACAAAAATTACCATCCATCTGATTCTGAACGGCTCTCACCGCAGCCACTCTTGCAGCCGTTGCAGCCTTGTTGGCTGCAGCCACGGCTCGGCTCACTTGCTCGTCTACTCGTCTCCGGTTCACTGCCTTCTTCGCTGTTTCTCGAGCAGCCTGAACCGCTCTTCGAACCGGCTCGCTCGTAAGAGGAAGAAAAGTCACAAGCTTTCCCGAGTCCCATTCACCGGATTTAGCATCACCGTTTCTGAACGAGTAAGCACCATACCCTTGCTTACGACCTTCGTGCCATGCTCCTTCGTAACAATGACCATTAGCGAAACGATACACACCAAATCCATGGATTTTGTCTCCAAAGTACTCTCCTGCATACTTATCTCCATTTCTGCAACAACAACAAACAAAAGAAGAAAAGGTTACGTTTTTAAAAAGTCAAAAAAAAAGGTTGCGTTTTTAAAAAATCAGATTCAACATCTGTAGCTAAAATCTCAAATCTTTACCTGAAATGGTAAGATCCAAGTCCATGTTTGACACCAAATCTTGATTCTCCAATATAAGAGCTACCATCAGCGCAAGATTGAACACCAAAGCCATGGCTTTGGCCATTGAACCATTCACCAGCATAACAATCTCCAGTGTAGAACCTGTAAACTCCATAACCATGTCTAAGACCTTGCCTATACTGACCTTTGTATCTACTTCCTCTAGCCCAACTCTCAATCCCGTGACCATCGTATCTCCCATCGATCCAATCGCCTTCGTATCTTCCTCTCACGAAGTAGTAATAAACACCACTCCCATTGCACTTGCCTTTGTTAAATTCCCCTTCGTAGAAATCTCCATTGCTGTAGAATTGAACACCTTCCTTGACGAATCGCTTCTCTACTTCTTGTGTTGTTACGATCTTCTTCTCCGGCGGCTTCGATTCGTCGCCGATGTACCACTGCACCGGTTTCGATTGGTTTTTCCTGCCCAGAAACCCTAAGTGTCTGGTGGTTTCGTCGCAGATTTGCTTGATTGCGACTATGGATTGGTTGACGAGTGCGATGTTCTTGGAGGCGAAGAAGAGAGCGACGGCGACGAAGATCAGAGCTAGGAGGAGATTCTCCGAAGTGAGGATCTCATCGGTTTGGGAGAAGACGACGAAGAAGAAGAAAGAAGAGAGACTGAAGAAAGAGAGAGAAACCATAGTGAAGGCTAGACCCGGATTAATTCGGGTTAACCCGGTTCGAGGACTTGACCCGAATGGTTTAGGCGGTTTTCTCCTCTGCTTCTCCTCTTTCTCTCCGGCTTCTAGATCTTGTTTCTGGTGAGAGACCTCGCTAAAATCGCCATCGGCGATTGAATTTAAGCTGAGAAAAGACGATCGTACCGTCGACGATGACCGGAGCAACGACGACTGTGTCCTCGTCAGCTTCGCCTGTCCTTCCATTCTCCCTCAATAAATTCGAAACACAACGGAAAAACGAAAACAAAATCTTCGATCACGAAAGCCTCCTGTAACGAGAGATTCCGGTCACAACCGAAGTCCTCGATTTCTCCGGCAACATCTCAGGCGAGAGTACACTAACCGCAGCTTCACCACCGTAACTAGCATCACTCACAAGAGAGAGAGAGACAGCGATCCGCAACTACAGAAAACTTCGTGAACAGTGATTTTCGCTCTCCTCGTTATCTATGCTCCGGTACCGGAGAAATTTCACGGCGAAGCTCACTTCTTGAGAGAGAGAGAGAGAGAGAGAGAGAGAGAGAGAGAGAGAGAGAGAGAGAGAGAGAGAACGATTGGACCGGGCTTGGGCTTATTTTAAAGGAGAGAGAGATGAAATTTGATATGATATTGACCGTTGGATGTAAATCTGACGGTTGATTTACCAAAGAGGTTAAGATAGCCGTTGGATGTGAGGAAGAGAGGTCCCCGGTCATGACGGGAATATATTGGTCGACGGATCCAAACATGAACGGTTTTTTAGCTTTACTGTTTCAAGCTGGCACGTGCCACTACACACACAGTCACAGATAAATACTAATTAGCTTTTTTCCCCTTTTTTGGGCTCTTTTAATTTATCATTTTTTACTAATTTCATTTGCAGAACAAATTTCTTACTTTCTGCAGAATTTCTATTTTTCTCTATATTAAATTGATTGGACCAAAAAAAATAATGATTTTTACAGTTTTTGTTTGTCTAAGCTGAATTTTTCTACTCAACATTTCACATTTTTTACGTTTTAAAAAAAATCAACGTATCGTATTTTAATATTTTGTGTATTTACTAGTGTAATCCAGTGGAAATAATGAAAGCCTGTATGTATCAATTTCATTTCGGGTATAAATTTTTTTGTTCTAATATAAGATTAGGTTTTTAAAAAGTTTAAGTTTTGTCTCAACTCTTTCTCTTGGATATGCAAGTTAACAAACCAAATAAGCTGGATTAAGGCATAATCCAGAGTTACTAAGTATTACTTAGTCCAAATTTATAATTCACTTCAAATTGGATTAGATCAAATTAAACATTCCAACGTGGCACCATATGAACTATTCATGCAGGAATACTTTATTCAAGTTTGATTTTATTCAAATAATATATTTTATTCTAAAAACAGATTCAAATTAATATTTTAAATATAGAAAACTTCTTTTTAGCCTAATTAAGAATTTGTTGGAAATGGGAAAGCTTTGTTTTTTGTAAATTAGATAGAATTTGTTTAGTTTATCTAATTACGCCAGCTGTATGGTTAATGTTCTGCTTTGGTTTAATAATTTAGAAATAACTTATACAAAAATTTGAAATGTTGGTTTTGTTGGCTTTAAAACTTTGTTTTATTTCTTTTTACCTCATGACAAATTCAAAAAGAAAAAAGAATATGACTTAATTTTGGAGTGAAATAATAATTCGATGTAGATATCGATTTCCTCTTCTGGTTAGAATAAGATTAGATGATTTTAATGTATGATGCATCTAAATCGAAATTACTTAATATAACATACAATTACCACGTCACCACCAGTATGCTAGCATGCATATACAAAAGTGTATTACCACTTACCAGCTTATGTGTATTAATAACATCGTTGAATTCATTTTATTTTTGGTAAGAAATCTGGTGGGTGATCTGCCCCGCAGGACGGTTGAAATCGACTGATACACGGAAACTTTTTTCAAACGAAATATTAATGGCAAAGAAAATAGAAAAGAAGGTTTGTATTCAAATCAAATTATTGTGAACAAACCATTTCTCACCAAACACCACGTTTGGTGTTAGGAAGGAAGTGTTTATAAATAACTTCGGTTGTTCTAGAAATGATGAATGAACAAAAAAAAAACTAGATAACCGATTGGTTATAGTCAAATCACACAACAAAAGGATAGTTGTCATGATAGTATCTCCATTTGATCCCATAAATTTATTAGATGATGGCTATTTTTCCTTCTTTTACAAAACGATGACTACTCTATTGCTTACTCAATGGATTAAACAGGAGATTACTATCTAACAACCCTCTATTTTAACGAGATCTCAAGTCAAAACACTCTGATTTGTTCACGTTCACGTAAACAGTTAAACTTTCTGCTTCGGTAAGGACAATTGTAACAAACCCATGCCTTGGCATTTAGTTATTGTGTTGGAAAGTATCACACTTTTATCTTACTTGAGTTTAATCTTGGGTGATCTGTATCAGCGTCGAATTTTAGAAAGTTACTTATTTTTACTCAATTCATGAACTTTGATATACAAGGTTTTTTTTTGGCATGATCTACAAGGCATATACAATATTGTGCATTATCATTAATATTTATAAATTCATATTGTTGATGAATGTTGGCAATCAGGCAATGGCACATCCGTATGAACTGACGTATACTTATTACTTAACAAGTTATTAAGTTATATTATTACTATTTACTGAAACAGGATTGTGAAAAAAGCAGTTCTATCAAACTGAAACTCCAACTGAAACTCTTGGCACAAAGATTATAAATGCAGACTCCTATATGCAAAATTTTGAACCGCGAACCAATTGCCATTGTATTTTGCGGTAATTGATTTTCAATATGGAGTTTGGTTGGCATGTAAAGTATTATGGTTTTAACATGTAATAGTAGATTCTGAATTCTTGTGGTAATTAGAGATTGAACCATAGTTCATTTTTTGTCTTGTTAAATATTTTAATGAAAAAGAAAAGAAAAAAGCACCGGCGTATGAAAATGTTTCATTACTTACACATGATAAACTTTTTTTTTTGGGTCAAGGACACATGATAAAGATGATCGAGAACCTGCGTATATTATCATATATCAAAATATCAATTTACATCATTCCATTTACATGTAATGTTGTAGAAAAACAAAAACTGAAATTATTGGCAGAATGATTACAAATGTAGATTTGTATATTCGAAACCGATCACATGAGTTTAGACCAAAATTCTGGAACGCGATTTTCATTATATTTGGTGGTAATAGTAATTGATTTTCAATCTGGAGTTTGGTTGGCATATAAAGTATAATGGTGGCCCTTTTTCTGCAAAATTTAAATATGGATTCTGAATTCTTGTGGTCAGAGATTGAATTTTCATATTTCACTTTTGGTCTTTTTAATTATTTAATGAAGAAACAAGGAATAAAAAAGCACCGGCGTAAGAAAACGTTTCAATGTTTCATTACTTACACATGATAAAGTTTTTTTTGGTACACATGATAAAGTTAATAACGAGAACATGAGTTCGTGTATATTATAAGAAAAAAAATATATATATATATAAATATTTATATATATATATATAATATTAAAATAAATAAATCAATAGAAATAAATTATATTTAAATAAAAATTTTATATTAGTTATTAAAATTAGATATAAAGAAGAAAAAAAACAAAAATTATATTAAATAAATAAAAAATAGTTCCCGTGCAAACGTACGGGGTAAAATCTAGTAGGTAGTTATCCTCCGACTCGTTCTTTCCCTACTATGATACATCAGGAAACAAACTTATATATATGTATAGGGCTTTCAGTTTCATATAGTAATTTAGAGATCTTTTTGCTACTTTAACAACTACGAAACATTAGCAAGTCAACATTTTACAACATTTGTAATTGAAACATTAGAAATACAATCGCTCCAACAATTTAGCCCATTCCATTGAAAGCCCAGTATTGTTAGTTGAGGCCATAAACCCAACAGGTGTGGTAAGGCTGTTTTTATTCCACATAAATTTTGAATTTCTAGAGCCAAGTTTAATCGAGCTTCGTATTCTACTATTTTTGTCCGTTTTGGATTATTTTTAATCAAAGTAATTTTTAAGTTGTTTGTTTTATCAACTAAATATTTATTTATATATTTTTTAAAATTGTTTGTTCCTATTTTAATTGTTGTTTTTCAATTTGAAAATTTATAATAGAATAATCTAGCTTCTTTTTTTTTTTTTTTGAGAAAGAGAATAATGTAGCCGTCTTCATTTTGGACATATCAGTGTTACATAAAGATAATTGAGAAGCAGATCACTGCAATCAGATATATATCGAAGTACTGCTGACATTAGCAAGAGTTATACAGTAATATTTCCGCTCACGAGGATAACGTTATTAACGATAAGTATAGATAATTTTATCTAATGAGAATAGTAGATCCATATATGTCATGCGATCAATACAATGATGATATGAAACATCATACATATATTTTAATAGTAAAAAACGATAATTTGAGCTCTTGTACTCACAAATCAATTATCGTCGCAAATCAAACCAAAATATCTGCAGAATCTTATTAAATGGCCATTGTCACTTGGAGGGACGATATAGTTCAAACCAATCGGGCTTTCAAGACAGAGTTTTTCGCAGAGTTTCTCGCATATGTCAGGAGTCCCGTTTTTTGCCACTTTCATGCACTTTGGGATACAATTTTTAACAGACACGTCTATTGTGTTCGAATAAGAGAGTTGCACCGAAAACATCATCACGCATAAAGCAATAATCATCAAGACACCGCATATCTTCTTCAAGGGTTGAGTTGACATAATACAAAAATTACGACAAATTTACAAATGTTAAGATGTATTTAGTTCTTGAGTGTGTTTAGAATTGTAAAAGATGATTTGGTGAGAATGATGGGTGGATGTAGTTGTTTTATATAGCAAATACAGTTCAATCAATTTTTAGAAGTTGTTTACAGTCAAGTGGTTAATGTGTTTCTTGTTTCTTACTATTGGAATAAAATAAATTGTAAAAGATGATTTGGTGAGAATGATGGGTGGATGTAGTTGTTTTATATAGCAAATACAGTTCAATCAATTTTTAGAAGTTGTTTACAGTCAAGTGGTTAATGTGTTTCTTGTTTCTTACTATTGGAATAAAATAAATCAAACTAATTTTGGACAATTCAGTTGTGTAGTGTATATTGTTTTGGCCTTCTAAGGAACTGATAGCTATGAATCAATAATTTTTAATATCGAAAATCTTACGCTACACAAACACACGTACCTAAATGTCAATCCCGCTTTTACTTTTGCAATATATATATATATATATATATATATATACATTGTTACTAAAATCTACTTTTGATTCAAATATTTATAGTTGGTCAACTCGATCTAAAGTATATAAGCAAAATTCGTACATACATTTTACTATTTGCTCAAGTCTAGGTCGGGCTTGATTAGAAGAAGACCAGAGGCGTCAATGCGTGAGTGAAGAGAAAAGAGATGCATAAAAACACAACAATGACTCTTGGCTAACAAATACTCGTCATTGTTATTGATTTTATTTGATTTGGTTTAGTACGATTTGTTCTATTTTTTCATTTCAAAAAGATCAATTACAAACTGATAATATATTTTGTTTGGTTTACATATTAGGTACGGTTCAGTTGAAATAGATTCGAATATAGGAGTTTGAATAGTTTGTTGGCATGCTTAAGGGTTTAATGTTTTATGTTTCCGAATGATAAACTGTGAAATCATATCTCAATATTATAAAATATGAATGTTACATCATTTGCGTTTCCTTAAACTGGAAAATTAAGTTATACAATAAGTGATGATATACATATACATTTGTAACAATGAGAAATGATTTTATTATTTGAGAACAATAAACTCGTATATATGATGTCAATATCGACATCATATGTAAACATTGCGAGCTTCCGTGATTATAGATTAAGGGCACAATGAAGGAAACATTTGGCAAAACCGACTTTGACCTTTAGGAACGATGTATTTCTCTTGATCAACTTCTAGTTTATTGCAAAGTTTCTTGCAAGCGTCCTCGCACATCTTAGGAGTTGCGTTTTTTGCCTCTTTCATGCACTGGTTAGGGACACAGTGTTTGACACACATTTCTAAATTATTCGCATGCAACATTTGTGTTGAAAACATCATCGTGAACAAAGCTGCAATCATCAGGAAGCTGCATATTTTCATCGAAATTTGAGTTGTCATATTGTATATAAGCGAAATGTTGAATAAGTAATACAAAAGAAAAAAAAAGAATATATATGTTTTTTTTGTTGCGAACACGATTGAGAATGTTGGGTATGCCTAGATGATTTATATAGTAATGATAATGTTATCTATTTTTAGAAATTGATTTTTGTTTTGTTTTAAAATTCAGTCGGTTTCTTGTTTCTTTCTCTTTGGGCTTATTACACCACATTACAGAGGTCGGATTAGCAACAATTAAATTATTGTTTGGACGAAACAGAAAGTATCAATGGGACACAACAAACTCTCCAAGCTTCAAAGGAACTAATTAAAGTAATCAAGAGGGAAATGTTTAAGCTTTAAGTTTTAAACCAAGTTACAACTCAAATTAATACGATTCCGGTTCGGTTAGTTTGCGGTAAAGAAAATTGATCCGACCCGATTAAGTCACACTACCCGGTCTTAGACCCGACTCGTCGATTAGTCACGCAAAACTTGACTTTTTTTTCCCTTTGCTTTCGAGTTTCTCTCTGAGTCGAATCGAGAAAGGTAGTTTGCTCAAACAACTATTTCTCGTGTGGTAATCTTCGTTTCTATCAATTGGAATGGTATAATTTATAGGGTTCCTGCTAATCTTAGCTGCGATTTTTTCTCCTTCTTCTGATTATGTGGGGATGCATTTGGTTTTGTTGTCGCTTCTCGTGTCTAGTGTTAATTGTGTTCTCAAAATTGTAATATTTTACTGCTGATTCGTAGTAGAGCAACTTTGTTTCACTACTCTATACGATCGAAATCTTAAAAAGGGTATCTTCCCTAAATTTTCCCTGAATTATGTTTGTTAATCAGTCGATGTTGAAGCTCACTGCGAAGCTATTAATGGCTGATTCGAAACTACGTACAAAAATTTGGAATTTTTTTCAATACTTCCTCTTCCGCGCATAGTTTACTTTCCCGATTGTGCCGTCTCATTGCTGCTTCGGGTACTTATCTCTCGAATCGCCATCGATTAAGTTTTGTGTGTTGATAGCATTTGTATGTTGTCTTTTCTTGGTTTGATGAAGATTAATCGGCCTTTAAGTCTGTTGTTTTTGCCTCATTGGTTTTCTGATTGAACATTTTCTTGGTTTTATGGAGATTAAGGCTTTCTTGCTCCGCATTCAAAATGTAGCATTTTGTAGATTTCACTTGTGAAACGTTCTTCAGTACATTGTGAGTTTCTATCTGAGTTAAAAAAGAATTTGTCTTGTGAAAACAATAATCAAGCATTGCTTATTTTCAGTGACTGGTTGAAGATGGGAAGTCAGGCGAATGAGAAACACCTCGAGGAATGCACCGTTTCCAAGTGAGTTTCTGACTTTGTGCTTACTAAATTTTTGATTGTTTGCTAATTATTAGAAGAGAGAAGAACACAGTTTCATTGTTTCTTTCTTGATTATGATATTGATTCTTGTGATCTAGGAATCATAGCTTTATCATTAATTCATTAGCTATGTAGCCACTCTTAGCCATTTTACACTTGTTTATACCCCCATGCTTAACCACAACATTTTGCATCACCTCGAGCGTGTTTATCGAGTATCTTCTTGTATATCATTGTCGGATTGTTGTTCTTGAAGTTGAAGCATCCTTAAAGAGTTAAAGAATGTCAAAACAATTTTTTTTAATGTGCAGTGCATTAGGGACATGGGTATTCTCAGTCCTAGGCGCATTGGTTGCAATTCCGGTGGGCATCAAACGCAAGTCTCTAGGTCCACTCGTGTTCTTCGGCACAACGGGAACCATGCTTGACATCATCATTGGTGTGAGTCAGTGCGAGAGAGAACACGCAGAACACCAAATGAAGTTACTCCAAGACTCTCAAAATGCAACAGCATCCGAACCAGACAACGCAGAGACAGATTCCATGTCCTAATCTTTAATTACAAGGTTTTTGTTTTTCTGGCAATAAGACACTGATACATTTGATGCGATTTACAAGACGTGATTGTTCATGTGTATTAGAGAGAACAAAGAGGTCTTTTGATGATTTGGAAACAGAAAAAATTAAGTACCCTCATGGCCTCATCGATTTTTTTATTTGTGTAGACAAACCCGGTTTCATATAACTTGTCATCTTGAGGATTTTGTATTCTTCGCATCCGTTCCACCACCACCGGCACACGAACGATTCGGACCATCACCATCACGAAACATAGATGTGCTAACATGTTGAACTCCAGTGCCCAGAATGCTGCCACGTATACAGTTTCCGTCTCCGGGTTCGAATCCGAAAGGTCGAAACCAGATTGTCGTCTGCAGTATCTTGTGAAGATGTCGAGCAATACTGCTACGTAAAAACGATCGCTTAATCGACGGAGCTCTTCATCTATCTCACGAAATCCATCCATTGCGAAACGAAAACTTGTAGGAGGAAAAATTGAAGCTTGAGAGAAGAACATTAATAAAATAAAAAAAAAAAAAAAAAAAAATCCGTTAAACAGGAAGGGGTTTTTTGATCACCATGTAGGGATTTATCTAACTTAACAATGGTCCTTGGTTAAATTTAATAACCATGGTTTATATTTTTTGTAGTATGGTTTAAATTTAAGCAAGGACCATGTTTTATATTTTTGTAGTATCCATTTTGGCATTTTCCTAGACTAGTTTCAGGGCCCAGTGATGACTAATGATAGACCTATACTTTTTGGTAAACATGAGGTTTTATGAAACACCGGTTACACATTTTGGTTCTTTGCTGAACTTGGAAATTGTGACTAAAAGCAAACCGGTTCCAGCAAGATTTATTGATTCGGATGATTGCATCATTTTCCCACCAGGCACCAGTTTTGTGGTCATTTACATGTTACAATAACAATGTTATTTAACTTCAACTATATATAAAGATTTAGCCTATTTAACCTTGGATATTAATCACTATCCTTGTAAATAAGATAATTAATTTCCTAAAAACAAATTCCAACAGACAGATCATCGTATATGGTTTTCACTTTTCACTGCATTGGGCTACTTCCTTCAACAGTTTACAATAAGGCCATTTCTTACTGAATTAAGCAATTCTGAGGTACGATCTAAAACTGTTACGAGCGTTATGAACGGATAGATCTTGAATTTTTGATATCATCAACTGGTATTTCATCAAATCATGTCTAATCAGAAATGTTCAAATTAAAATCAACAATGGAAATCAAACGCGAGTACAATATTAAAAAGAATTCAAACCAAAGGAAAAAAGATCAGAGCATTTTATTGATCAGTAAGTTATTTTAACATCAAATCATGTTCAAAATCAACTAATCAGAAATGTTCAAAACTAAAGAAACAAAATGTAAATCAAACGCGAGTACAATATTAAAAAAATTTCAAACCAAAGGAAAAAAAAATGTAAAAGCAGAAATAGAGAGATTGTAATCATCGGCGATGATCATGACGTTTACAGGATGGCTCGTTACATGGAAGAAAAAAGCAGAGGAAGATTCTGATGACTCCCACTCACACGACGACGACGAACCAGCGAAGATAAGCCAAGAAAGATAGAGAGATCAATACGCAGATTGAAGCCAGCACCAGAAAACGATCGGACTCTCGCCGTAAACTTCGCATCCTTAGCACCACCACCGGCACGAAAAGGAGTTCGAAAACCACCATCAGAGAGCACAGGCGCGCGAACTTGCTGAACTTCGATGCCCAATAGAATGCCACGTGTCCGGTATTATTCGTCATCGTTTCCGAGAGGTTCGTCAAACCAGCTTGACTTCTGTAGCATCCTGTGAAAACAGCGAGCGAGATTGCAACGACTAAACGAACGTTTAATCGACGAAGCTCTTGTCGAATCTCACGAGCTTCATCATCCATTGAGATTGAATTATTTGAATCTTGCAGGAAAAGAAAAGAAAAGAAAAAGAGATTATAAACCAAGATTGAGAAGAAGAAGAAGAAAAAAGTATAAATCTTTCAGAATCGGGGAGAGGGAGAAGTAGTTGGTCTAAGTGTGAGCTGTTGAGGGGTTTTGATAGCTATTGGGGTTTATCTAACCTAACCACGGTTAAATTCAACCATGGACCATGGTCTGTTATAACCGTACTCTACCGGCGTAAGCTGGACAAAGTTTCAAAACGTACGAGTGGTGATGAATGACGTGATTGACGTGGACCAAGGAGCGATTTGTCACGGTAAATTTTGTTTTATAATGCTGAACTGGAAATTTGTTTTTTTTTTTTTTTTTAATTTACTATCATTAACTGTATCAGCTTGTGGTCAATTTACATGCTACTTTAATAATGTCATAAACAATCCACTATAACTATATTATTGTATAACGTTTGTACCGTGGAACTCCCGGTTATAAAAAATTATACACACCAAAGGATACCTTGAACTTTAGTTAACATCTAAATAAGAAATTTGAAATCTTTAAGAAAAAGGATTGTTTTGTGTCTACATGAACTGATTTAAATGTCAAGTTATCAACTAAACATATATTTCAAACTAACATCTCTATCATACGATGAGACAAACGCTCTTAACATGATAAATTCAACTGTTGTTAGTAAAAGTAGAATTAATCCTGATGAATACTGATGAACTTATTTATTTTTTTGTGATATGATGTCATCATGGCCTAAAATCTCATTCATAGTAAATACCAATATTGTTTCTAACGGTATTTTCGTCTTTCTCAAATCCTCCTGGCTGAATCAGTATGGAAGCGACGGAAGTTGCAACAATATACACAGTTCAATGAAAGAGGCCGGTTCACTGCTGCATGGCTGCATAATACAGATTCCTTAAAATGAGACCTTCTCTTAAAGGCTAGATAAACCTTGTACTAGTACGTGATTAATTTGGTATAAAGCAAATCATGTTCAAACCAACGAAACAAAGAGAAAAGCCAGAAAACAAATAAAAGCCAGAAAGAGTGTAGTCATCACACGGATTAAAGACGTAGTTCCATAAGAGAAAGATTCTGATGATGACGACGTGGAAGGAAGGACTCAGACGAACCAGTGAACATAAGCCGAGAAAGAGAGCGAGATCAAGAGGCAGAGTGAACCGAGGCCCAGGTACACGTCGCACTCCTCTTGTGCTCTTCGAAGCCGTTCAGCCTCCAGCGGCACGCGAGCGATTGTGAAACTCACCATCACAAAACTCAGAAACGCTAACAAGCGGAACTCCTTCGCCCAACCGAATGCCACTCCTCCGGCCTTCGGATTCGGATCTGAGGAGATGTCAAAACCAGCTTCTCGTCCGTAGATTGCTGAGAAAATCTCGAGCAAGACTGCTAAGAGAAAACGAGGCCTTAATCGATGCAGCTCTTCACGAGACCCATCCATTGCGATCGAATCTTAGAGGAAAACCAAAAAAAAAAAAGAAGAAGAGGAGATTATAAACCAAGATTGAGAAAAGAAAACAGAGAAAGTAGAATCGCGGAAATGGTGAGAAACTCAGGCTGAAGAGTTTTTGTGTACGTACGTTAAATAAAAGAGTGAGAGGGGATTTTTCTTTTTTCAACTTTTTATGAGCGTGGCTTTTATCTAACCTAACCATGATTAAATTTAACCGTGTCCCATGGTTAATAATAACCGTAAGCTACACAGGTTTAGGTCAAAAAAGAAAAGAAAAAAGCTACACAGGTTTCAAAGCGAGAGAGGTGATGAGTTTTATGGCCAGTCCTGGACGAAAGACGACCTCTTCGGTCACCATAAAAAGGTAAAAATGGTTTCTTTTTAATATACCGGTTACATAACTTCGTTCGCTGGTGAACCGGAAATCGACTTACACAAATACTAACAAATTGGTTCCTGAAACTATTCATTATCCATCTTGGCTCATTTAATAACACCAATAAATTACAATCCGATTCCTGGAAGATTCATTGATTTGGATCATTACCACCAGTTTATGGTCATTTTTACATGCTACAGTAATTATTTAACAATCGACTCAACTATATATCGTGAAATTCCCGGCTATATGTAACCTGTTTTTAATTAAACGAGATATTTTGAAAATTTGCAACAGAAAATTTAGTTTTCACTGCATTATGCAGCTTCCTTCAATAGTTTACAGTGAGACCTTTTCTTAAAGCGATTAATTATGAGCTACACGAGCGTTCAATATGAACGGATAAATCTTGTACTCTGATATGATATGATATTTCAATTGGTATTTCAGCAAATCACGTTCAATAAAATCACTCTATCAACACAAAACCAAAGAAACAAAAAAAGAAGACCATGAATGATTTGACCAAACGACATCGTTTCATCCAACAACGAAGAAGCGAAAGAAAGCCAAGCAAGAGACCGAGATCAGAACGCAGATAGAAGCGATCACCAGAACAAAATCGGACTGTAGTTGAGTTCTTCGCATCCCTTCCACTACATCCGGAACCAAAGCTACACTGATCATCACCTTCGCAGCACACACAGCCGCTATCTTGTAAAGCTCCGATGCCAAATCGAGTGCCACGTGTTCCGTCTTCGTTCCCGGATTTGGATCTGAAAGGTTCAAACCAGCTTGTACTCTGCTGCAGCATTCTACGGAAACGATTATCAAGCCTGCGACGAATAATCGAGCGTTTAATCCGCGACGCTCTTGCCGTCTCTCACGAACTTCATCCATCGCGATACGATCTTCGCATGAAAATGGCGATTTGAAACGAAGATTAAGAAAAAGAAAATAAAAATCAGAATCGGGAAAGGGAAGTGGAGAAAATCCGTCGAGGGGTTTTGGGGGTTTTTTTAAGCATGTCTAACCATGGTTAATTTTTAACTATGGACCATGGTTTATAATAACCGTATTCTAACGGCGTATGTTAGATCATATTTCAACTTTGAAGGTTAAGTGGTGATGAACGATGACGTGGACAAAAAAACAAAAGCTCCATCACAAGCACGAAGGAGAGAGACTCTTTCGCCAGCTTGAATACTTCAGCCGTGAGCTGCACGTTTCCCGACTTGAACAAACGCAAACGCTGAATTGCTGAACAACCAGAAGCGCTTTATTAGTTGCTACTTGTTTGACTCGAAACTCATTATTCCTGGTTTTGGATTTGCATGCGTTGAGAACATTTGGTGGTATGAGAATTTGTAGTATGTTGAGAGGAACGGAGTTTGTGAGGTTATCTAACCATGGTTAGCTTTCTAACCTTGGTTAAAGAATATGAGGTTTCACTAAGGTTTAGAAGTTTTATTACTGTTTTTTTTTTAAATAAATTTTTTTTTGAAGTTTTAGACGTACAAAATCAATTGACTAAATTCTATAGAGTATATCCTGCTGGACCGCTGGTGCTTGAAAAAGAAGAGCCTTGCAACAGTTTCTAATTTGGTTATTAAAGTGGTCTTTCTATGGTCAAGGACTTTAATATACCACTTGGTTCCTTTGGTTTGTTCAGTTGTGTATTGTGGTTCAAACTAACGAAAAAGAATATATATACTTGGTTCGTCTGAAGTTTAGTTTATGATCCAAACAAGAAATATTACAAACCTACAGATCATGTAATCATGCATATATTTAACCCAATTGCACTTTTTATTTATATATATATATATATATATTATATATATCAATTCTCAAAAGTATTGAAATTGAACATGTTTTGAATAGACATGCACTTTTTATTTATATATATATATATATATATATATATCAATTCTCAAAAGTATTGAAATTGAAGTTTGTGATGCAATTCTTTTCTTCAAGGACGAAACAAATAGAAATGTCTGATAAAACATAAAAATATCTATCCAAAACATGTTTTGAATAGACATGCAGAAAATCAAAGAAATCTTTCATCTTCACTTGTACTGATGAGCATACGGGTCAAAAACCGACATTCCATTCATAGAAGACGAAGATCCACCACCACCACCGGATCCATCCTGACCCGACCCGTTTTGATAGTACCGACCACCACCAATGACCATAGACTGATCCAACATACCATAACCATAGGCACTCGGAGGAGGTGGGCCATGAGGTGGGCCGTGAAACCCAATACCACTTCCAGCAAAGGCCGGTTTGAATGACGATGACTCACCTCTAAGTGAGCACCCACGATCGGTCTCGAACTCACGGTATCGGTTAATGAAAACGTTGAGTGGTCCCACGTAATCATCGAACCCAAGCTTACTCATAGCCCAAAGAATGTCTTCAGCAGTTATGGTCTTACGTTGCTCACGTTGGCAACGCTCGTTGGCTTCACCAGTCACGAAGCTGATGTACTCGGAGACGCATTCTTGAATCGTTTCTTTGGCGTCATCGGAGATTTTGGCGTGCGACGGTAAGATTCGACGCATGATCCTTATGACGTTTGCGATTGGCATGTATTGGTCTTGCTCACGAGCCATGCATGGTTGCTGCTGCACCACGACATTCTTGTTCTTGTCGTCACAAGCAACGATGGAGCCGGTCACTGTCGGGATTGAGTTATTGTGCTGCTCCAAATTCAATCCTGTTTCAAGTAAAGACACATGCTTAGTTACGGACCAATAAGATAAGAGATAAATTTTTGGGGTCTACTTTATATTGACTGGACCCCAAGACCTGTGGACCCCGTTAAGTAGACTGTTCAGATTCTTGCCGTTACGTTAGAAAGAAAAAAAAATGTCAAAAGGATCTTTCCCTCTTCTCGAAATACTTAGAATTTGACGTTAATATCAGTGTAAAAGCGTATTGACCGAAAAAAGAAGAAGCGTATTCCCAATTCAATTTTAAGGTCAAATTTTGCAATTTGCTTAATTCCAATTTTGTTTTTACTAGTTAACCAAAATACATTAATTTTACTCTCTAAATAGGATAAATTCCACAACGAAGATAAATAAGGAGAATTTTTGGGTAAAATAAAGTCATGTAGAGGTTCCCAATGGTAAATTGTTAAAATAGTCACAAGAATGAAGTCAATATAATGATGGTGGTTTGACAAAAAAAAATGCTGGTAGTAACATGCTTAAAGCAATGAGTTTGTATTAATGCATTTGTGAATGGTGCAGTAAAATTATAGACAATTGTTTGAAAAGGTAATTATAGACAAAATTTTCTCTCATTTAAATCTTAGTGATTATTATTTATGTATTTCAAAAACTAGTTTTTGTAACCGGAATAAACCAAACAAATATTTCTTAATCTATGGTTATTTGAAGACAAAAAAAAAACTACGGATTAAACAGTGGACACATCAATTTTGCACTTATAAAAAAAGAGGCATCTGGTGGAAAGTGATCTAAACTCTGGCAAGCATGGCGATGAGACGATGGCCAACAAACTAGCATAACTTGGTTTTGTTTTAGCTGTTAATTAGATGTATATATATATTTTATATAGGACTTGTCATGCGTTTTTCTACTTGTTCGTCGATCCACTAAAATAATACGAAAAAAACATAAATCGAAAATCAAACGGGAAAAAATAAGCTTGCAAGTTATTTGAGATGATCGATATTACCCTTACGGATTTCATTTTCTACTTTTTGTGTATTAAAAACGTAAAATATTTGATTAGAAAAGTAGATAATTTTTGCAGAATGAATTGACATATATAGTTGAATGTCTGTTAAATTGAGGAGTGTGCAAGTGTATTTTGATTTGCAGTATATAATTCCAAATAAGAGTGGACAAACGAGAATTTCGTTTTGAAACGGGGGAAAAATGAACTCAGCCGTTACAGCGAACAAACTAACAAAGAAGATCATTAGAGCAATTTTATAATTTCCAATAGAATATTAACAAAAAAGGATTTTGAGTTTGAGTCGGCACTCAAACTAAACCAGCACATACAATTTTAAAAGGTGGAAACACATATCTGATAAATAGAAAAAAAAAAGGGAAACTCAAAACATTCCTTGTGCATGCACCGTTGTATTCAATGAACACATGCATGAAAGATCATCCGCCATTGAATACAATAGCTTGAATATATTTGATTTAAGCATTGTTGGCTCATGCCCGGCCGAATGTATGCACGAGAATGCAAATGGATATATACATATATCAAACTCATTCGTGCATGCATATAATTAAGCATCTTCTCAAAACCTTTATAAAATCTAATGACTTTTTGAAGACATAGAAATCTCTACTTCTGTGTTGAAAAGACATAAAAATCTTTAAAAAAGTTTTTGATTTCTCATGAGTATATATAGGCATAAATATATGGAGGCGCGCATACATATAAATAGCCACATATATTTGATTACCAGAGTTGGATTTGGGTAGCTGATAGTGAGAGAGAGGAGCTCCACGTTCCATTGTTTCTCTGCCGTCTGTTTTTTTTTTTTTTTTTGGGTTCTTTATAAAATAATTATTTGGGTGATTTGTTGCATGCATTGAGAGGTTGATGGTTAAGTGGTTTTATAGGGAGATGATACAAATGGCGAAGGAGGCGGTTCTAACGAGGATGCTCTATCTCTCTATCTCCCATTGGCTGATTTCATTGGCTAGTGGCCAGTCAAACTAACCCCACTGCTCTTCTCTCATTGGTTCTCTATTTCAATTATCACCAAAATTAATTAAGTAAAAGAGTGTTTAGAAAAAGAAAGAAGAAAAAGATTTATGGAAAAAAATTTAGAAAGAAAAATTGAAGAAGAAAGGCTCAGTTTGTTTATCATTAAAGGTTGTTAAAACATTTTCTAAAAATATTATCATAATTGGCAAAAATAAAATTACGTGGCGTTTTTCCAACTATATATTTTAATAGAAAAAAAGAAACTTGATATTGTATGTATTCGGTGTTATATAATTAATAAATTTTAAAATTAAGATAAGATTTCATCTAAAATAGTAGATTTCAATATTTTTTAAAAATCTCTGTGGTTCTAAAAAAAAGGATGTGCTGTAAATTTTATTGAAAACTCTATTGCTACAGAAAACTGTACTTTTAAAATAATTTAGTTAAAAATAATTAAAAATAATTTTAAAGCAAAAATTAATGTATTTGATTAAAAAGAATACCAAATATTTAAAATATTGTCAAAGAAATGATAAAACTCAAATAATAAAGTAACAGTATCACTCAAATAGTCAAAGAAAATGACAGCGTTTGTTTGTTTGTTTTCTGTTAGAAGTAAACAAAACGACCAAAACAATATCGTTTTAATCAGGGTAATTTGTTGTTAATTATAATAAGGTAATAAATAATCTCCTTCGTAATCAATATGTAGCGCATGTATATACTGTATACATTACAAATAGGCAAAGGCATTTTCTTTTTCCCGACAGACAAGACCATTTTGTTTTACAATAGACAATTACATCTTATACACTAAAATGAGATCACTGCTCATCGACATCGTACATAGTCTATACGACCATATATATCAATATTGAGAAAAAGTATGACATTAGAGCTTTTGTACTTTCCAATTATTGGCAGACTCCATTGCCATTTTTGTAGAAGCCCCTAGTCCTATGACCGTTTGGAGGAATGGTTTAAGCTTTTAAAATAAATCTTTTCACTTTGGACGCACCTTCTTTTGCAAGCATATTTACATATGTATGGAGTTGCATGTTCGATCACATTCAAGCACTGGTTCACCACACAATGTTCGATGCAAACGTCAACCATCGTCGAATATGAGAATTGTGTTGACAACATCAACGTGAATAAAGATACAATCATGACGCAATTGCTTATGTTTTTCATCACTCGTGCTGCCATGATGTAGTTTCAATTCGGTTTATTTTGATTTTGCTACGAGAGATGAAGATTTTGTGAGGATGTTTGGGCTATTCTACATGATTTATATAGCAAAAATAGTTACATGTATTTTTAGAAGTTGTTTTTCATTTGTTTTTGATGTTGATTTGTTTCTTGTCTTATAAATGGGCATTGACGTTTTTAACAAATTCTTGTTTTTAATCAACAATTATCGTTTGTATTGGAGATCCTAGCTTACACTTATCTCAATTTCTATTTCTTTTTTATCTGCTTCACAATCACGTGTTGTTTTTAAAAATAACCTAACAAGTTTATATGAGGTTATATCTAAAATCAAGAAAACATAGTCAGTTTTTGTGTAATAAAACTATGAATGTTTAGTAGTAGCCTTGTAGGAGATATCTAATGGGAGAGCGAAACCTACTGTGGTATTGGGAAGTATCATGTAAATACCCGAGGAAAAGCTAAACTTACTGTCGAATTAGAATTGTTATGTCAAGAATGTATCATGTATAATCCTTTCCAGACTCCAAACACCTCTTAGGGGCGGTATACAAAGTTTTGTATAACATTCACAATTTTTCTCAAAGAGAAACGACAAATCTTTCTCGCCAAATTATTATAGTATCAGAAGGATAGGGTCTTCAAAACAAAAGAAACGACAGCACTTAAGAGAAGACTGCGTAACTAGCAGAGCGAGCACAATGCAAGCTGACCAAAAAAACTGTATCATAACTGTATAACTCAAATTTATGAGAGAAGTATGAAGAAGATTGGATGGATTAAGCATGTGTGAGCGAATTAAAATGAAACTCAGGGTTCATCCACAGAGCCTTTATGGGAAGGGAAGGCAAGTGCGCTACTCTTATCTTCACGCGTTCTGAACTCTCTAGATAACGATTAAGTTCATCATAAGATTAAATTTTATTAAGAGCTGAATCAACAATTTGACACATATTATAAATACGTGGGATAACATTTTATGCAATTAGATGAAATACATATTTTCCAAAAAAATAGTAATAATACAAATCAATTACATACGAATATAGACAAATATTTCTTCTTTTTTTTTGGTTATAAATACATGGATATCCGATGCAATAAACAAAAACATAATTATAACAAATAAAGAAATTATGTTATACAATTTTTTTTCAACAAAGAACTTAAACGCATCCGAATTTCATCCATCTACAGGCGATGGTTTGTCGTTGTTTTCGAGGAATGATATATTTTTCAGAACCGAGCTGTTGTTCGTTGCACATTTTCTTGCAAGCGTTTTCGCATACAGCATGAGTCGCATCTTTGGTCTCTTTCGTGCATTGATGCGGACAATGTTTGAGACAACTATCTACCGTGTTTGCGTGAGATACGTGTGCCATAAATAATACCAAGAAAAACATTACCGTCATGAGAGCACTGCATCTTTTTGTCAAAACTTGCCCGGCCATAATTCCGTAATTTGTTAAAGAGTTTAAGATTCGTTTTCTTGTTTATGATTGTGAATTTGTAACCAGATCGATCAGTTTGATGAAAGTATTTGGGCGGGTTTAGGTGATTTATATAGTAAAATAGTCTATCTATTTAAGGAGATTTGCTTTATTGTTTTATGATTAACAATTTCTGTTTATTGTTTCCTCTTTTTTGGGTAAAATTTGTTATTTTCTTGTGTTTTTGACAACTTCAACTTGAAAACAATAATTATTGTTCATATAATTTTTTTTTTTGATAAATAAATTGTATAAGTTCCGAACCTTTGACTCATAATCTTATTTGGTATTCGTAGTCAACCGTTAATTATAACATGTCAGCAGAGCATCCGAGATCTATCCTGAGCAGAACCCCAATCTCGTGCAGGCCTGTAACATCCGTCCTGATGATTATATATCGTCATCCATGGCCAGATATAGATCCACCTATAGATCCAACAAATGTCAAGATATCCTGAGATTACTTGTTTATTTTCGTTTCATTTATACACAAAACAAATGATGGCTTGTTGGAATTGTGATACTGATAACAATCTGTGAACTGAACTGCACAGGTGACGAATGGATTCAACAGGGGTAAGAAACTTGTTGTCACTGTCGTGTCTTCAATACGGGGAGGCGCATATTGTTGGCGTTGATATACCTCCAACAAAGAAGCTCAGCCTCAAAACGACGTTCATTACACATTTTGTTGCAAGCGTTTTCACAAACAGGATGAGTAGCATCTTTCACCGTTGTGTGATAAGTGATAACATACATTAAAATTCAGCGTTCTATATCACTAAACTATGATTTTGGTGGTGTAAGGAGAGGAGATAGAGAGTATGAAATCGTGGTTTATTAATGTTTTTTTTTGTTAAATGTTATATTTTATACCAAATTTTTGATTTTTTACAGATGATACAGAAAACCAAAATATACAGCAGACGAAAACCAACAAAACAACAGAAATACAAATAAGGGCAAAGAACCGGAAGTGAGACAAAGAAAATAAAACCGAAGCAAAACAAGACGAAAATACATGTTACTTTTGTGTGTGATTGGAAATACATGAAGCATGTTCCTTAAATATGGATCTAAAAATAAGACTAATTCCCGCGTGATATAGATGGAGCCGTTTTTGTGTTGGATCCATGAATCGATGATACCTATCTAAACTCAATTAATCATTTGATATACGTCGCTGTAAAAGGTACTTTATGTACAATACAAAACACATCTCACCTCTTTTGGTCTCGTAAAAAACTTTTGAGAAAAATCCGTCAATTCTTCTGCGCCATGGATATTATCGTTCTTTATTATTGGTAAAATAAAATACTGCCATTGACGGACACTGTTCAATCTCTTTCTTTTTTAGTCCGGTCTGTTATATACAGCATCATTTTTAGTGTAACTAGTAAAATACCCGCGTATAAACGCGAGTTTATTAGAATTTTTTCTAATGTATTGTTTTATAAACTTAGAAATCAGTACATTTTTTGTTTGTAGTTAAGTTGTTTTTAACTAACTTTAGTATCAATCGAATTCATATAACCCCTGATCTATATTATTTTTTATACCTATCTGCTCGTAACTTGGTGCTAATACAATGTAAAGTTTTAAAAGTAACATTATGGAAACTAATACAATATCATGAGTTGAGAATAATTTTCTACAGTCACATGTAACATTGTAGTTTTTGCATACTCTCCAAAAAATTTCTATCAAATTCAGGTGTGTTTTATTTGTCAAAGCTCCACTTGAATTTCATCATTAATTTTTGTGTATAAACAAAATTGAAATTTGTTCGATATATTTTTTGGATAAATAGATTCTCGAGACATGTATGTAAGAACCCTTATATCCAAACTATCAAAAAAAAAATGAACCAAACAAGATATATCTAAATTTCTAGCTCTATATTGGTGCAATCGTTCTTTCTATATTAATTTATTATTTATTTAAAATATTATCTACAAAATATTCAAAAGTTGGTGTGGTTATGGTAGTATTATTTTCTTTGCATGTCACATAGTAATGTTTGACATGCAGCCAATTTAAGCAATCTTGAACTCTTCTAGCTCGTTTTTCTCCCGTCTTGAATGCTCCATCTTTGGTTATTCTACGTTCAATCTTGATTAGTTATGAATTTATGATTACCAAATATTATTCCATTTTTTTCTTTACCTTTCATGGTGTTTATCTTTTTCTTTTATGATCTTCGTTATTATTACTATTTTGGCACCATTGACCACCATAATCTGCACAATTTATAACTTGTGTGACTTAGAAAGTCTCACTATTCAAGTATACTCAGCATATTGAGATGTGATGTAAAGGACAAAACAATTACTACTGAAAGTCTATATATTAATATATTATACAAAATGAAGACACTTTAACAAAAAATGATATATTGAACGAATTTCAAGCTAATAAATATTTTTTTTTAATAATTTCATATGATGATAATGTTGAAAATTATTAAGGACTAACGATTTGGAACTTGTAAAGGCTGTAGTGAAAAGATAGCTTGAGATTTTTGGTTTTGCGAGGAAAACCTTGATAGTTGATACTCATCTTTCTCATCTCGGCCTTTGTATCTGTTTTTTCTTTCTACGCAGATCAATAACGTTCCCATGTCCTCTTCTTAACCTCCATATCCGTTATTCCTTTCTTCTCTGCATATCTATAACGACCCCATACCCTTCTCTTACCAGTACTGCTCCATGTACAATTTTTTTCTCTTTGTGTTTCTTCTCCTTCCTCTATAGTGTTCGATCCATGTACCACATCATCAGCCTTATCCGTTGTCATAAAGTTTTTGATTGTATAGAATTATCCCACATTTACCACCACCGTCACATCCACGACTCATCCTTGGAGTATGTCTTCAATCATGACAAACTTTTATTTTTCTAAAGAAGCTAGGGTTTTGTTATTATGAGGAATTAGAGCAAATTATATATAGAATTGGTTATAATTAGAGTAGTTAAATCAATTTCTATTATAATTTTAAATTGTCTCTTTGGTTTATGGAATAATACAGCATTTAAGTTTTTAGGAAATCTAAAGAAATTAAACAGTCAATTAATTGAAATTTTTAACTTTAATTTTTTGTTGTTATTATTCAAAGCTGATGTGTCAAAAGGATAAAAGCTGATGTGTCAATTTTGTGAGACACAACTCAACTTTTATATAATAGATTTGATTTTTGATTTTCTTAAAAAATAAAACGTTGTGTATTAAATCAAGAACCCAATTTTAAAATCCCCCGACAAAAAAAAAAAAAAAATCAAAAGAGATATCTATTGGTGCTGACAGATTATACGAACGTTCGAACAAGCCACAGGACCAAATCAAAGATATTTTTGTTTTGAATTAAAACTGACAGAGAAAAAAAAAATTGTTTGGTGAATCAAATTAATTAATAACCAACAGTCCAATAATATAATGAGATGGAGCAGTTTGGTAGATTCGGCTTTGAAATGACGTTCCCCGTAGGCGTATTTAGCTATATGGCCATCTGTTTTCAGTTTTCTCCACGAGACAGAAAAAAAAACATCGTTACGTGAATATTTTAGCTTCTCTCTTGTATCCTTGCTTATCTCCAAACCTATATGTTTACGTCAACATGCGTCATAATTAACTTAATTGAACAGCAGACATAATGATCATCACCCAACAGCATAAATATTTGTTTTCTTCCAAACTATACAACCTCTTCATAATGATGACGGAACATTAGTAATTTCTCAATCACTGATTTTTTTGGTAGAAAGATTTAAAGATTTTTGCGAAATTTTACTGTAATTAAAAATAAATAAATTTAGAGTTACTACAGCTTATAGTTATGACGGGCGATATGTAAAATATGAAGTGAACTTTTATAAAAATGATTTCAACTTCTATTTTTAACTAAATAAATTCAAAAGAAAATCTGAATCTACCTTATATTGATATAGCTTTAAAAATAAATAAAATTACTAAACATATATTTTTGTACATATATTTTTGTTAATATAGCATTTTTTGTAAAGTACTACAAATGCAATAAAATTATAACTGCAATGATAATCTAGAAAACTACATTTGTTTATCTTCTCACAGAAACAGGCCCAAGAAGTGTAATTTTGACCGGTCCAATGAAACATATGTAGTATCTACTGTTTTCCCTTGCATTCATAACAGTACTTAAATAATAATTGTGTGATTGTGAATATTTTTTTGTATATATAAAGGGAAAAGAAGTAATGTGACATTTGGGATCTCGGTAGATAGGAGTTTGCTAAGATCACGGCGTTGTAGGACGGCTACCTGACTCACCGGCCATCGCTCATCAGTCTTTTCTTCTCTTATTTTTAATAACCCCCTTAAGCTTTGTTATATTTGAGTTTTCCTCCCACTGTTCGAAATTCTATTTTGTTTAGTTTTTTTTGGGTTTTAATAGCAACATCTTCTCTCTTATGTCTTATATCTAAATATCAATAAAGATGATATCTCTAATTAGATGAAAGGTACTCTCTAAATGAATTTCCTATGTTGGATATTTAAGGGCTTCCTTGAAAGAAAAGAAAAAATCATGGGGTTAATTTTGTCGATAGATTTTTTATGCGGCTAAAATCGAAATCTAAAAATACACGCGATGAAACATCATCACATCTTGATGCGACGTTCACCGTCGCACGCGTACAAAAGTTCGTTGCACGTGAGAACTACGCGCAATCTTTGACGCTAGCTGTGACAGGTGGAGAAGCGAACAGAAGTTATGATGACGTGGACACAATCTTGAGCGCCGAACATTTTTTCTCCATGTGGCACCGTTTATGTCGTGGATGCTTCGTAACCGACGACATTTTAGGATGGGCCGGTGACAGCCCAACAATGGCATAAACATGGGACCCATTTTGTTAGCCAGCTCAGCTCTAATTGGTCCAACTGTAAAAAAGGAGTTGTTTGGCTTCACCTTCCCGTTCCCACTTATCTACTCTTCCAGCTTTGAGAATTAAGTAAATTGATAAGGACTGTCATTTAATTCTATTTATTTTCTTATTTAACAACGTTTGCAATTCTTATTATAGCCATGCATTCTTTTAAAATAAAAGCAAATTATTCTGACCATACATTTATATAAAATAAGGAATAACATATGATATAGAAGAACATCGAATCTGACAACAGTATACATATTTCTCTACGTTTACCTAACCAGTTAAACACGTAGCACTGTAACTAATGTAAGCGATCACAAGCTATTGATTAACAAACATATAATTTCTCTCTGATCAATTGTATTCGTGGTTGATTATTCTTGTTGAGGAGTAGGAGGATGCACATACGTTATATTATGCATTTTAAACATAAAATTTAGCATCGTCTTGACCAGATAATATATTTTTAATGACGGTGCTAAAAATCGTATGCGCTTTGGAAGTGGAAGTTGTGACCATTTGTTTTGCCCGTTCGTTGTGTTGTCTGATATTTACAAAACAAGTAAAATCAGGTTTCTCTAATTGGCTGTATAGTTGGACCATAATTTAGTTTTAGACATTAGTCTGATGCTTATCATTCAAAGTTAAAAAAAAAACAAAAACAAAATAATATTAAAAAATCACGTTAGGAATGTCAAAGTATTGTTGCATGACCTCATGTTCTTGATCGATGCCATTTTTGTTTTATATGAAAGTTCAATCCATATGATCCATGAGTGGTTGGTTTACTGATCTAAGGAATCGGTCATGTATTAAAAAAAACTTCAGAAATTAAATTAAAAGTGCACACTAATTCGTGAGTGATTACTTGATTTAAGAAATGGCCATGTTATCAAATTTAATGATATATAGCGCAGAATTTGCAAAAAAAAAAGGTCCTAGGCTTTAAGGTTTCTCGATTTAAAAACATAGTAGAGTTTTCAGGGAATATTATTAATAAGACTAAATGATGCCTTGAAATATTGAATACGGAACGGGCAAAGTATGGGATAGGGCGTAGTGTACCTACTCATTATGGAGTATGAATGGCCAAATACCTTCAGCCATACACCCTCCCTTTCCCTATATCTTATAATTACACCAATTATTATTTTTATTATAATTATTATTTATGTACCCACTGATTTTTTCATTGACGTGGACAAAGAGCAACTAGTTATTTTAACTGGAGATTTAACTAACATTAGTCGACTTAGTTTAACACAAGCTTCAAGTACCGAAAGAAGACTAAAAGGTGTAGTAAATACGAAAAGAACATAGTAAGTGTAGAATACCTCCAACACTTAGAACAAACACAACAAAACAAATGTTAAATGGTGACTTTTTTTTTGCGGTTAAATGGTGACTTTAAAGCATATAGAATGAATATCGAATTTGAGTTAAGTTTTTAGAATCATATTCGGTGATCCAACAAAATTCAACCTCAGATTACGCATAAACCTCCCCTCATAATTTTTTTTTTAATATTTGTTTATGCGGTTGTACCCTTTTCTATAAAGATTTTTAAATGATGTTAAATGCGTTTGATGCTCTAACTACCACAGCTATAGTCACAACTCGTACCTAGTATAATACAATTTTTTTTTAAAATATACTTACTACTTTATTGATGGTGTATTAGGTATGTTTAATTATAACATTTTACTACGTGTGATTTTATGAAGTTTACTTGCACGGTTGCACCCTAGTTTTTATGATGTTGTGGTTAAAGGAATCACAATCATCTCTTATAAGCACTTTCAAATCAAAGCACTCGAACCCTACAGGGTGATATGTCTATTTATGCGAAACACTGCCTAACTGTTAATTGTGATTTTATTAAATAAATGTCCTTGTATCATCGCTTCATTTTGTTTATAGACTTAAGTAACCATGTGTTAAATACTTTGAAAATTTAAGAATAAAGTTAATTATGCAGAGAGCACTTTTTCACAGAGTAATTGTCAAATTAGGAAATTTTAAAAAATTTATAATAATAAAGTTACATTTGGGTTCATACTAAGATTTTTAGGGCTTTAGTTTTTCTGAATAGTGAAAAATGCATCTTTTATAAAGAGTACCTACTTTCATATAGTATTTGTTTTTACTTCATTTTTCACAGTATTTCTTTTCGTCACTAATACATTTGACGGACATAAAACGCAACTTTCAAACTGTATCAATAGGCTTATCTATGTGTCACTATCCGTATGGGAATATGAGACTTGACATAACTTAAAATTCGAACAAATCCAAATAATGCACGTAAAATTAAGTAATCATCGGTAGTAGGACACTAGGAAAGGAATCAAAACTCGAAAAGAAAAAAAACCCACCAATCCAGCGATCATCTAATCACAGAAGAGAACAATTTAAAAAAAAAAACAATATACTACAAGTAGTCATCAAACACAATCACCTGGAAATTCGCTTCCTAATCAAGATTTTTCGATAATCCTCATCATAATCATTTTTCTTTATAAAAATGGCTAATATTAAAATAAATAAAAATAAACAGAGGTAGACCATAACTAATCATTTGGTCTTCTACGTGGGTTTTGTATATGTTACGTATGCGTAGCCCCATACTACGCGCTTTTAATTATACAGAGACAAATTCGAAACAATCTCGAGTACACATGAATCACAACGTCGTCGTTTTTTTTGGAATTTACTTTATTAAACGTAATTATTTAATAATACTTGTGGTTTCTTTTTCGGGCTGGTGGGCTTTTTGTGTCCGCTTCCCGATGGTTTCTCTCTCTACCTCTTTTTTAATTTGAGTTTTTTTTTTACTTAATATTATTGTTATTTTTGCTTCTGGTTACATAACTTTTTATTTATAAATTAAAATTTGAGTGTTTTATTTTGCTATCTGTCTTCTTCTGTCTCTCTGTATATCTCTCTTTCGTTTCTTTTTTTTTTTTGATGTTTTTGTTCTCCTTTTTATGCTCTTGTAGCGTCTCGTACGAATCTCTCAAGGTTTCCTCTCAGTTTTAGAAACCTGTGCATACGATTAACAACAATCCCTAAACTTTTATATTCTTCATTTTTTCCCCCTGCTCATTTGTAGCTGAAATCCGCCGGAGAGTGTGTTACTCCACTGGGGTTTTACTTTAGCGACGGCGGATCTAGCCGTAATCTGAGAATTAGGTAAACCCTAGATGCAAACTTAAAGCCAATGCCATTTTCAGATTTTCAGAGATTGAAGAACACTGTGAAGTTGGTGGAGTGAAGGTTTATCTGATGAGTAGATGATCCGTGTATCGCCTCCGAGCGAAGAAGAAGCAGAAGGAGAAGAAGAAGAAGAAGAAGAAGAAGAAGCTACTAAAGTGTGCAGGAGAGAGCATCTGCGTTTGGGTGAAGGAGACGAGGAAGAAGAAGAAGAGAGACGTGACGATTCGGTGTTGCTGCTAGCTCAACCTCCAATGGTGCGATCGAGAGCACAAGTAGCCACGAGGCGCGTGACACCCACGCCGCTCGTGGATGTCGAGAAGCCGCTTCCGAACGGGGATCTCTACATCGGGAGCTTCTCCGGCGGGTTTCCTCACGGATCCGGCAAGTATCTGTGGAAAGACGGATGCATGTACGAAGGCGATTGGGAAACGAGGGAAAGCTTCTGGGAAAGGGAAATTCTCATGGCCAAGCGGAGCGACCTACGAAGGCGAGTTCAAATCCGGTAGAATGGAAAGGATTCGGGACTTTCACCGGCGCCGACGGAGACACTTACCGTGAACTTGGGTCGCCGATCGGAAACACGGCACGGGCAGAGCGATACGCCAACGGAGATTTCTACGAA